TTACAATAACAAAGGCGTATATTAATGACGTATATTCCGCATTAAGCGGAATTATGGATTTTGTCGTCAAGCTGATGGATCTTTTATGGATGAGTGAATGCATTGATGTTTTTAACATGACTGTAGTATGAAACAGGGCGCGATTGCTAGACGTATACCAGCGCCACACGCAACGCTAGTCCCGCGGATATAAAGGAATAAGACATTTAATTCTACCGAACTACATGCTGAATTACTCACACAGGGCAGTTTATTAGAGGAATTAAACTTGAGGTAATGCAGCGCTGCTTCACTTGCTCTAACGGTTTCACTATCAAACTAAAAGGGATTTGTGTGTGTTGAATGTTGTTAGTTAGGTTGTTTGTTGGCTGTATGAGACTACGCTAGATTGACATTAGAGAATAACACACAGATTATATTCTAACTTTTCATCATGTTAACTATATAACATTTATTAGTTTAATATACATAAATTTGTTCACCTGTTTGCTCAAGTAACATGCAACACTCGCGTCTCTGTCAAGTCGAAGTTAATCACGGACGTGGAACTTTGGCATCTGGAAATATGTAGATCTTCGTTTTAGTTCGCTTTTTGTCTCTGCTGCTTGAACACAACCCTGCTAGGGACAACGGGCATAACCGACCCAGTTATCCACGTCTTCCGCCATGATTACTATTGCAGTACGAGGTCAAACCTGGCAGAAACCGGGGGTAACGAGGATATGACGTCATTGACTGGCGACTCCTCACCCCTGCTGACATGCCACGTTTGCTTGGTTAAAATCATAATTTTCTCACGATTTACAGATAGTTGGAAACATTTGGGATATTGTAAGTAATCAACTAAACAAAATATATAACATTGGCCTAGTGGTTTTGGAATATTTTACTGCAAAAATCCTGCATATTGTACCTTTAAAGCAAATCCTCAAAGGAAAATCGAAGGGTGAAAACGACCAGGACGGCCAAAAACGACATCGCTCGGTAACATCAAAACATGGCTACAATTAACAACAGCACAAACTCTACACGCTGTGCCAATATCATTGTGAAGTCGACTACATCGTTAGGCAGCACTAAAGAAGAAGATGGGGGCAAGTTATAGCCGACCTATAGAGACTCAATATATTGAAACCCTGAAGAAGTGTCTGTTGCTTGCACACTTTCTTTCATTTCAGCCAAAGTGCTCTGAAGGTCAGCTCTTTAGTCTCTATGAGAGAAGGTTTGACCTAAGCAGCTGTGATAACTCACGAAATGACCTTGTTGTGCAACCAAAGGGGTCTTCGAAGTGAACTAAAATTGATATTGTGATAGTGATTGCTCATATATCTGCAGTAAAATGGCCATGAAGGACTAATGAAAGGAAGTGAGCATAAAGAAAAAAATGTCTCACAGTTCAGTTAAACAGTTTGGGGGAAGTAAAAAAAGAAATATACTTTTAATGCATTCAATTGATCAAAAGTGGCAGTGAATACATTGAAAAATACAAAAATATACGCTGTTCTTTTGAACTTTCCATTCATAAGAGAATCACGAGAGAACATCTTTCCTTTTCTCGTGATTCTCGAAGACTGGAGTAATGATGCTGATAATTCAACTTTTTCATCACAGGAATACATTACATTTTAAAATGGAAAGCGGCTGTATTAAACTTTAAAATATTTCACAATATTACTATTTTACTCTATTGTTTTTAATGAAATAAGTGAGCATTCTAATGAGAGACTTCATTCAAAAACCTTCCCAAGACCAAACTTTTGAACGCATACATTTACTTCTGGCATAATGGTAGCCATTCTCATTGTTTTTGAGGATTTTCTACACGCATTCTCATATTCATGACTTACAATAAAATATTCCCTTTGGCATAGGTTCCTGCTGTCAAAAACTTACGAAAGGGACATGGAAACATTAAAACTTTGAAGCACCTGTCCTGTCCTGTACAGTGAAATTTAAGGCTTGGAAATAGAAATCAAATCTTTCTTCTGAAGTATGTCTTCCTGTTCATAAAGCTCCTGTATATCTGTCATTTGTATCTGTATGAAATAAAGAACAGATGAAACTGAATAATACAGCAGACACATGCTCTTATTATGAATGTTCCCGATCCTTCTCTTCATTTCACTTGTTCAGACGTTAACTGAATAATGCATGCATGTCAAAGATATTAACTAGTGCCACTATACAATACATCATATTTCACTCACCACCAGAAGTCTCAGAGCTGTTCAAACATTTTCATCACACATGAAATGCAAGTCAACCTAGATGTCTTGTGTATTGTTTAACTCAAGAATAACAATGCATGAAACTCATGAAAGTCATGTGATTTACACTTTTCATTGTCTAGGACAATGAAAAGGGAAAAATATCTATTTCCACTTCGCCTCTATCCAGATGAATTGTGTCTCAGTTATTTCAGATAAGCACAATTGATGGGTCCACCTGAATATAGCAGAGTTGTTAAATGAGAAACATAAATCTGTGTGCCAGTGTGCAGAATGCTGTTCATTGTTACCATGTCTTTTCCTCACATTATTGATTGCTTTAATGAATAGTCAGATTCCGGCTTACTTGTATTACAACAAAGACGAATTTTGTCTTATGAATAAAACCAGCCAGCTCCATTAAGAAATCGATGGCAGGCTTCATTTGATATCGTCATTAGCAAGGTTTTATCATAACAGCGAGGAGATAAAGTATGACACCACAGCTCTATTTCATCAAATTCAACAACACAATTATTCATTTAATCATGAAAAGAACTAGCATGTGAAATATAATCCTTAAAGGGTTAGTTCACCCCAAAATCAAGATTGCTATGCTGAAGAAGAAAAGACCCTAAAGGGATATGTATATATGTTCAAGTTTTTTTTTTAAAGCTACACTGTGTAACTATTTTAGTTTATTCTTAGCTAAAAACACTTAGTTCTTTCAAAAATATATGTGCTCATTAATGTATATTTACTTCGTTCAAATAATAAAGTATTCTCGTGAGTGTATAATATGCCATTGAAAATACATACGGGTAAGGGGTTTTAATGTCGGTCGCCATGTCGCCCCTCCATCTTGAAAGTACATTAGCCAAAGAGGGACATACCTGTTAATTCAAGCTTCGCCTTTCGCGTCTACGTTTGAGTTAACACTCATGGACGAGGTCGAACTGGAAGCCATGTTAATCGTGGACTACATTGGCCACCGTAGGAGTTAAAACGAAATCGGAATTGAAAGGAACAGAAATAATATTCACTGGATGGTCATATACCTTTTCACCGCTAGATGGGGGTAAAAATCACACAGTGTAGTTTTAAAAAAAAGCATCTTTATCATCTTTGTCTAGGCTGTATTAAAGGGATAGTTCATCCAAAAGTGAAAATTTGGTCAGTATTTACTCACCCTCATGTTGTTCCAACCCCATAAGACCTTTGTTCATCTTCGGAACACAAATTAAGATATTTTTGATGAAATCTGAGAGCTGGATCACTCCTGCATACTAGTCCATAGGCTTCTTGAGGAATTGAAACTTGCCGGCCTCGAAAAGTTATTAAAGACATTGTTAAAATACTCCAAGTGACTACAGTGGCTCAATCTTAACTTTATCAAGTGACGAGAACACTTTTTGTGCGCAAAAAAACAAACATAATGACTTTATTTCAACTATTCACTTTCTTCTCTATGAGCCTCTAGTCAGTTAACGTAGTGTGATAGCGTAGAGCTACGTCACACGTAGGCTTACTATTGGCCGAAGCTGGTCATGTGTGTGATGCATGTGATGTACAACAACAGATCATACGCTGTTAAACTAGTACTCGAGGCAGAGAGAGAAGTAAATGAAGTTGAAATAAAGTCGTTATTTTTGTTGTTTTTTTGCGCACAAAAAGTATTCTCGTCGTTTGATAAAGTTAGGATTGAGCCACTGTAGTCACTTGGACTATTTTAACGATGTCTTTAATAACTTTTCGAGGCTGGCAAGTTTCAATCCCTCAAGAAGCCTATGGACTAGTATGGAGGAGTGATCCAGCTCTCAGATTTCATCAAAAATATCCTAATTCATCTTCCGAAGATGAACAAAGGTCTTACAGGGTTAGAACAACCAGCCCATTCTCACTCCCAAGGCGTCACCTAACTGACGCCTTGGGAAGCATTTGGACATGCTTCAATATCTGACGCTTTAGGCGCCCTTTAGCGTCAGTTAGATGACGCCCTAGGATCGTGTGTACCCTACCCCCACCCCATACCTAAACCTAACCGTGTCCTCTAACTGACGCTTTCCTTTAGCGTCAGTTAGATGACGCCGTAGGATTGAGTCATGTAAGTGACGCTAAAGGGCGCCTAAAACGTCAAATATTGAACCTTGGGGTGAGAATGTGTTGGAACAACATGAGGGTGAGTAAATACTAAAAGAATTTTCATTTTTGGGTGAACTAACCCTTAAATACAGCTTTTTTTAGAAAAAAATCTAAAAATCTTTAACATATACATATCCCTTTAGGGTCTTTTCTGCTTCAGCATAGCAATCAAGATCCATAATGAATTACTGTGGAGCTTTGCACTCAGCATGGAATCGTGCCTTCATTTGGAATGGGCTTTGTTACCTCATTAAACAGATTTAAAGGATTTTACCCTGATAATGTCACCCTAGTTTAAGACTTATTGTCTTAAAACAATCCCGTACAAAAAGATTTGGGAATTATTTACAGCATCAATGCCACATGCTCGTCTGAATAAATTAGCCATGGAATTTGAGGCGCACCCAGAAACTGCATTGGATTATATATATATATATATATATATATATATATATATTTTTTTTTCAGTAGCAAGAGTGAATTTTATCCTTACTGACCATATGACTCACCCGAACCACCCAATTTCAAGTTACTGATTCACATCTCAGACTTCTCCATCTTCTGACACTCCTGCCCAAGTCCAAAGCAGAATATGTCGCTCAAACCAAAGTAAAGTACAGAGTGAAACAGAATCCTGTTTGAAATGGAAATAAAATGTCTTTATTTTATATTGATTTGCTTTTTATATAAAAAGTACTTACATTTAATACATTTTTTCCCCCAAAATACAAGCAGCCAAACAACATATAAATCAAATACAAAATTATAAAATCTGTCTCTTAGTAGCTTCCCTTCTGAAAGTAAGCAGTAATATGATGTAATTCATAATCTCTAAAATTCCCATGTAACAGTAATTTTGATTCTCTCTGGCATCCACGACACACCAAGGATGATCCGTGACCTGTACGTGATATCTTACCCTAGGTCTATTGTCTAACAGTGATGAAGTCAGCTTTAATTTGCTTGATGAAGCCGGTGTAGCTGTATTGCTGAGCTCAAATGTAGCTTTAAGCAGGCAAAGTTGCAGAAAAGTCTCACACACAACTACCAGATTGTAGTATAATGACCATCAAACTGACACCAGCTCTGTAAAGGTTCTGTCAAAGCGTAGACAAGACGGCACTTGGTCAATATTTCCATTCAGTGCTGAGCTGTCCCAGCATGCCACATTGTTGGGTTTCATAAACACGGTTCATAATTGCAGCATTTTTCTGGGTGGTGAAAATGAAAAATCACTTCATGAAGCAAAAACAAACAATAAGAACTGACTGAAGTCAAGTGGTTGACTTGTGTAGCCCTATGTTGTGGAGGAAAGCGGAAAGGGGGGAAATAAAGGATAAAATCGTACATGAATATAACAAAAAAACATTTAAATGGCATAAATATGGCATTTCGAGCATAATTAAATATGATAAATGAGGTTAATACTACACGGAAATGAAAACTCTCACAGTGTAATGTGAAGTAAACACTAGAAAGAAAAAAAGGCATAAGCTGTCATGATGCCCTAAGGCAACTTACTTAATTTAGGAAGAAATAAACACCAATTAAAAGGAAAATACTTTGCAGTTGTAATTTTGTTAACTGCCCACAATGTGCAAATGAGCAGTTGCGTGTCACATGTGCAGTGCAGCAACAAAACAGTTGAGATGGACAAGTATGACTCCAAGTATCGCAACAGACATAGAGGCGCCATGCTGATGGTGCCAAGAAATCAAATATAAACAAGATATCTGAACCTGATAGGAAATAGAAATTTTTTTTTTTGTTTGTTTTCCTTTAGTTTTATACATTTTGTACATTGAAGTAAAAAAAGAGTATAAAGTGTAGTCAGGCTATGCGGCGGTTTCTCGAATCGTCCCCTCAAGTTTCTTTGGGAGTAGCTCTCTCCTTTCGTCAATGTTGAGGACTGGTTTGCGACAGTTCTGACCATCCAGGTACATCTTCGCGTACATCGGATTGGAGTAGTTCATTGGCTGTTTGGAGAGATAATTGTTGAAAATTGACATTCAGTTGACATTCACAATAAAAAAAAAAACATCTCGTTTGAAAGAAAAACCTAAATTAATAATAACAATAATAATAAAAAAATGGTTAAAAAATAATTATAATTATTTCATTAAGTAAATCATGTTAAACAAACACAAAAAAACACGTTGTGCAGGACTAAAGGTGGTTCAAGGAGTTGGTTCCACTGCAGCCGGAGTCAAACGTGGTTTCAGTAGCATCATTTGGATCGGTGCTTTGAAAAGCATATTCAATCATGTTTATGGTGACATGCTGATGTCAGCAAAGGATGATAAATATATTATAAGCGTCACTCACAACCCCATCAACCTCACCTCCTGCATAAATGAACCACTAAAACATGAAGAACAAAGCAGAAGTTGAGCCATAAAGCCATGCACTTACATTCATGCAAACCTCCACACCACATACATGCAAAAAATATATCATCAATACATAATTGAGACAAAGGAGCCCAAGGCGTTCACCTGTCCAGGTATTACTTCCTTAGGGACAGAATGAATATTCAGCGTGCAAGGGTCACTGGATTTTACACACCAGCCCTGGAACACACACAGTCGCCCCAGCATGCAGTGGACATTTAAAACGTCATTGTCACTAAACAACATCAATGTAATGCTGCTATTTAGACAGAAATATTTTCATAGTACGAAACAAACGGTCAGTACGAAGCACGTAAAATCGAGCATTTTGTTATTGCCATTTTAGCGTTGCTTTTAAAAGGCATGAGTTTTTAGAAACAGATGTCAGAGTTATTTGCAAGGGGAAAAATATAAATGTTTGCAGCTTTAATGAGGCAAGGTAAAGACACTTTTCATATCCTGGGTGAGAGGATGCAGACAAAACATAAGAGCCCTGGTGTTAAGGAACAGTTAATATTACACATTCATTTCCACTTGTCATTTACTCAAGAGATATTTTCCAGGAGAGAACAAAAGCACGTTCTTTCTGCATCTACCACTTTGTGTTTTATGGATGTACATTGTCAACAAGATTTCTTGTGTTGGGGGTGTAAAATATTCCAACACAAACCTTTTGGGGGTCGAGTGTGAAATTTGGTTTGAGAAGGCTTCCGGCATCTGCGTGGTTGTCATGGTCCACCTCATACATGTTGTAGGATGGATTGCCAATCTCCACATTAATGCCTCCATTAGTTATGGGCTGTCGCTGTACACGTTTCCCCCTGCGACGGAGACACACTTGAAATATATGCAGATGTCTGGGGACTACATTGTTTATATGCACTTTGCATTTTTGAACAATATGTTCATAATGACTATTACTAGGACTGTCAAATTAACGTGGTTCAACAACACTTAAAGGCATGTCAGGCTAAAAAACAGCAAGACACAATGCAGCCACAATACATGTCTGTAATGTTTTTTGCTATACCACAAAACAAAGATTCCTGATTAAAGAAAAAAAAATGAAAAAAAAAACAGAAATGCTTCAAGTAAAAATACATTATATGTGTGTAAATGTTATAATATGTTTAAAAATCATCACAGGGTTTTCATGATAAAAAAGTATAACACTTTACAACATGGGTGCACTGATATGCATTAATTCATGCTTAACTAATGCACAGATAATCATGAGTTAATGATTACTGCATCAGCAACTAATAAAGAGTCTATATGATTAATAGATTAAGTAATACATGAATTGCTATTAATTCAATGTGTCATTATGTATTAATTCCTTATTAAGTAATAGTGCAAATGAATGTGTACTAATAATTACCATAATTAGTCAAAAACTATGCACTTCAACTTCCAGTTGTCTGCTTTAATGAATCATTAGCAAATGATTTGCAAAGGTATCATTATGTTATGACTTTACTTGTTGGGGCACATCATGCTTAACTAGTCATTTAGTAATTGTAGTAATTTGCACATGAATTTGCACTAACAATGAAGTAATTAATCATGTCATATTAACCTGTCATATTATCCGGAAGTTGAAATACAAGGTTTTGGCTCATTCTGGTAATTAACATATTAATTAACACTATTAGTTAAAAATGATTTATTGTGGAATTAATCCACAATTACATAATTAATCTATTAACTAATACATTAACCTTGCAGACTCTTACTTAGTTCCTAATGTGGTAATCATTAATGAATAGCTTAAATAATCATTAGTTACACATTAATTTAGTATTATCTGTGCATTAGTTACGCATGAATTAATGCTTATTAGTGCACCCGTATTGTAAAGTGTTACCAAGTAATCGATGACAGCCCTGTATTTATATTTAAAAACTGTGCCAAAAAGTACCTTTGTCGTCTTCTGCAGATAAAGACACCGGTAACCACTGTAGTAATCAGAATGACCAGCAGGACCAACGGCACAATGATAGCTATACTTCCTGTTTCACACAAGAAAAAAGCCAGAAGCAAAATCTCCTATTAAGTCTGTTTCCCCAGGTGTCTATGCAGGTGGAACAGGAAATTATTAGATACTCCATCACAGTAAAATGAAATAAACAGTACCGGAGCCGAAAAGATATTGAGCCAATATTTAACAAGAAGCTCAGATGTATATTCAGATGTGTCGTATGACTGATGAAATAACGGTTCTTTTCATTTTAATAATTGAAGGACTGAATCCTTATTGAATTAGGAGAGGAGAGCTCTTTATAAAGCATGAAAGCTCACCTCCAGCTGTGTTATCAGAGCGGCTGCTCTTGGGGGCCGGCCTCTCGCACTGCGTCCCCGACCAGTTAGCTGAGCATCTGATCGAAAACAACACAGATAAAACAAAAAGAAGGCAAGTCAGAAAAGAGAATTAAGAATAGATTTAAACAGACAAAGGCTTAACATCTACTTAAAGGAATAGTTAACACAAAAATACAATTAGTTATTTACTCACACAAAGCCTTAAATATATATATGATCAAAAGTTTGCTTTTGAAAGAAGTCTCTTATCCTCACCAAGGCTGTATTTATTTGATGATTTCAGTATTACTGTGAAATATCATTACAATGTAAAATAACGGTTTTCTATTTGAATACATTTAAAAACAAAATGTATTCCTGTGATGGTATAACTGAATTTTCAGCAGTCATTACTTCAGTCTTCATTGTCTCATGATCCTTCAGAAATCATTCTAATATGCTGATTTGGTGCTGAATCATGATTCATGTCTAAAGGACGTAGGCCAGTAGGAGCTGTGAGCTTAAACCTCACTCCCCTGGTCTCAAGAGATACACTAGTAGCAGTCTTTACCGTCCTTGTTAGTGCGCTCGCCTCCCATGCTGGAAACCCAGGTTTGAATTCTGCTCTGAGAGGGGGTGCGTTTCCCGTACAACGACGTAGTTCGCTGATTCATTACCATAGTACGATGTATCGTTGGAAAAATCAACTAGCTAGTCGCGACTGTTTCCCGAAACCCACTGTCGCAAAGTATCGTTCAACCACGTTGGTTTCGCACGTGGTGGAGTATTAACTACTTTTAATGAAACTGTTTGAGATCCAATTAACGCTAGATTTGTTTTATATAAATTACAGACATGTCATCTGAGGACTATTTCTAATTTTTCTCAGATGTTTTGCTTTATTACCAGACTCAATATTTGACTCGTTCTTGCATAGTTGAGCACGTTCGCACATGCGCACTCTTCAAAATCGGTACTTTAAATCTTTTGAAAACCTAAAAGACGTAAATTACATTTGTATGTATTCTAAATAAAAGGCACCGGTTGTACTGAATGTCAGCTTGCTTATTTTGCTCAAGATCAGGATTTATAACCTCCAAATGTCATGCAATATAGAAACGATGCCTCTAACCACAGGTCGAGAGCTGACGTTCAAATCACACAACTTTGCGATGCTGTTTGCGAATGTCCGTTGGAACGATGGTTTCGGGAAACACCGACTCGTTAAACTATGCAGATAACGACGGAACTTGTGACCATAGTTGGCTAACAATGCTTTCGGGAAACGCACCCCAGGTTGAGTAGGACTCATTATAGACACAAATGCTTAATTATTAATATGGGTTGTTAATATTTTCAATGTTGAAAACTGTACTACTGAAATTGTGGAAACGACTTTTTCAGTACTTTTTCATTTCCATAAATTAATAATAATAATAAAAAAAAAAATCACTTACCCCAAACTTTTCAATGGTAGTATATCACAGTTTCGCCAAAAATACAAAGGAACAAAACCTTTCAAAATGTATGATAATATTAAATGGTTCTTGAGCACCAAATCAGTATATTAGAATGACTTCTGAAGGATTAGTTTTTTTTATTGTAATATTTCATGCCTTAGTGAGCAAAAGAGTCTTCCTTATATATATATATATATATATATATACATATATTAGTGCTGTCAAACGATTAAAATATTTAATCGCAATTAATCGCATTAATGACACAGTTAACTCGCGATAAATCACAATTAATCGCACATTTGTATCTATTCTAAATGTCTCTTAATTTCTTTTTGTCCAATTATTTATTCTCATTAATGCTCTTAGCAACAAGGAAAAGTGCATGAACTTGCTTTGTGCAAATGTTTTTTTATTGAAAATTCACTGTTCAATTTCACAATAAAACATTAAATTTGGACTGCATTTATAGCACTGTCCCTCAATGAAAGGGTGAACGAAATACTGACGAGGTCCTGATATTGACGAGGGGGCGGAGAATTCGCATCAGCTGTGTGTGTGCTTGGCCATCATCAAGTGGTATTTCAGACTGGACGTGCTGTGATGATGACATCTCAGTTCACAGAGACAAAAACACAGATCACTTTGGTCACGTCAATGGAACCATTTGGCAACTTTTTAAAAGTAAACTTTCCATTCATTTCGGCGTCTTGCGCTCGTCATCCACTCAAAACGTAACATTAACCTACTATTTTGAACAAACAAGTGTGTCCCTGTTGTTTTGTTTCTGATCTAACTAGATCTGCTTGTGCTTTGGTCGACGAAGCAACAAAATGTCCTTGCGTGGCGCAAGCCTTTAAATTGAATGGGTTTCATATTGCATGCCACGCATGCCGCGTCCTGTTGCAAAAGCAAGTGAACACTACAAAGTTTGCTAGGCCAAAAAAAAACGTTAATCGTGCGATAAAAAAATGATGCGCGAAAAAATGGATATACGTTAACACTGTTAATAACGAGCTTAACTGACAGCCCTAATATATATTTACTGTATATATTTTAGTATCACCTTAAGAGTAGGCAAATGCACAGTGAAAATAAACTGAAAACACTCATTAAATGGCAAGCAGTAAAGCAGAAAGAAAGTCATGAATCATCTGATTTGTAAATGGAAGTGGTCCATTGGGGGTTATGTTTATGATTAAACAGATGTTTGATGTTTGTTTATCGGCGTATGATATGAGAGTGAAGACTGGATCTTGCACATTAAAACCGTACACTATTTTACAAACTGAGTGCGGTCACATTTTTTAATTGTCTGACTATATTAATTCTTCCCTAAGCAGACACTGTTAGAAAAATAAAACAGGCAAACAGAATACGGATCCCAAACAGATACAGAACAAAAGAGAAAATCCTGAAGGCATGGAATGTGTGTACTTGAGGATGGTAGGATCATGGGAAGTGGACAGTGGGGAAGCGGTCAGGGTAAATCAGCTGGATGGATGGAGTCTGGTGGAGATGGCTATATCAGGTGAACAGTTGGACCTACTTGCATCGAGGTTTGTTAAAGGCAGTTATTGTGCATATTCCTTCGTTTTGACAGTAGTAATCACAGGGATTGGCCAGCTCATCGCAACGCTGGTTCTTGAACCCTGCCGTGCAGCTGCAAGACATCGCAGTGAGATGAGGACAGTAAGAAGTGAAAGAAGTTTGCAGAACTGAAAAAAGTGCATGATCTGTACAGTAGCAGCAAGAGTATGTATGTATGTCCTAGTTATAGTTTTAGGATCTTACATGTTTTATGACTCTAAAATCAAATGAACAGTATGTATTTTAGGAATATTCACTGCAGGGCTTCTAGGATTCCCACAGACCCATGAATTTCCATTGATCTCCCTTGTGTCCATGTTAACTGTAAAAGGTTAGTTTTTTTTTTCTTAGAATGCAGGGTGGATTTCAATTTGTATGACTAACTCAATATTCTCAATATTCTTCCTCTACATACAGTATACACTCTCACCACACACTCTCAGAAAAAAAAGGTACAAAATCTGTCACTGGGGCTGTACCTTTTCAAAAGGTCAACTTTTGTCCATTTTAGGTGCTAATATGTACATTTTAGGACAGGTGGTAATATGTACATTTAGGTTCTAATATGTACATTTTAGGTGCCAATATGTACATTTTAGGTGCCAATATGTACATTTAGGTGCTAATATGTAAATTTAGGTGCCGATTTGTACAGTTTAGATGCTAATATGTACATTTTAGGTGTCAATATGTACATTTTAGGTGCCAATGTGTACATTTAGGTGCTAATATGTACATTTAGGTGCCAATATGTACAGTTTAGGTGCTAATATGTACATTTTAGGTGCCAATATGTACATTTAGGTGCTAATATGGACATTTATTTGCTAATATGTACATTCTAGGTGCTAATATGTACATTTAGGTGCCAATATGTACATTTAGGTGCTAATATGTACATTTTAGGTGCCAATATGTACATTTAGGTGCTATATGGACATTTTATTTGCTACTATGTACATTTTAGGTGCTAATATGGACATGTAGGTCCTAATATGTACATCTTAGGTGCTAGTATGTACATTAGGTTCTAATCTGTACATTTTGGGTGCTAATATGTACATTTTAGGTGTCAACATGTACATTTAGATGCTAATGTAACGGAGGCCAGCTGGTAGTTGCTGTGCGAGTAAACCTCACTCCTCTGATCTCAATAGGTGCTCTAGCGACAGACACAGTCTTTAGCCTCCTTGTTAGAGCGCCTGACTCTCATGCCGGAGACCGGGGTTCGAGGCCCTCTCGCAGCAGGTCGAGTGGGACCCGGGTGTAGGGGTTACATTGGTGCCGTGACCCGGATGAGAGTGAGGTTTAGGGGGGTGAGTGTAACGGAGGTGGTAGTTGCTGTGCGAGTAAACCTCACTCCTCTGATCTCAATAGGTGCTCTAGCGACAGACGCTAGAGGCTGCAGTCTTTAGCCTCCTTGTTAGAGCGCCTGACTCTCATGCCAGAGACCCAGTGACAGCTTTTGGACCCTTTTCCTGAGAGTGTGTGCACAAATGAATGTCTAGCCGTTGAAACATTTCAGAGCACGGCAAACCTATAAAAAATTACTGTAAAATAACTCAAAATGAACTTCCAGATTTTTCGATTACCATGATTTCAAAAATTGAAACAAGCATTTTTTTTCTGTAAAGCTACATTGAAATTATACAAAAAACTTTCAGTTTCAGACCATGAAGCTGTAAGATGGAATCTTGTTGACTGACTTTTTTTTTTTTTTTTAAATAAAACAATCCAAACTGTATTTCAGAGTATGTATATAATGTTTTTTTTTTTTTTTTTCTGTGATTTCACTGGAACGGAGAGTGAGTGGTGGATAAGCAATAGAGAGGTAAAGCCTGCATCTGAACCATTCTCAGGTTTGGATGCTGACAGATGAGTTAATCGCAGATATCTAGGGGAGACAGTGATGAAATTGTAAATGTGTTGTGAATTTCCAAGTTGGCAGCTACAAGAAATAATACACCTAAGTCAAAATCATCTCTGAGCATCATGGAAGTAAATAACTGTGCTTTGAAGTATAAAAAACTTTGCCTTCCCAAATATATGAAATATATGAGCTTTGATAAGGAATTCATTTAAATTATATTCATTTCAGGTCAGCTATGATGACTGCTTGGCAGATACACATCCATCATTCCATACATTTCCTGTGACTCAGAGCCAGTGAATGAAATACATTATCGGGACCTCACAATAAAAAAAGAGAGAGATCATTTGCATAGAAATTGATTCCATTCTCTCAATTATGCCAGTCATTGCTACAAATGCCACATAAACTGCATAGAGCATTTGACGATTTTCAAAATAACCATTTACAACCTGTTTAAGTTTGGAGACTGAATATGTGATAATTTAACGGTTGCTAACCATCACACTTCAAAGAGCATCCGTTATACATGCCTTCTGTCACAATCTGCGTTTGCAGCTAATCAAATCTGATGGGAAAAAAAGATAACTGTAAATATCTTGCATAGGAAACGACATTCAGGAGGGGCAAGCGGTGTGGGAAATAATTAATGAGCATTTAACTAAGCATTTATTGGGGTCTTTACACATACACATAATAAAACAATAGCAATTTAAGACAACAGGACCTCATGATTCACTGAGATTCTTAAAAGCTGAATTTAGCGAATGCCCCAGCTCTGCTTTGACCTTGTATTGTGATGTTACGGTCTAAATAAATAATTAAAAAGTTACTTACAAATATTCAAATGTGGAGCCCTACCAACCAAGGTGTTGAAACACGTTTCATTCCACGAATACTTGCAGCACAAAATAGTGAAATTCTTTAAATCAATGTGTAAAGGACGAATATTTTTTCATTGGTCAATGCTGAAAGCTTTGTGGCCTTTACTACCTCTATTATTAACATCCTAAACACGTGGCGCTCTGCAAGAAGCCACTGCCTTCAACCGCTCATGATCTCGCAATAGAAAAGTGAATTTATTCTCGACAAAACAAATTGTTAGGCTTTCTAAATGTATCCATTCCTGCCTGCCAGACCAAAGAGAGCAGGACTCCAGCTGTTCTCAGGATGCCGTCCCAATATACACAAGTCCACGGGGTGGACATCCTGTCAGCAGCTCCTGCGCTGTGAGAGCCTAACCTCATTTATCAATGCAAAGCCAAACAACAACAATAAAAAGAAAATACCTGTTGCACCTGAAACAAAACATCATGCCCAGTGATGTCAACTCAAAAGCAATTCATGATTTTACTCTAATAATTGACCAGTATTCTGCGAACTTTCCCTTTCTCTTAGTGCTGAAGCTCTGACATGAATCAGGACTTTATGCAGTCAACAGTTTCGGCTATACAGTATTTAGTATTTAGTCCAAATGACGTAATCCAAAAATTATACAGCAAATATTACGACATCAAAAGTTTGGGGTCAGTAAGATTGAAAAAAATAAAAATAAATTGGTAACACTTTCATTATGTTTCATTAGTTAACATTAACTAAGAATGAACAATAGACTTCAGCATTTATTAATTGTAGTTAATGTTAATTTAAATTCCATTTAATAATACATTATTAAAATAAACATTTGTTTTTGTTTACATTAATTAATGCACTGTGAAGTATCATGAACAGACAATGAACGTCTGTATTTTTATTAACTAACATTTACAAAGATTAATAAATACAGTATTAAATTGCTCATTGTTAGTTCATCAGCTAAACACATTAAGTAATGTTAACAAGTGAGGGCTTATTTTAAAGTGTTACCAATGAATTATTACCGTACTTTCATTCAGAAATGATTAAATTGATCAGAAGTGGCAGTTAAGACAGTTATAGTGTTTAATTTATAAGATTTGTATTTAATTTTAATGTAGTACTTTTATATACGTAAAAAACAAATCTGAAAAAAATCAAATAAAATGTACCACAGTTTCCACAAAAATGCTAGGCAGCACAACTATTTTCAACATTGATAATCATAAGAAAAGTTTTTGAGCACCAAATTAGCATATCAGTATAAATACATAGGCTAGTATAAATATAAGAACGATTTCTGAAGGAACACGTGACACTGAAGACTATTAGATTAGAGAAATGTTCGGCTTTGCAATCACAAGAACAAATTATGTTTTAAAATGTATTAACATTTGATTAAATTGTAATAATACATCACAATATTTCTGGTTTTACATTATTACTCAAATAAATGATCAGATAAATGTAGTCTTAGTGAGCATATGCGACTTACCATCAAAAACATTAATACATCTTACCAACCCCAAGCTTACAGTACTATATTTGGTAGCTCTGATTATTCATTTTCAGGCTTGTTGTAATTAGATTTTAACCAATTGTAGGCTTTTAGGCAGAGCGTGGCCTAATTGTTCCTTTGTGCTTTTTAAATCTGTCAAAGTCTCTAAGATCTGTAGAACCTTTCTAAATAAATGGTAAGGCTTTCAAGGGTATGTGCCATGTGGGACTAATAGCTGGCATTTCGAATGTGGACAAAATGAGGCACTTAGTCATTCTTACTGGCAGAAGGGTAGGCTGGTGTCGGGGTCAAGATGACAGGTGCCTCCATTATAGCAGTAGCCATCACACAACTGGCAGCTGGAGGCGATTCGACCGCTGGTACAACTGGCAGAGTGACAACAATTTGGATGAGCTAAAAATGTGGTTGTTACATTGGTAATTTAAGTGGAAACTTACAGGCTAACCCAGGGGTGTCCAGTTCTGCTCCTAGAGGGACACTGTCCTGCAGAGTTTACCTCCAATTAAACATACCCGAACAGCTAATCAAAGTATTACTAGGCATGCTTGAAACTTCCAGGCAGGTGTGTTGAGGCAAGTTGGAGCTAAACTCTGCAGGACAGTGGCCTTCCAGGGCCGTGCTTTCGACACCCCTGGGCTAACCTATTAATAAATTACATAAATTAGGCTTTGTATTATTATATAACACAGTCTCATCCCAAAAAGTCATATAACTGACGTCTTGGGACGTTTTTTGACCGTACGTCAATATCCGCCTTTTTAGGGCCCCCTTAAACGTCGGTAGATGGCGATCCCGGGCCGTCATACAACTGACGCTTTACCTTTAACGTCAGTTAGGTGACGGGTTAGGTTTAGGTCTGGGGTAGAGTTAGGATCCCATAACCTCATCTACCGACGTTTAAGGGGGCCCTAAAAAGGCGAATATTGACGTATGGTCTAAAGACGTCCCAAAACGTCAGTTATATGACGTCTTGGATGAGACAGGGTTGTATTATCAGCTACATGAATGTTCACCATCGGTGCTGGAAATGTATTATCCTGGATACAATCATATTTTGATTGTAATTCTGTAATTCATTAATTCTGCATTTCATTTTCTTAAAGCTGCAGTAGGTAACTTTTGTAAACAAATATTTTAAAAAAAAACATACATACAATTTTATAGCAATATCAAAAAACAGCCAACTAACTTGCAAGCCACTTCTCCCGTATCTCCATCAACGATACACGGGGCTCCGTGGCAGCGCAGGCACTTGTCGACATCGCACTTTATCCCTTCATAGCGAGCCGGGCACACGCATTCAACGTGTCCTGACCCGGACAGCGTACACGCCTTGGAATTGACACAGTGGTGATGACAGATATCTGTCATGGAAAAGAAACCGAAAAAACACAAGATATGTCCCTAATTAAGAGCACATTTCTTTCATATCATGTTCAAGTTTAATTAGAATTTTACAAAGCTTTAATGAGGCTTAATTATCCGCATCAAATATCTACTGGAACTGAGATGAAAATGCGTCACCCCTTGGGTGCAGAGCACTAAAAATGCATTACGGGTGCGCAGATTAAATTGTTTTGCAACAAATTATAATAACAAAGACTATAACAACAATTTTTTTTATCAGCAAAGCACAGAAACACCTCAAGGTTGTTACAGTAGAATTTAGAAAACCTCTTTGGGCACATAGCGTTCAAATGCCCTTTTGAGTCAAATACAATATTTGCTTTCATTGGGGTTTTTATGTTTCTGCTACCAGTCGGAGAGAGAAAATTTAACAATTGTTCAATTAACCACAAATTAGTGACTGGTCTTTTATGTTGAAAATACAACAACTCAAGAGAAAAACCCTCTCTGGAGATCATATCATTTTCTCCACAGTCCTTTCTTTCTGTTTCATTTGGTATTTGAATGATTTAAACACGCAATATGGATTGCAGTATGTTGATACTGAATTAAGAGGGCACAACTAATTAGCTGCCGTGGAAATCACTGACCTATTGAATTAAAATGTAGTCACTGACCATTTCTGCTGGGTACAAGCAATCTCTTACAATACTTACGATGCAGACAGCGGTCACCCGTGTACTCTGCCAAGCAGCGGCACACTGGCTGGTTTCCAACGCTTATTTCACATGTGCCTCCATTCAGACAGTGATTATCACAGACCCGCCTCTCACAGTTTGGACCGGTGAATCCTGTCATGCAGCGACAAGTAGGTTTCCCTATGATTGGAGTAGACAGATGTGTCAACATCGAGAAAAAAACACCCATGCGTGGGTATTTTATTTTTGTTTTGACCATTTCAGTTTTACTACCAAATCTTGTAGAGAATGTGAGTTGTTTGCTGAAGGCAATTTCAGCAGAGAGGCAATGAGAAAGGTATTTTTTTCAGTAGGCAAATTATAAATTTAAACTGTACTGGAGTCCACAAGAACCATATATTTATGCTCAGCTTTAACAGCAACCAAAATAACTAAGCTCTGCCACCAAAAGCTTTAGAGTAAAAGTGCCCATAATAATAATAATAATAATAAATAATATATATATATAAAAAAAATATATATATATATATATATATATATATAAATTAATTAAGTCACATAATTACTGTGACAGGGAAGGGACATGTTCAGTTCACTTAAGTGTTGTTGTGAGTACAACATAACACTTATGGGAACGTGATAATATCTCGAGTCCACAGCTTCTTGTGTTAAGAGAAAAACATCCTGTTTTTTTGTGACCACGAGTTTTTAATGACTGAGCCAGATCAGATTATAAACTAGTGTTTTAAGGGATACTCCACTTTTTTTTTTTTTTTTTTTTTTTTTTTTTGGAAATAGGCTCATTTTACCACTCCCCCAGAGTTAAACAGTTGGGTTTTACCGTTTTCGAATGTATTCAGCCGATTTTTTGATATTTAGAAGAATATCAGTTACCAGACAGTTTCTGGTCTCATTGACTTCCATAGACCAGAAACTGTCTGGTTACTGATATTCTTTTAAATATATATATATATATATATAAAAAAATAAAAAAAAATCAGCTGAATGGATTTGAAAATGGTAGAACTCAACTGTTTAACTCTGGGGGAGTGGTAAAATGAGCCTATTTCAAAAAAACAAAAAAGTTGAGTTTTAAAACTCTTTAAACTCTTTAAACTCCTAAACTCTTTAAATGAATGTTTGAGACTTTCTAATTTCTTATGATACCTATGCAGCATAATATTATCTGATATATATGTTTCTCCATCAACACCCAATCAAACTGTATACGCAAAGCACCATGCTCGAAGACAAAGGAACATACACTTTCCATCTAAAAGTTTAAATTAACATTGGCTCACTGACCCCTGGAAGTGTGGCATCCTTATGGTTTAAAGATCACACTGATCACACTAGGAGTTCCTCCAGTACATGCTCTAGTGTACAGCAAGACCCCAGAAACCATGGAAATGAACATTTCTTACAATTAATAAGCAACTAACACTGAGTGTTTGCTGAACAAACAGGTTAGTGGTATTAATTCTGCTAAATCAATTTAATTCTTACAGCTGATCAAAATATTTATAATGAGTTATAAATGTATTATTAATTATTCATATTTTCTTTTGGGCTAATTAGCTACAAGTTTAATGCATAAGCAAACCCCTTTGACCATAGCAACCTGGGATTATCAGAAAAAGAGATGATTAAAAGAATAACATTTTATTTAGAATATTGCATATATATATATATATATATATATATATATATATATATATATATATATATATATATATATATATATATATATATATATATATATATATATATATATATATATCTGTATGACATTTTTACACACAGAGTTCACATGACTTCAAAAATTATACATTTTTATTTAAAGTTCTGAGTAAAGTCGCTCAGTAAACTATTCTTTTTAATAATAATAACGACATCTCATTCGGCCATTAACGATCGACAGAGAAAATTATGAAATGTGTCAAATTTCAGAGGATTCTGATGTTGAGAATAATTGCTTTCTTGCATGCTTCATCAGTCATTTGATTGATTATGATAGACGAAGCTGTAATATGACACTCTTGACTAATTTTAATTGAGGTGCAGACACAAACACTCAGCTGATTTTGTCATCAGCAATCTTTTATACGTTTCTAAAGTGCTCGATTTTTTACCATACAGACCAGAGTCTAAAATACTGCTTCGAATAAATGCAGATATGTAATTACTAGCACACACACTGCCACACATTTTTGGTGACAGATGTCTTTCTTTAAAAAAGTTATTTAAAAAAAAAAACAACAACTCTTAATGAAACTGCAGGGCACAATAGTTGCATGTAGTACGCATGTAATATCAATACAAGTTGATTTTAAAGACCATTTAAATACTTCAAAATTCAGTCAAATAATTCAATCATGAATTCAAATGTACACAAAGCGAAGAGAGTTTCTTACCGAGAGGTGAGCCAGTGCACGTGCCTCCGTTTAAGCAGTAATCTGTACAGTGATTGACTTCACAGCGCTCTCCAGAGAAACTGGGCCAGCAGTAACAGCGCCAGTCTCCTTTTTCATTGCCCAAGCAACGCCCTCCATTCTCACAGGCAGGTCGGCACAGCTCACCTTTAACATATTGAAATAAATTAATTATACCTCCAAAATGTCAAACCCCCCTCCCAAAAAAAACAAAAAAAAAAACAGCAAGCTTAGCAAAGAACAAATCAAACGGAGCAGCCCTACAGTGAAGTAAGGCTTCAGACCTGAAACAATGGGGTCAATACAAGAGCCATTGACCAAGGTCTTCCCCTCTGGACAGGTGCAGCTGGCCCCGGTTGGATTGAGCAAGCACATAAAATCGCAGGTCATCCTAAGACAGGGATTGGCCACTGAATACAAAAACGACAAAGCATACATTTAACTCAGAAGGTACAAAACATTTAGATAAATCAATGCTGAGCTTCAGTTTAAAATGATGATAATTTACAGTTTACAAATAATTACTTGAAAAATGATTTGTTGTTTCATACATTTTACACCTATCAATTTCTACCTATTACACATTTTTTTGACTTTCCTGATGCAAACCAACATTTTGTCTAATAACTAAATTTAGGCAAGTTTTTTTTTTCTTTCTTTTTTTTTATCCATTCTGGCTTTTTGATATAATCATTGAGTAACACTCTATAATAACTGCACGCTATTAATCATTTTTTAAGCATGAGTAAACAGTTAATTCATCATGTATAAAGCATTAATAGACATTAATAAGCAGTTTATAAATGCAGCTATAAATGTATTTTTTCTTGATTTATATAATGCATTTAATAATTTTATTTTAATACTTTGTTAATGATCAATTAATAATTTCTAAATTAAGTATAGCATTATTTACAAACCAGTTATTTAAGAGTTGTCAGTTATTCATAAGATCACTTAAAAAAGTGTAAGTAAATATAGTAAATAAAGGTAGTTATAAAGCATTTAGTAGTGGTTAGTTAACTATGTTTGTGAGCTAATCTAAAGTGAGGACTGTTCATGCCTTGTAAAGCATTTATAAAGGAGATTTAAAGGCACATCAATCTTCTAAACAGTAAAATGTAACAAACACAACACTGTGATACAGAACATGGAAATCATTTATAAAGGAGATTTAAAGGCTGTTAAATGCTTTGCAAGTACTGTATGAATAGTCATCACTTTAGATGAGCTCACAAACATAGTTAACTGACCACAAACATAGTTAACTGAACTACCTGAATTAACCCTGAATTGCAGTATAAATACATGTTAATAAAGCATTTATTAACACACTAAGTAACCATCACTATATGTCTGAATAATAAGATGTTTGAATACACATTTAAATAGTTTATTAATCATTTACTTACACATTCTAAGTGATCTTATGAACCACTGACAACTCTTAAATAACTGGTTTATAAAAAATGCTAAACTTCATTTAGAAATGATAAATTGATTATTTATAAAGAATGAATTTATAATTATTAAACGCATTATAGATATGCTTATAAATCAAGAAGAAAGCATTTATTGCTGTATTTATAAACTGCTTATTAATGTCTATTAATGCTATATGAATGATGAACTAACTGTTTACTCACGCTTAACTAATGATTATTAGCGTGTAGTTATTATAAACTGTTACCAATTATGGTATTGCTAGGAAATTATATAAACCGCAAAAAAATAACTTATACGATACTGCACTCTAAAAATGCTGGGTTGTTTTAACCCAATTTTGGATAACATATGGACAAACCCAGCCATTGGGTTACATTTTTAAATTACATTTTTAACCCAATGGCTGGGTTTGTCCATATTTTACCCAAAATTGGGTTAAAACATCCCAACATTATTTAGAGTGTGTATTAAGATGAGATGATCTACATATTTTAAAGGCTTTCACTCACCATTTATTTATTAAAAAAAAAAAAAAAAAAGTAATGTCAAGTTCCAGGTCCTATTTTGTAACCTATTTGTGGAAAGTCTGAAACATTTCCAGCTTATTTATTTCATTTCTCAAAGCAACTCATCGAACTGGCGCCTCAAAAGCTACAGATTTGAAAGCCGTTACTCAGGGATGCCGACAGCATAACGGGACATCTGTATCAATCTTTAGTGTTTTGCTGAGGACATCAAACCTATACTTTTAGCTTTTGCTGCCAGTGCACAAGTCTCTCCAGCAGGATAGATCTCTGACTTTAATGAGTCAGTGGGGACATGGCTCAGCTGCCCCTTGCTACAAACCCACCAGAACAGAAAAATCTTTTTTAGGTTGTAAGGCCATTAACACAACCTGATAACAAAGAGCAACCAAGACCGACAGCAGAGGAGGCCCGCTTCTGAGAAGACAGCATATTAGAAGGCGGGCACAAAAGCAATGCATAGGGGAGGCAAATTAAATAGGTCTTACATTACATTAGTGAGCTGCACTCATTTTTTGTAGTGCCTCAATGAGGTGCACAGAACACTTATGAAGAAACCACAAGTAAAAACAAAACAAAAACATGCATTTATTTGTTCCAAGAAATAATAGTTGTAAATATAACAACTCTGGTGACTTACAGTCAACTGAACTTGGATTACTACTTTAACGTTGGGCATAAGAACAAAACACTATGACAGTCTCAAAATACTGTGCATGCAATAATTGGAGGATTTACTGTGACCTTCAAAACACTACAAACTACTTTTCTTTCAAAAACCAGGTAGTCTCAATAAATTAAATAATCTCTTAGGATCCATACAAATAATTCTTAAGAAAAACATTTAAAGAAAATGTGGGCTCTTACCATCCTGCTGCTTGAAACGATGAGAGATCAGGACATTTGTTGTTTTTTCAATGCCCAGATCGAGAGGTTCAATGTTTTTTTTCCCATATTTTTGTATTCGGAAAACTTCATTTTTCAGTCCTGTTCCATAAATGTAATCCTCAAAAAGATCTATTCTGTACGGATGTGATATTCCTGTGCAAGCATGAAGTGAAGCAATGACATTAGACAAAACTGAATCTTCTAAAAACCATTTCAATGGTTAATGATTGCAAGCATTTAAATAACACAGTCTCATCCCAAGACGTCATATAACTGATGCTTTTGACCATACGTCAACATCCGCCTTTTTAGGGTACCCTTAAATGTCGGTTAGATGACGATCCTGGGGCGTCATACAACTGATGCTTTACCTTTAACGTCGGTTAGGTGACGGGGTAGGTTTAGGTCTGGGGTAGGGTTACGATTCGATAACGTCATCTAACCGACGTTTAAGGGTACCCTAAAAAGGCGAATGTTGACGTATGGTCAAAAGCGTCAGTTGTATGACGTCTTGGGATGAGACTGCGCTGATTTAAGATACAAAGGAAAAACTATCAGATTCCATTTCAACTGTTCTTCTCACCTTGCTTGTTATCGATAACCACCAATGGGTCTGAGCCATCGAAACGGACACTACCAATAACAGAGAGCTCGGCATCGGCCCAGTACACACGCTGGCTGAAGTAATCAACCGCCAACCCTACAGATAAATGACGGGAAGAGTTATTTTCAGAGCTTGGTACAAAATGTTAAGAAACTTGACATATCTGTCCTCAAACATGTACAGTACACATACTACACAAAAGCAAAACCTCACAAGAAAACAATCCAGTAAATGAGAACAGGTTATTATTGACCACAACTGTAACATGTTTACCAAAATAATAACACTCAAGAAGAGTTTCACTCATTTAGGTCATGCGAGACTGTAGAAGGATGAAAGCTGTTTAAGTCAATAAGGTGCTAAATTGAACTTGTCTTATGTATTTAAATAACCTTTAAGAAACCCTTGCTTCAATGTGGACATATTCAGCACAAAAGTTTCAGTCTCTTCCTAAAATAAACTCAGCAAAAGTTTGTCCCATATTTCTCTGAGTTTGCATGGCTTGACTCATTACATTTCCTCTGTTGATTAAAGACTCGGATGTTGCAGTTTTGTTCCTTTTCTAGAGATGATGGATTCCTAAAGCTGCACTGGAGGCGTAATGTTGGCCCCTGTAAAGGAGGCCATGGTTAAATGTAGCGGTACTTAGTGTTTCCCTGAGGAACACGCCTGCAGGTTTACCTAAAGGCAATGCATCTGAAACATTCCCTCAAACTCGGAATTGAGCAAAGTGCTGTGATGTACTGAAAAAAAGGATGAAAGACCAACAAGTTTCTACTCAAACGCATTCAGACCTTGACCACGTCCCTTTAGAAAGTACCAAAACAACAGCCTCTCATTTATCACACTCACAGAAAAACAGCTGAGGACTCAAAGCGAGGAGATAGTGTTGAAATACAAGTGCATGCCCATCACACCGAGAAATACAAAAACATACCTGTGGGTCTTCGAAGATTCTTGTCCAAAAGTACTCTACGCATGGAGCCATCCATCGCACTCTCCTCTATGTGTGAGTGGTCACCTATTACTGACCAATACATCATCCTGAAACAGGTAACATATTTACTTAATAAATATTTTAAAAATCCAATATTAGTGAATTATACCAAGTATTCCAACTTTAAATACAGCAAGATTAAGAAGCCAGTGTAATAAATTTGCTTTATTTGATTAGTGACCTAGAAGTAATTCAGAATACTAAATATTTTTAAATCATAACATTTCTATGGAAGCTTGTTTCCACCACAGAATGAAATGGTTTTTTTTTTTTTTTTGCGATTTTTTCCTCAGAATCTCACAATTCTGACTTCATAACATGCAACTGGGAGAGAAAAAGTCAGTAACACTTTATTTCGATAGTCCACTTTAGACATTCTACTAACTATAAGATACTTTTCAACTACATGTCAACTAACTGTCATTAGAGTATTAGTAGACTGTCAGCTTAATATCTGCTAACACTTTATTTGTTGGTCTCCCAACAGACATTCAACTAAGTAACTTGGCGACTACAAGTAAACTTGTTCTCCTAACCCAAAGCATAACACCTAACCATAACCTAACAGTCTACTGACAGTCTACTATAACAGTGGTTTTCAAAGTGGGGGCCGCGGCCCCCTGGGGGGCCGCCAGGGGGCGCTAGGGGGGCCGCAGCAAGTTGGAAGAAAAAAAATGTAAGCAAAAAAAAAAATTATATATTTTATAAAAAATTTAAAAAAATACAAAATATATATTATATATTATAAATATTATAATGAAATAGCATTATAATAATTTGTCGCATATCTGAACATTAAACTTTTAATGCTAATCTTTTTGATTGGCTGGTACGCCATCACGTTATCTGTCAGTGTAGCCTTGGTAACAACCGCCAGTGCTCAGCTGTTCAGCTATTTAGCTGGCTAGCTCTATCAAAATGGATAGATTTTTCAAAAGGAAAAAACCTGACGAGCCAGCTATCGAAACCTCAGATAAAAAAAATCAGAAAACGAACTCCTGGCCGAGTAAGACTCGTAGGTATGACGCATCATACATAAAGTATGGATTTACCTGCTTCACGCAGAAAAATGGACACGAGTGCCCCAAATGCGTTCTCTGCCTCGAGATCCTCTCCAACGAATGCTTAAAACCATCGAAACTTCAACGTCACCTGAACCTGAAGCACCCAGCAGAGGCCGAAAAACCAATCGACTTTTTTAAAAGAAAGGAAGAACATTTGACCAGGCAGGCAGCAACATTCGTGCAGCAAGCTACTGTCCCTGAGAGAGCCTTGAGGGCATCGTTTTTGGCTTCCTTTCACATTGCGCGAGCTAAAAAGTCGCACACAATTGGGGAGGATTTGATACTACCAGCTACCCGAGACATTGTTAAAGAGCTACTGGGTGAGGATGCTGCCAAGAAAATTGATGCTGTACCACTCTCTGATAACACTGTGAGCAGACGTATTGGAGAAATGGCTGAGGATGTGTCTGCTCAACTGTTGGACCAGGTGAGAGCTAGCGAATATTTTGCACTGCAGCTAGATGAGAGCACGGATGTGGCGAACGCGGCAGAGTTGCTTGTGTACATCAGATTCATTTCCAAAGAAATGTTCGTTGAGGAAATACTGTTTTGTAAAGCACTGGAAAGTAGAACCACCGGGAAAGAGATTTTTCAAGTTCTGGATGAATATATTAATTCAAATGGACTTGACTGGTCTCGTTGCGTGGGTGTGTGTTCTGACGGGGCCGCGGCTATGACTGGGAAGAACAGTGGGGTGACGGCTTTCATCAAACAGAAAGCCCCGAATGCGGTGTTCACGCACTGTATGCTCCATCGAGAAGCATTGGTGGCTAAACGGTTGGATGATGAGCTTAATCAGGTACTACAGGACATAATTCACATTGTAAACTTTATTAAAGCCCGCCCCCTGAAACACAGACTGTTTGCTCTTCTTTGTAAAGAAATGGGAGCCTGTTTTGATGGATTGCTGCTTCACTCAAACGTACGCTGGCTTTCACGCGGCGCAGTTTTGAACCGTGTCTATGAGTTGCGGAGGGAGGTTGCAGAGTTTCTCTTGTCTGAGAAACATCAGCTGGCTAACCGTTTTACAAATCCAGCCTGGATTCTCAAACTTGCGTATATGTCAGACATTTTTTGTCATCTGAATGTGCTTAACCAAAGCATGCAAGGGCGTGACACATACATCGTGCATATGCAAGACAAAGTGCGTGCTTTTTCCCTGAAAATTACACTGTGGTCAAACAAGCTTAAGGAGGGAATTACAGAAATGTTCCCACTATTACACCAAGAGCTGCTGTCATCTGGTGGTGAATTGGACACAATTTCTCCACTGATACAATCCCACCTGGAGCACCTCCAGGGATATTTCAGAGACTATTTCCCTGACCTTGACAGCACTCATCTAAACTGGGTAAGGAACCCATTTGCCCCTGATGTAGGCACTTGTCTGGACTTAAAATCACAGGAGGAGCTGATTGAGATGACTACTTCATGGGATTTAAAAACTAAATTTGAGTCTCTTTCCCTCTCTAACTACTGGATTTATGTAAGAAATGACTTTCCCATCCTAGCTGAGAGTGCTCTGAAATGCCTTCTTCCTTTTGCAACCACTTATTTGTGTGAGTCTGGATTTTCAACTTTAAAAGTACTTAAAACAAAACACAGAGCATGTCTAAATGTGGAGAGTGACATGCGTGTTGCACTGACGGACATAAAGCCCAGGCTTGACAAACTGTGTAGGAGCCACCAGGCCCACCCATCCCATTAATATGCTCTCTCACACACACACACACACAATGTTGTTGAATGTTGCCACCAGGCCCAGCCTTCCCATATGTTCTCTCTTCTTCTCTCTCTCTCTCTCTCTCTCTCTCTCTCTCTCTCTCTCTCTCTCTCTCTCTCTCTCTCTCTCTCTCTCTCTCTCTCTCTCTCTCTCTCTCACACACACACACACACACACACACACACACACACTCTCTATCTCTCTCTCTCTCACACACACACACACACACACCATCTTGTTAAGATCTTTTTCCATTCACTGACACAGATACAATATTGAATGTTGAAATTACTGTACAAGATATGAAGATATGTGAATATTTGACATACAAATGTTATTATTTCAACACCAATAAAGGTTAATGGATGTTCACCTAGTCCTAGATGTTTTATTTATTTATTTCTACATTTGCCGTAGTATTGTCGATGGGTTCAATAACACATCATGGAAAAGGGGGGCCTTGGCCAGAACCTAGTGGTATTTGGGGGCCTTGTCATGGAAAAGTTTGGGAACCCCTGTACTATAATATACTAATAATCTAATGAGAGTTAGTTGTCCTGTAGTTAAAACGTTACTTATAGTTAGTAGAATGTCTAAATTGACTATCAAAATAAAGTGTAACCAAAAAGTCTGAATTCTCGCAATTGTGAGTTTCTTTCTCGCAATTGTGGGTTTATATCTTGCAATTTTGACTTTATATCTCCCTTTTTATTTTTTTTATGTGGCGGAAACAAACATAAACTGATTTCGAATCTAAAACTTAACTTTCAATGTTCCTATAGACTTTTGACACCCACCAGTACAGGTCCTTCTAAAAAAAAAAAAAAAAATAGCATATTGTGATAAAGTTTATTTTTTTCCATAATGTAATGATAAAAATTAAACTTTCATATATTTTAGATTCATTGCACACCAACTGAAATATTTCAGGTCTTTTATTGTTAAAATGGAGGTTGGAGCAGGCTTCACTCAAAGTGTATACCTCAAATTGTTTTAAGAGTGCTGGCCTAATAATGACAATGCATGTATGGAAGAGAGAGGCCGCACTTTGCATATACAGTTTTATTATACACAAACGCGTTTCGGCGCGTGCCTTCTTCAGTGTGCACACTGAAGAAGGTCTTTTATTGTTGTAATACTGATGATTTTGGCATACAGCTCATGAAAACCCAAAATTCCTATCTCAAAAAATTAGCATATCATGAAAAGGTTCTCTAAACGAGCTATTAACCTGATCATCTGAATCAACTAATTAACTCTAAACACCTCAAAATATTCCTGAGGCTTTTAAAAACTCAAAACTGCAATCATGGGTAAGACTGCCGACCTGACTGCTGTCCAAAAGGCCATCATTGACACCCTCAAGCAAGAGGGTAAGACACAGAAAGAAATTTCTGAACAAATAGGCTGTTCCCAGAGTGCTTTATCAAGGCACCTCAGTGGGAAGTCTGTGGGATGGAAAAAGTGTTTTTCCTGAGGAAGATTATTGAACTAATGAACAATAATGAACTTTATCACAATATGCTATTTTTTTTTAAAGGTCCTGGACACATTTAGAAAATAAATAAACTGCAGAAATTGGCCTAAATGGTATTGAAACATGCTCCTACCCTTTGACTGGATTGACAGTAATGGCATAAGGCTCTCCTGCAATGTCAGTTATCAGACGGGTGCAGTTGGGTCCCTTGAGCTGCCCCACATTAATCGAGTATCTAAGCTTGGTCCAGTGAGCTGTGTAATAACTGAACCAGTGCATCCTAGAGTGGTCTGTCCAGTAGATATTACCAGTCACCCAGTCAGCTGACACATCTCTGGGTCTGCGGAAGTCTGGGCACTGCAAAAGTCACCCAGATAACAAGGTGATTCCCATGTGGGCCAATACATCACAGAATATTTAAGATTATACGTACGATAATGGATTTTTTTTTTTTTTAGGAAAAAAGTTATTCATAAATAAACATGGGGGAAATTTCTGAAACTGCTTTTGATATTGGGATAGGGCAAAGTAGGCAAAATAAGGACTCAACATATGATTATGTTTTAATATTCTATATAAACACCAACTAAACTCAGGGAAGATCAAAATATAATATCCTGCTTGTCTGAAAACACTAAATCTATGATCAAAAATGTTGTTTGTTTGTTGTACTGTATATCGTTATATTAAGGAGATGCAATGTGGAAATACTGTATTTATTAGAAGAAAATTAATAACTTGAAGGAAACATCCAGAATTTTCCAGAGAAAATATGACTTATGCTGCACACAAGACTCATGATACTTACTATGATGCCAACATTTGTTTTAGTTTGACTCCTGTTTAGGATATCTTTGTAAAAAAGTCCACCGGGATTAAACTGAGTAGCCCAGATAAACTTTTGTTGGTGATACAAAGCATCCATCCCAATGATGCGGGCATTTTCCTCGATGCGAGCATGTACTTTGTGTCCATGGCTCTGGTTAAATGGATACACAAAACTTCGGATTTCAGTGTCATTAGCTATGTAGAGCACTCGATCTTCTGGTCCTGCCCGTTGAGTTATTAATATGCAAAAAAAATGAAAAGTGGCTAAATTCCATTTAGGGTTTAAGACAACAGTTTGACAATTACAGATGCAGATATATCATACTAACACAGCAATATGCATTTTAATCAAACAATAATCAGTAATTCAAGCTCAATACTCTACAGGAAGACAATAATATATACACTCTAAAAAATGCTGGGTTGTTTCACCTCAATTTCGGGTCAAATAAAGTCAAACCCAGCCATTGGGTCAACTTTTTTAATTACATTTTTAACCCAACATTTGTGTTTGTCCGTATTTGACCCAAACTTGGGTTAAAAAAACACAAGACTTTTTAGGGTGTAGTTATATGTATGACAACATATAGTATAAATGTACCACAGAAATGATACTTGTGCTTTGGTTTAAATGGTTTTAAATGTATATCTAAGCCCGGTGTACTGAGCTAATGTATGAAAAGATATAATAAGTTATCTAGATCTAAATAAAATGTCACAGTGAAGCCAAAGGTCAAGTCAATAGAAAATATAGATCCTTACCTTTTGCTATGCAGCTACCATTCATATCCTTATAATTTTTGTCACATGTACATTTGTATGATCCTTTTGTGTTTGTGCAATAGTGAGAGCAAGTGCCAAAGTTAAGGCACTCATTGATTTCTACAACAAAAAAGAGGGAAGGACAAAAGTCTGTTATTGAGGAAAAGCACTTTCTGGAAAATGTATGTATATATATATTTTTTTTGCTGTTCAAACTGTGTGACATTCAGCATTAGGAGTTTTTTTTTTTTTTTTTCACATGCTGAGTGCTTGGAAATAAAACGTCAGATGTGGTCTGCTCACTGCATCTCATTGATTCCCAGCAAAAACACTATATGTGAGTGCACAATCCTTTTACTGGAAATGTTCTTTTAAATGCAAAACATTTTTCAGTAGGTTAAGCATGTTCTGGAGCTTAAGCGTAACTTCGGCCTCTGGTTTAGTTTTGCTACACAGAGAGGAGAACACTGATCCTTGACATTTTTTTTTTTTATCCTTGAAAAAATCTTGGTTGATAAAAAGAACAGGTAGTTTGAATCTCAAAATAATGTGTGGGAAAACCTCTAAATGATAAAGTGATTGACAGGACAGGATTCAAAGCAAAACTATCAATTCATTAAAATAAATCCTCTATTACCAATAAATGAAAACATTTCACATGTTATGTGATAAAGCGCATATGTAGGTCTAACACAAAGTATAAGGAAATATATCACACTTATATATCATATAGACATATAAAAAAATGAGGAATTCATCACTGGGATTTTGCAACTTTATTTACTGGGGCATTTTAAACCCATTAAAGGAGTAGTTCACTTAAAAAAAAAAAAAAAAAAAAAAAAAAATTGCTGATAATTTACTCACCCCAATGTCATCCAAGATATCCATGTCATTCTTTCTTCAGTCGAAAAGAAATTAAGGTTTTTGATGAAAACATTCCAGGATTTTTCTCCATATAATGGATTTCAATGGGAACCAAACGGTTCAAGGTCCAAAAGCCAGTCTCAGTGCAAACTGCAAACTGTTCAAAGGGCTTTAAACGATTCCAGACGATGAATAAGGGTCTTATCAAGCAAAACGATCACTCATTTAAAAAAATAAAATAAATAACAAAGCTTAAGTTTTATAAGCTCAAATGCTCGCCTTGCTCTGTTCTGTGATGCGCGTTCGTGACTCTCCTGTTCAAACTCGTTTATCAAAATAAACAAATCTTTTTCCGAGTCAACTCGTTCATGTCCAAAGGAGAGTCACGAAGCGCATCACAGAACAGAGCAAGGCGAGCATTTGAGCTTATAAAACTTAAACTTTTTTTTTATTTATAAATGAGCGATCGTTTCGCTTGATAAGACCCTTATTCAGTCTGAAATCATTTTAAAGCCCTTTGAACAGTTTGCACTGAAACAGTCTTTTGGACCTCGAACCGTTTGGTTCCCATTGAATTTCATTATATGGAGAAAAATCCTGGAATGTTTTCATCAAAAACCTGTTTTACTCTAAAAAATTTACTCTAATTAAACTACTCCTAAAATTTACTCAAATTAAACTACTCCTTTAATTTCTGACTCTGATATAGCTAATGTTAAGCACACGATTGCTCAAACAAACCGATTGCAATTCTGTTTGGTGCTGCTGGTGTCAGAAATTGTACACTACACATTTACATTGAAAGTGTAACCCCCCCCCTCAGATAAAGCAGTGAATCATTTTTCTGAACGTTAACAGAATCAGGGAAGATAGTCTGACAGTACCTTCACACTTTCTGCTTCTGAGATTTCTCTGAAAGCCAGGTTTGCAGTGGCAAATTGCATTTGTGTTTGTATGATTGCACACTGCATCCTCCCCACATGGATTCATCCTCTTTCCACATATGTCTCCATTTGAAGCTGGAATAAAAGAGAGCGAGAGCTTTGAAGCGACATACTTGCAGCCCACTGTCCCAGTGCATGATGGGATTCTTTTTAGTGTGTGTTTTGATGCTTGGTCATTGGCGACAAATAAAATAAGTAGAAGCAAAAAACACATCTGGAAGATAAGCCTGAATGATTTTCACATGGCAATTCCAGATGCACAGCACGTGTCCATGTAATCCACAATGACTGCCTTAAATATGACAACATTGCTTGTTTTCCAACAGATGTATCTGAGAGATTTGGTAAACACGTACAAGCCTTGCAGTCCCGTTCATCTGATCCTCCATCTCCACAGTCATCAAACAGATCACACTGTAGCTGTGCGGGTATACATTTACGATTACTACAGGTAAACTCTGCCTTTCCACACGGCTTGGGCCTAGTTGACACAGTCTCTGGTTTGGGCCCCAGAGGAAAAGAAAGAAAGAAAGAAAGAAAGAAAAAAACAACAACAACATCCATTTCAATCCAAACTTCAGCTGACACATCTTATTCAGCACCACCAAAGAGTCTTCCATCAAATTTACTAAGATCATTTGAATGATTAATGAACACTACTGTCTCTATCCGAAATACCTCAGGAACTGCTAGCAAAACAGTGACACCACTAAATTCAAGACTAGGTTTGTTGTTTTTTTTTTGTTTTTTTTTGTCAATTAAATAAAATGTATGGCACAAAAGATTGATTTCTCATTGTGCTGTTGAGGATAAAGGCATCATCAAAGACTTGTGAGTGAGCCTACCACATTCATCTTCATCTGAGTTGTCCCCACAGTTATCCACATTGTTACAGATTTGATCAAGCCGTAGACACACTCTGTCATTTCTGCAGCGATATGGCCTTGCTGGAGGACAAGGTAGTTTGGCTATAGAAAAAGAACAAAATCTTACAGTATTTGCAAATATAAAGATATTTTTTTTTATACTAGTGGTTTTTATAAATTATTAATTTGTTGGAATTAGATCAGTATCAGTGATATAGTTTTGCTCATGTAGTGTATTTAATTGGTAATGCAGTCAGTGACTCCTACATACAGACAGAAAAGTCAAATGAAAAGTTCAGCAGGTTAAAAACGCCGCCGTAGGTCATGTTGAACATCCTACCGCACATTTCTGAGTCTTCATCAGAGTTGTCTCCGCAGTCATCCTCACCATCGCACACCCACACATGCAGCTTACACAGGGTGTTGTTGCAGATGAACTCATCGGGGCGACAGAAGAAAGCATCTGAATAAACAACATTGAACTGGTTTTTAAACTGCATGGATAATTTGCAGTAAAAAGGGTTATGACAACCTGAACAAGGACATACATAAACAATTCGAGCATGTCCAAAACAATTTAATTATGAAAACTGTCTCAGAAAAGATAAACAGTGTAACACTTTAGTTCGGGGACCAATTCTCACTATAGTTATCAGCTTGCATATAACTAGCACATTGGCTATTTATTAGTAGTTATAACGCACATGTTATTGTCTTACTCTGCTTGACCATATTCTACTCAATACCTAAACCTAACCAACAAATTTTTTTTTTTTTTGAGTTTATTGAGGCAAAAGTTGTAGTTAATAGTGAATGTGTGTTCCCCAAACTAAAGTTTGACCATAAATATGGACATCTTCATACCATGACCGCAGGTTTCCTCATCGCTGTGGTCCACACAATCAAACACGTCATCGCAGCGCCATCGTTTGGGGATGCAGTGAGCATGGTTTTTGCACAGAAACTCATCTTCTCTGCACTCCTTGACACAGTCCATCTGGTGTGAGCAGAACAACGAAAGCCTAAAATACTCACTTTCAAGAGAAAGAATGTGCTGTACTTCTGAAAGTGCAGAAAGTCTCTGTTTCCATGGAGTCGAACATGAGTCTAACATACTAGGTGTTCAAAACAACTTATGTTTCCAGTATGGTACATGCGTTTATCTCACAGCTAATTAAAACAATATGCTATGATGTTATATTAATTGCTTGTTTGAAGCACAAATCATAAAATATGAGCTTATACTAGTGTTCTATATTCAGTATGTCTTTGGTTTTGAACCTTTGATTACTTATGTATCTGATTAAACTAATTAATAATGAATAGTTTCACTGTGGAGTGCCACATCAATTACATTGTGGTTACGCTTCCTTTTACAGTACAGTACTTACAGTGTACTTACCTAGAAAGTACTTGCTAATATAAGATGAGTACATGGAACAGAGGTAGGTTCAGGGTTAGTAGTTATTACCCAGTAATTGTAGTTACTAAAATAAGTACATAGTATTTACATGGGTAACTGGACTGTAAAAGGAAGCGTTACCACATTGTTTCATCTGTTCTACACTGATGAAAAATCCAGCTGAAATCAGCTTTAAGGCTGGAATACACTAAACGATTTTTAAATTCTGAACAGATCTTTTTTTTTAAAAAAAACTATGGAGCATCATACACTCGCCGACTTAGTAAATAGTTACATAGGAAAAACTGGGCATCATACACTAAATGACTGAGAATCATACATTACCAGACTTTCAAGTCATCATACGAACAGAAACAAACTCGTGCTTAAACATGAGCCTTGCTGCTAGGAGACACGTGACAAATGAAAACAATACTTGTTCTAAAATTGGCTCAAAATTTCAAAAATGTTTAGATGGAATCAAACTTTGAAGCTAGAAAATCGGAGCCTGTGACCATTATACACGATTTTCTGTGAAATCTATTAACTCAAATCTGCATAGCTCTGACATTGACAGCTTGTCCAGACTGTAAATCTGGGCAAAAGTAGTGTAGTATATTACAGCCTTTAGTCATAGTCGTGTTTACCGTTTATTTATAAAGCTGTTCCTAAGCAGTACAACCCAAAGGCTTGCTTGTGCACAGTCATTTTACAGAGGACAGCTTCCTCAACCTGGGAGAGAACTATGCAGGCAATATACAAAGACTACTTTCCACTGTAAAAGGTTCGGTTCTACGTAGTCTTGCTTGAAATGTTGGGTCCGATCGAACAACATTTCCAGAATCCGACTGGGGCTCGAACTGACATTATTATTAAGTGTTTAAAAATGCTTCATAAGCCTTTGTAGCTCTAACTCGGGATTATGGTAAGTTCCGACACACTTGATGTGTTTGGCCAATCACAACGCACTGGGTCAGCTGGCCAATCAGAACAATTTGAGCTTTTCGGAAGGAGTGGCTTTGTATAAATCAGACTGTGAATAGAGGAGGTAAAATATTGTATTTACAAAATACAGTATGTGATTTATTATATATATATATATATATATATATATATATATATATATTAACTAGGGCTGTCAAACGATTAATCATGATTAATCGCATTCAGAATAAAAGTTTGTATTTACATAATATATGTGGGTGCACTCTGTATAATTATTTTATATATATAAATACACACACATGCTTGTATATATTTAAAAAAATATTTTCATGTATATACTGTATATAGATTTATACATAATTTATATTAGGCTATGTATAAATATAAATATTTTATATATAAATAATATTTTTCTCTTAAATTGACATGCATGTGTGTGTATTTATATATGTACAAAATAATTATACAAAGTGCACCAACATATATTATGTACACACAAACTTTTATTTTGGATGCGATTAATCGCGATTAATCATTTGACAGCCCTAATATTAACATTAAAGCATGTTTGCCTATATTATTACACCCGATAATATAAAATAGCACATGATCCCTTGAATACATGCTGCTAGTTTTATTGTGCACAATTCATCAGTTCATGCTATACCAAAAACAAAGAATCATTGTCATAATCCTTCAGAGAAATTTAATAACTTGCCTTGCTTCTGAATTTACTTCCTATTTAGCTGAATCCCTCTTGGTTTTCCAACTGTGATTCACTCAGAGATTAAGAAAGTAGTAAAAATGTTCATGTTGATTTTCAGCTTGAACTGAACCCCCCCTAGAGAGGTTGTAAAGGGGAGAGTAGTATCTTCCTCAAATGTGTTTCCAAAATATCTACTTGTACATCTCTTTGTTTTTGTTTCACTATTGCACTTGTGCACAGTATCTGAGAGCGGAGCGCTTTATGTAAGGTGAGAGGGTCTTGCAAGAGGACTGACCTCATCAGAACTGTCCAGGCAGTTGTCATGTCCATCACACCTCAGGCTGGCAGATACACAACCTCCACTGGCGCACACATACTCATTTAGAGAGCAGGAGGGAACCACTGCAAAACAGATTACGGATAAAAAACACTCCAACACAGCTACGTTCAAATGACGTGTACAGGAAGAGTGGGGTAAACTGTAAACTGACCCACTTAATCTAAGGTTTTTGTCATGTCGTTGATGCTAAAATCAGTTACATGTTATAAATGTAACTACTATTATAAAATGTTTAAAACAATTCATTTCAAAGTCATTTATTCTGATTTATGTGCAGAAAAATATGATTTTGGAACTGGGATGGGACACTACAGGAGATTTATAGAAAATATGCACATTAAATATTGAGGCTTCTAAATAAGTTCTTAGGTTAAATTAAAATGTAATCAAGGAATAGACACACCAGAGAGCTGACTATGTCACCGTATTATGTTTATTATGCACACACCTTTAAAAAAAACAAAAGTAAGCTACAGCATTTGAGCTTATCAGACAATGTAATCATAAAATATTTAAAGCTGAAATGTTAAATGTTCTTAATGTTTGCACACTACCATCCATCTCAGGTTAATGTGCAGAGATAACTATAAGCAAAACACGTTGCAAAAGTACATCTATGGCTTTGTACAGCTATGACAATATTGCTCTGTCAGTTTGAGCATCTCAAGCATGGGTTCAACATATGGTGTGAGTTTAGGGAGGGCCTATGTGCTTGACAAGGGGGGGAAAAAAAAAATTGGGAAATACTTGTTTTTTAGTGCAGAAATGATAAACCTCAGCTTTAAAGACCACACGATGTGATAAAGTTACCTGTTCCTAAGCAATTTCGCTCATCTTCCCCTGTCTTACAGTCTTCCTGGCCATCACACAACCATTTTCGTGAGATGCAGAGATTGTTGTGGCATTGAAACTGATCCTCTGCACAATGAGTCTCGCAATCCTTCTGAAAAAGCACAAAGCAAGGACAAATTCAGTCCGGTGTCATTTCATAGTTTAGTGTATCTTTTTATTTATCTAATATTTTTGGACTGTTTATTTATAATAATTAGGGGGATTTAAAGTTTTGTAAGTCAAATGTAAAAAAAAAAAAAATCCAATATCTTTCTCACTTGCTTATAAAGCCATAGGATTATAAGGACTGAAATGATACAGTATGTGAAAACCGAGATTAAACAGCTTTGAAATACATGGCTAGAAGGCAATGTTTGGGAATATATTGTAAGACAACTGCTGTGCTGACCTTGAATGACATCTAGCATTCACTGACCTCATCCGAATTATCAGCGCAGTCATAGTCACCATCGCAACGGAAGCGTGCTGAGATACAGTCCCCACTGGCGCAGGCAAAATCCTTATGATTACAGGTCACCGGCTCTGGAGAGATGAAAGCACAATAAGACAGCTAAAGATGCACAGCTACCCTGACCATGCCCTCACCGAATAAACTGAAGTAAACCTTAGCATAGGACAGCATGTGGCAGCAAGAGCAAATCAAAACTGCCAAAGTGGCCTTGCACTTGGACATGAATTGGCATTGTACCATCTGTTTTCAAGGTTCTTGCAAGTTTGCCAAGAACTTAAAAGGAGCTATTTGCAGACTAATCAGCAATTAGAATGTATAAAAGGGTTGTTCTCACAGTTCACAGGCTGTAATGGCTAGAAAAACATATTGGGTGGTAGAAACATCTGTTAATATAAAATGTTTGAAATAGGTTGTTGATTTAACAGCAAAGTACAAAAAAAGCCATTAAAAAGAAGGAGTCTTGGACATTATACATGCTCATTATTTATTCAAACTCATGTTGTTTTAAAGACACATGCATGTGTGTATTTCTTAATAGTTATTTTTAAAGTAAAAATGTTGCTTGAAGCATTTATTTATAATGCATTGTAAAGGTATTCATAATGTACAATTGAATGCATTTTTTAAATATACATTTACATAATTCAAAGTTTAAATACATTATATTTTTGCAGATTCCATGTTACAAGCCTTGGTTACTGTATATAAACCTCCAAGGCCCTATATGCTGATTTCCTAAAAGAGTTTGCAGACTTTCTCTCAGATCTATTGGTCAATGTCAATAAAGAAATAATTGTTGGAGATTTTAACATACACGTAGATAACACAAATGATCCATTAGGGGCTGCGTTTACAGATTTATTAAACTCATTTGGGGTCAAGTAAAACGTCAGTGGTCCCACTCATCGTCTAAATCAAACACTAGATTTAATTATATCATATGGAACCAATCCAACTAATTATACCACAAAGTGATAATGTTAACACCGTGGCTAGACTAACAAATAAACAGACATCACCAGAGCAAAATATTCCGTTACATTGTAGTAGTAATGATTTTATGAATTTCTTCACTGAGAAAATAGAAAGCATCAGAAATACTATTGTAAATATACAATCTTTTATGGTGTCTTATGATTGAGCCTCAATTATCGCCCCAAACAACTACACCGCTTTACAACTATAGGACAGGAAGAGCTAAATAAACTTATAATCGCATATAAACCAACAACATGTTTATTAAATCCAATGCCCACTAAACTACTGAAAGAAGTGTTACCTGTAGTGGAAGAGCCTCTTCTCAAAATTATTAACTCATCTTAATTTTTAGGTCATGTTCCAAGACTATTCAAGACGTTCGTAATAAAGCTCATTAAGAAACCACAATTAGATCCAAATAACCTCAAATTACAGACCTATTTTTAAATATTCCATTTATGTCTAAAATACTAGAAAAAGTTTTATCCACTCAATTGTGGTCTTTCTTGCAAGAAAATGATATCTATGAAAAAAATTCAGTCAGGATTAAGACCACATCATAGGACAAAAACTGCAAAAGTTAAAATTACAAATGATTTACTTTCAGCTTCTGACCAAGGCTGTATCTCAATACTAGTTTTACTCGATCATAGCGCTGCGTTCAACACTATAGATCATAAAATACTCTTGGATCGACTAAAGGCATTAAACTGGTTTAGATTGTACTTATCAGACCGTTACCATTGTGTCTGTTTAAATGGGGTAAAATCAAAGATAATGTCAGTAGACTATGGAGTACCGCAAGGATCGGTGTTAGGCCCTCTGCTATTCTCAATATACACTCACCTAAATGATTATTAGGAACACCTGTTCGATTTCTCATTAATGCAATTATCTAATCAACCAATCAAATGGCAGTTGCTTCAGTGCATTTAGGGGTGTGGTCCTGGTCAAGACAATCTCCTGAACTCCAAACTGAATGTCAGAATGGGAAAGAAAGGTGATTTAAGCAATTCTGAGCGTGGCATGGTTGTTGGTGCCAGACGGGCCGGTCTAAGTATTTCACAATCTGCTCAGTTACTGGGATTTTCACGCACAACCATTTCTAGGGTTTACAAAGAATGGTGTGAAAAGGGAAAAACATCCAGTATGCGGTTTAGGTCAACACTTTAGGTCCTTTAGTGCCAATTGGGCATAGTTTAAATGCCACAGCCTACCTGAGCATTGTTTCTGACCATGTCCATCCCTTTATGGCCACCATATACCCATCCTCTGATGGCTACTTCTAGCAGGATAATGAAAGCTTGAATCATTTCAAATTGGTTTCTTGAACATGACAATGAATTCACTGTACTAAAATTGCCACCACAGTCAGATCTCAACCCAATAGAGCATCTTTTGGATGTGGTGGAACGGGAGCTTCGTGCCCTGGATGTGTATCCCACAAATCTCCATCACTGCAAGATGCTATCCTATCAATATGGGCCAATATTTCTAAAGAATGCTTTCAGCAACTTTCAAATCAATGCCACGTAGGATTAAGTTTTCAGTTCTGAAGGCGAAAGGGGGTCAAACATGGTATTAGTGTTCTATAATGATCCTTTGTGTTCCTAATGATCCTTTAGGTGGGTGTATACAGTATATAGGCTTTAAGTAAAGTGTTACCATCATTTTAAACTTCTAAATTAAAAAAAAAAAGTAAGTATTCTCCAGATAACATTCTAACAATTTGGTTTAGCAAACCTTGACGATGAAAAAACAGCCATTTAATTTTGAAAGCTAAAAATAAATAAAATACTGTAGATAAAAGATTCTGTAAAAACACATACTGTAGATCTCACCCACACAACAGTTTCTAGTTGCAATGAGCTGTCAAGTTAGTTAACTGTAAACTATAAATAAATATAAAAGTCATTGTATGGAAAGAACATATGGATTTGAAACATAAGTGAAAAATGACATGAAACACACTTAAATGGTTGATCTTTCTTTGTGGCAATATGAGCAAGATCAGAAGCGAACAGACAAATGGTAAACAAACCGACAGAAAGCAAGACATCTTCAAATAGTCTGTGAAACTGGCCTCTGAAGATTCCAGACAGTGTTTCTTGACAGTTAAAACAATTTAGTACAAACACGAGTGTGGAAAAAGCTTTACTGTGCTCAGAGAGATGAGAGCGACTCACTGCAATGCTCTTCATCGGAGTTGTCTCCACAGTCGTTCTGGCTGTCACATCTCCAGTGGTCCGGGATGCAGTTGTTATTCTCACAGCGAAATTCATGAGGTCCGCAGGTCTTTTCATCTTTTTCATCAGACACAAACAAACACACAGATGAAAATGGCTTCAAAAGTGCATGAATATTAATGCAATGCTACTGCATTTCAACACGTAATCATCATTTCCTCAGGGTTCCTGGGCCCGGATCTGACACTAAGTTCAAAACATGCCCACACTCAAGAGCCTAACACACCATAAGATGAGATACCTGACTGTGGTGCCGATATCTTCTATCCTCAATAACCTGAACACTTGACACGTAACATCAAACACTTTGTCACCTCTGCACAGTATGCGATGAAGGAGCTCAGTCCACCTTTTTCCAGAGTACGTGTAGTGTTTATGTTATATAAACTAAAAACTTTCTGAGGTGCTAGAGCCAAGAAGAACTGTTACAGTCGGCATGAAACAGACTTTTCTTCTCTAAAGTTAATAAAATCTGAGTGAATGGTTTATTAAACCAGAAAAAAAAAAATGTAGGGTGGGTCTTGATTGTGTCCCCTTTGGGAATGGACTGGATCATTGTGGTTTGAAATTAATTTCAATTTTTTGAAATTTGAAATTCAAAAATTTTGAAAATTTAAAATTTTAATTTCAATAATAAAAAAAAGAAGAATTGTGAATTTTGGTTCTATGAAGAACACACAGGAGCATCACATCATCAGATCAAAACTTCGAGATTGAGAGACATGTTTTTTTTTTTTTTTGTTTTGTTTTTTTCTTTCCAAGAACGCAGCCAAAGAGAAGCAAACTGCAAATACTTGCAGGTTTTCATTAGTGTAAAAATAATAAAATATCATTCTAGTATATCTCCCTTGACAGATTCTTCCGCTTAAATATTATCTAACGTAATGATAGAATGTTTCTAAAGAAAGATCTAGAGACTGGCATCTGAGAAAAAAAATTGTTTTGTAACACAAAAATATTAATAATAATATTTGTCCTTCACAAAAAACTGATGAATGTCAAAACATACTGTAGAAGCCACTGCATTAGGGTCTTCTAAGATACAACATTGTATATTCATGTAAAGACAGGATTTACTCATAGATCTTCTAAATCTATGTATGTTTGGAATTCCTACAGTTACACAAAGTGAGCTGGTAAGTACTGTATCAATAAAGCTACCCTGTTACATTAATGTTATACCATTTGACATCAGTTACCAAGATAAAGATCAATAATTATTTGCAGTCCGATGTAGATAAAGTGTGTCACGTCTGGAAATCAATGGAGACACCAGAGGAGCCGTCACACCTCAATTACAAAGTGACCCCTCCACTGTTCCATGGATGTGTCACTCATTTGGGGGATTTTTCTCTGAGTAACGGATAATCCATAACAACATCAAATTGTTCAGCCAAAGCAATAAAACCAATTTTCTCAATCAAATTCCGACAATGTGTTTTTTCCCTCTTGCAACAGCCAAGATATTGATTTAATTTCCTTTGTTGGACGATTTAGGAAAGCCATGTTCATCATCCCTGCTGGGATGTCAGAGTGTTATATACAGTATACACCATAAATTGAGGACAATTGCCTTTACACATCTACTTGGAGGTCATATCCACAATGTAAATAAATGATTATCCACAATGATGTTAGAGTAAAAAAGGAACAACATCAGCGTGCAGTATAGTCTAATGATTAGTCTCTGACCTAAAACCTAGTGAGCTGACTACAAACAGTAGGCAGCATTTTTAAGGCATGTTCCAAAAAGACACTTATTTTTTTCCCTTTTACAAAACTTATTTTAGAGTTGTGCAGTTATGCAATTAATGAGGTACTGTACTGTACACTGTAAAAAAATATATTTTTTTCAAGATTTGTTATCACGAGATTTTTTCTTTTGTCGAATCAACTTAAATAATTAATTTTGTTCAGATAATTTATTATTTTGAATTTCTGATGATTAAATCAATCTCCTTCATTGTATTAACTCACCTTTTCCAGTTAAATCAACTTAAAATTTTAAGGCAACCAGGTTACTTTTTTTTAAGTTAAACCAACAATATTTTTTTTTTTACAGTGTATGTTTAATGTAATTATTTTACATTCATTTCTTTATGCATTCCCAAGAATAACTTAACATAAAAGTTAATACAATAATTTATTAGAACCCCAGGGGGTCAGTAATTTATTTATTTACAGAAAAGAATAGTTTTATTTTGCTAATTTGATTAACATTTTTAACTTTAGATTCATCAAAGAATCCTGAAAAAAATGTATCACTGGTTCTATAAAATTATTAAGCAGCATAACTGTTTTCAACATTTATAATATAAGAAATGTTTCTCGAGCACTAAATCAGCATATTGCAATGATTTCTGTAGGATCATGTGCAATGAACACTAAAAAAAATCAGAATTTAATTGTAATAATATTTCACAGTATTACTGTTTTGACTGTATTTTTAATAAAATGAATGCAGCCTTGGTGAGCATAAAATACTTACCGACTTAACGAGATTAAAAAAAAAAAAATCGTACCTCTTACCACACCAAACTTTTTAAGTTATTATTTTTAAAAGTAAGAAATGACTCAACAAATAGTTTTTTTGTTGATAAGTATCGTATTTTAAGCTTAATAATATGCTATTGGAAAACTCTTGAAATCAATGCCTATGTAGAGTGTTCAAAATCAGTCATTTATGAAGTTACAATTTAACCAGGATTCAGAAGGCAGTTGCCTATAGAGACATAGGTAAACCTCTGAAGTATATCTCTATATTTTCAGTATAGATCAAATGAGTGGTACTAATAAAATGAGGTACACAGCTCGCTTGTTCAACTATAGTAAATTATTCGGAGTAAATTACGTCCAGCGAACCCTCAGAAATTGTTTTGCTGGTGCATCGGCACTTTAAATGTCTGGAACACATAGCCGAGGAAGAATGCAATATGTGAGGCCACCGCTGATGTGCCACTGACAAACTAAATCAGCCATTCGGGCAACAAAACAGGCCCAGGGGAATTGTTGCAAGCCACAGCTAATAAAAACCGAGTGGTTCATGATTAAAGCTGGCCTCACTTCATCATAGAGAGAGAAGACTGTGGGAATGCATAGAATTGACATTAGCCTCAATCAGACTTTCAGATGGGTCTGCGCGTGTGGCTGACCAAGGCTCTGATTTGTGAATAATGACTGTGGCCACTCACCACAATTGGCCTCGTCAGAGCCGTCTGCACAGTCCGGGTCCTCGTCGCACACCCACAGCTTTGAGATGCAATGCATGGTGGCCTTACACTGGAACTGGTCTGGAGAACAAGTGCTCTCAGCTGGAACATTAAGACAGAGAGGTGAGTGTGAGGGAGGAAAACAAAAACAAAAAACATACAACTTCTTGTACTAGGTCATTCATATACCAGGGTTTGAGACTGCGACCAGTTTTTGAGAATGTGCAAGTTAAAATTTTATGTGGTCGCATTTGTGTGAGTACATGGTCATGTAAGGTTGTTGCATCAGCTGCTGCAGTCCCTATGTTCAAAATGAACGAGTCCATCATGAATCCATTTTCCAAACTGTGTTTTTGACTTAGTCTGAATCACTACAGTATGCATATAATAATTGTTTGTATTCTGGCTATTTTATTTCGGAGTCGGCTCGGCTGCGGAATAGCCCAGTCCCTGACATTGATGGAGAGAAAAAAATGGCTACAATGTTCTTCCGCAAGACACTTGCAGTTTATTTATTAAAAGAAGGTATACATCATGCAAATTGCACACTGATGTTGAAACGTGGCAATTAGGAATTAAGTCATAATAAGTGTGAGTTAAATGTACAGTGCACAACTTGTAAAAAAGACAAGAGGCAAACGTCAAGTTTAATATTTGTGTTTGTTTACACACCGAGTGGAGATCGTTTACACACCGAGTCTATTTTTGCTGTGCTACACACACTGAGTTAAAGTGACAGCGCATAGTTTGTGGTCAAAATGAGCACAAATTGACCTGACGATGAATTTAATCATAAATGCATTAAATTAAATTTAGTAATCTCACCATGCATGCATTTCATTGAATACTACTATTTTTCATAGTCATCTTTTTAATTTTAACTTTTTTTTTTGAGAATATTTTGATTTGATAGTTAAAAGATTAAAACATTTTGCTAACATGAAGTATTGTGTCACTGTCAGTCTTTTTAGATCAGTGCAAAAGCAGATTAAGACCGCTATTCATCAGCATGCATTGATGAATCCCATGGCAATTTCACTCAAGTGCATCGACGGGTGAGTTGAAACTCATTATAATATGCAAAACTGTTATCCACTCACAGCAGTGGGCGTTTACTTCCAAGTCTTCAGTGTGAGACGCCCATAAAAATCGAGCGTTTTTCAGGTAGACTAAAAACTTAGGTAAAAAATAGCCTATTACTTATTCATTTTGATGTTTTTGAATGCAAAAACCGAGTGAACGCCATAAGTTGACCTCAGACAACAATATAATAAAATTTAAAAAGCCAGTTCAATATTTGTGTAGCCTGACACGGTGTTTTCACACTGCATCCGTTCCAGGAACGGTGCGTATACAGCAGTGCAGAGATCGCTTACACACCGAGTCTATTTTTGCTGTGCTGCACGCACTGAATTAAAGTGGCAGCGCATAGTTTGTGGTCAAAATGAGCACAAATTGACCTGACAATGAATTTAATCATACATGCATTAAATTAAATTAAATGTAGTAATCTCACCATGCATGCATTTCATTGAATACTATATAATACCATGGTCAGAAGAAAGGAATAATATAATTGACATATTTACTTTCTTTATGATATGACAAGGTCTTCTGCAATTACCACCCAAGAATGGAGGAAATTACAACCTAGAAATGTTAATCAAGGTTGGGAGTTGAATGACACGCAATTATATACACTCACCTAAAGGATTATTAGGAACAGTTGTTCAATTTCTCATTAATGCAATTATCTAATCAGCCAATCACATGGCAGTTGCTTCAATGCATTTAGGGGTGTGGTCCTGGTCAAGACAATCTCCTGAACTCCAAACTGAATGTCAGAATGGGAAAGAAAGGTGATTTAAGCAATTTTGAGCGTGGCATGGTTGTTGGTGCCAAACGGGCCAGTCTGAGTATTTCACAATCTACTGTTACTGGGATTTTCACGCACAACCATTTCTAGGGTTTACAAAGAATGGTGTGAAAAGGGAAAAACATCCAGTATGTGGCAATCCTGTGGGCGAAAATGGCTTGTTGATGCTAGAGGTCAGAGGAGAATGGGCCGACTGATTCAAGCTGATAGAAGAACAACTTTGACTGAAATAATAATAAAAAAAAAACATACACAAATGACAGAATTCTCTTGTAACGCATAATGTGTTCACTGTTGGACAAAATGTTTAGTCGAAAAAACGTTAAAGAAAATTTTCTCTTAATTGACTCTTAGCGCTGGCAAGTCATGCTACCTTTCCAAGGGAAGAGCATTTTCTCCCCAAATTCCTAATAAGCACCTGGCTACCATTGTAGCTCCCAACCAGCCAACTCATATGGTGGGATAAAAGCCACATTTGAGATTTGTCAGTCCGGATCATTAAATTCACAGGGGAAAAGCCAAATTTGGCAGAGTTTGAACAATTCTGTCACAACACCCTTTAGTTTACGAGACTGAGGCCCGTTATTGTTAAATGTTTAATGGAGGGAGCACAGAGTGTCATGGCATTGCTTACGGCAGTCTGTCTCATCCTCGCCATCCCCACAGTCGTCCTGACCATTGCAACGAAGATTTAAAGGTATACACTTCTGCTTTCGGGTACACTTGAACTGTCCTGACAGACAGATGTATGTATCTGCAAATGAGGGGAGACATTGTAGTGAGGAAAAACTGTTAGATACATCATCATGCTAGGTCAACGCAACACGATCATCCATATACCGGTCATAATTGGTTGCTTCGAAATGCAATAAGAATAAAACTGAGATGAAAGAGGAACAATATAATTTTGTAGTGAATGCACTAAACGTCTTGAATCTGAAATCCATGTTGGCCCAATACATCCCGATTACGATCGTTAAATGACAAAATACCATGTACTCTTTTCTAATACTTCTAAAGTGGATATTGATCGCTTGATGGAGGCAATAGTCTGTATAATTGAACACTAAAAGACAGCTGGGCTAAAGAAGATTTGCTGCTGATGAAAATTCCAAGCAGATTTTTCTTGCTCATGCATGCCACATACTTCACAGGAACCGAAATCTACAAGGAAGACCCGCTAGCCTCACACAGAGAGAAAAAAAACAATGGATCTGTCAATAAGAACGTGGCATTTAAGAACAGCTTTTGTACATTATGTATTATTCTGCTCACCACAGTTGGCTTCGTCTGAGTTGTCCCCGCAGTCATTCTCTCCATCGCAGATGAAAGGAGGTAAGGCACAAAGGCCAGTGCCACACTGAAAACGGCCAGGCTGGCATTTGAATTCCGCTGCAAGAATGATGATTAACAGTGAACTCTGGAGGATTCAAAGCAATTTGCGCATAGGTATGTGTTTTAAACCTGAGCTGCGTGAGGTTGCCTGAAATGGGCGGGTCAACCCACATTCCATTATTTCTCTAAAAGCACTTCTACAATATTTAATACCCCCTGCACTTTATCGAACAACAGAGGTTCCACCTATTAACAGCAGGCATCGGCAGCCTGTCATTTTCTGTTTGTACTGCTCAAGTAAATCACCAAGACACAAAGAGAATCTAAAAACAAGCTGACTGGGAAACAGAAAAGAAAGAACAAAAGTTCATCCTTTCCCGCAACTTAAAGGTCAATCTAGCGTGAAGCTGTGAACTAGTTCATCTTCATACTGTATATAACAGCACTGGCATTTGGTGCAATCAAAGGCTGTTATAGCAGGTGGCGAAGCCAGATTTAGAAATGACAGAATTTCTTCTCTTGTTTTGGAAAATAACCACAGCGTTTTGTTTTGTGATACTGTCGTCAACTGTGTAAAAACAAAGACTTTGGTACTTGCAATGTAACGGAAATAATGGCAATAGGAATTAGTAGCAATTATCATACATCTGAGTGAAACGGATTATCGAAAAGAAAAAGTAGGACGTCTTGGTTCTATTGATTGGATGGACATGCGAGAAAAGGGTTTCGCCGAAAGATTGAGGTATGAAATTTTGACTAAAAATCTGAATAAAAAGGGTACAAAAAAGCATATACATGGATCAATCGTTCACAACAACATCAATTAAGAAAAAAAAGATAATGGGTCTCATTCGTGAAACACGAGCAGAACGAATATTTGTGTAAATCGTGTGTAAAGTGGTTCTGGCGTAAATTTTCGGATTCGTTAAAATGTTCGTATTTTCCAAATGTTAGTTGGTTCGCAAGAAATCTACACCTGCTCCCAGCCTTAACATCCGAACGTTATGCTCATTCACCTTAATTGGGTACATATTTAAACAGCATTTTGAAAAAAAATATATTATTTAATAATTACACGCATTTTTTCTTTTTACTTTTATCATGAGAGCCAGTAATAGCAATGTAGTAATGGCGGTCCTTCTCCAGTTTGAATACGATTTTTCCGAAGTGAACTAATAAGTTTTTTCCTGTCAAGCTTAATGTCGAACCATTTTCTTCTCACTTCTGGGACTGTTCGATTGACAGATGAAACTCCATTAACTGCATCTGTAATATGCTGCCAAGCTTCCTTTTTTAGGACCTTATACACCACTATTTACGCTTGAAAATAAAATGTGGCATTTTGAATGAACTTCTGATAATAAAACTTCAATTTCTGCGGCTGAGAAATCTTTCTTTTTCATTCGCATTCATGTTATTATATGCCTATATAGATGTCAGTTGGATATAATGGGCGGGATTTATGGTAATTGAGAATGAACGTGCACGCGCATCCCATTTACGAATGGTTGGAATTCATTAACACACACGCACATTTCACTATCACATCTGACGTTTAAGAAGTATTTGTGAATCAGGAGAAGAGTTTTCGGTCTCTTTATGTGCAAATCACTCTCATATTTACTCGTATTTTGTTTCATGAATGAGACCCAAGGTGTGTATTACTATGCCATGCTGAATTTAAGATTAAGCTGAAGTCTCTGCCAATCAGTTGTTTTGGCTTGTGCACATCTTCCAGTTTTTTTCCTTTCAGCAAATGACGAGATTACATAATGTAATTAATATTCATGACCCAAGTTAGAGTGTTGAGCAGCTTACAGGAAGTCATCTACCATATACAACGAGAAAAACAAAGCTGTGTGACCAAAACCTGAATTTTTATAATCATACTAATCACAAGTATGCCTCCTTATTAAAATTGTATGACAAAAACACAACAATGGTGACGTTTGTGATGAGTTTTCAGGCTGGTCTCATATGAGTGTAACCATGGCAACTAGGCATATAAAACATAATCACACTTGTAAAGAGAGGCTGATGAGGTTTATAATGTGGCTCACACACTTTTTGGATTGTTCTTAAACGCCGCATGAATATTACATACTGCTCAAAACAAAAATTACAGTGCAGACACTTTAGGCTGGGTAACATTGGAAGCTGAGCACTCACGACAATCCGCAGGCTCATCAGACCCATCACCGCAGTCGTCTACTGTATCGCATTTCCACCAGAAGGGGATGCACTCATCCGTTCCACAGCGGAACTGCAAAAAAAAGGTCCAACACAGCGAAAAAGGTCAATTCGTTATGAGTTACACAAACTGGAACAATCCTTGCAGTTCCGGCTAATGACATGAAATCTTCATTTTTGCACACAGACCTGGCTGGCTGTGCAGTTGGACAGGCATGTCTTATTATCGGCGGCCAAGTAGAAGTTAGTTGGGCAGGCACACTTGTGACCTCCACCAGGAGAGAGTAAACACAAGTGACTACAACCTCCATTGGCCACTTGACATTGGTGTTTTGGGACTGTAAAAAGGGAATATAAATGGATTGTTTCTAAATAGGTCATTTTAAAGGAATAGTTACACAGCTTTTGCCATATTGTACAAAATTAATCCGAAATATAACATAATATATTATGTTTTGGAACATTCCAAGTCTCCCAGAACAACATTGATAACACTTTACAATAAGGTTCATTAGTTAACATTAGTCAATGCATTAACTAACATGAACTAACGATGAGCATTACATTAGTTACAGTGTTTATTAATCTTTGTTAATGTTAGTTAATACAAATGCAGCTGTTCATTGGGCGTTCATGTTAGTTCACAGTGCATTAACTAACGTTAACTAATACAACCTTTGATTTTAATAACGTATTAGTAAATGTTGGAATTAATATTAACCTAAAGAAGTATTGTTCAGCCTTAGTACATGTTAACTAATGTAGTTAACTAATGTTAACTAATGAACCTTATTGTAAAGTGTTACCACAACATTTAAACTAGGATTTAAGTATTTGTAAATGGCAAGAGCTGTGTAAGAGTGAAAAAATATATATATTAATGAAAGCATTTTCATTTCTGGCCAAACCAAGCATAAAATTAAAATACTATTTATTTGAAACTGTGTCTACCTTCAGGCTGGCGCAGTGGGTGGTAGACAATGACAGACTTAATGGCTTGCCATGAATTTAGGAGCTCGACAGCATTAGCACCGGTGGTCTTATGAGCTCGGCGGAGAGATTTGGACTTCCCGTCGGTCCAATAAATGAAGTCCTCGAACAGTGTGAGCCCCATCACACCCTGGATGTGTTCATGAGGTACTGAGGTAGAGAGCACCATAACATGCACTATCATTAAAGATGAATTACTGCATAAGTGATTTAATCAAAATCATTATCCAACAACTCTCAAATTCGCTGTTCTCAAATTAAATATTCATTTTAACTTTTGCAAATGGATAATCTTTGATTTCTTTTTGCATATGCTATGCATATATACACAAACTCTCAAATTCACTGTTCTCAAATAAAATATACTATGATCTTTTGCGAATGGATAACATATCTTTGATTTCTTTTTGCATATGCTATGCATATATACGCAGGAGATTGTGGTCTTACTATATTGTTAAAAGGCTTTCTTGAAGTTTCTTTTATCCAATTCTGCCTTGTTATAGTAGCAATCAAATCCATGGAAAATGAACAAATTTAAGAGTGATTTTGTACCCCGGTGCCTCTGAGAACCGTCCATGTTGGCAAAAAGGATGTGATCATCATCAGCCCAGTAGATTCTCTTGTTTGTGTAGTCAATGGTTAGAGCTGAGGGGCTGTAGATGTCTTTGTTCACAATAACGCTTTGGCCTTGGCCGTCCATGCCAATTCGACCGACGTGAGGGTTTTCACAGCAGTCAATCCAGAACACATACCTGAGGGACAGAGAGTGACCCTCATCCATGAACCTCATATAACGTGAGACACAATCTTATCACAGTTGTTTTAAACAGAGAATAGCTATTCCCATTGTTCTAGGGGACTATGCATTCACTATTGAGCAAATGTGTAAAGGAAGGATTTGTACCCGGTTTGAGCGTCCAGAGCCAGGTCCGTGGGGTTCTTCAGGCCAGAGCTCACTAAGACGGTGGGGTATAAACCGTTGGATTTGGACACTTCCAGCGTCTTTCTCTCCACGTCACACCAATACAAGTTCTTTCCAATCCAGTCGACAGCCAGTGCGCTTGGCACAGCTGTTCGGTGAACAATCTAATAAAGCAACCAAGTATTATTCAGATCAGTCACTATAATCTGATCACATAATATCTCTGTAATGAGCAAGTCGGATTATGGGAATGTTGGTGTTAAGTAAGAAAAAAAGTCTTGATTTTGAGTAGTCAAGGACTCATTGCTTTTTTCATGCAATTACAATGAAGAGGGAATTCTACAAAACAGAATGCAGATCAATATAAAATTGTCTTAAAAGTAGTCCATTCGATGCACTGAAGTCAGCTTTGTGTAAGTAACAGAAATGTATTTAGATTTAGTGAGTTGAACTCGAGAACCAGATCAATCTGATTCATGAATGAATTATGACCAAACTAGAAAAGATGCAAATCAGAAGAATTTGTTCCAGATGGATGACTTTAATTATGACTTTTGTGACATTTATGGGATGTTTCATATCTTAAATCTTCATTCATTGTAATTGCAAAGAAATGAGTGACCAGCTCATTCTTCAAAATCCTCCTATTGTGTTCCAGAGAAGACATTTGGGTTTAGAATAAGGGGTAATAAATAATTACAGAATATTCATTTCTGGAAAAAAAAAAAAAACAAAACCTATTCCTTTTAATGAGTTATTCTATTATGTTATGACTTTACTTGTTGGGGCACATCATTATTAACTAGTCATTTAGTAGTTTTAGTAATTTGCAAATGAATTTGCACTTACAATGAAGTAATTAATCATGTATTAATGCATATTAGTGTACCTGTCATATCATCTGGAAGTTGAAATACAAGTTTTTGTCTCATTCTGGTAATTAACATATTAATTAACACTATTAGTTAAAAATAGTTATCATAGAATTAATACACAATTACATATTTAATTAATAACAATTCATGTATGAACTAATACATTAACCGTACAGACTCTTGATTAGTTCCTAATGTGGTAATCATTAATGAATAGCTTAGATAATCAGTAGTTACATATTAATTCAGTATTATCTGTGCATTAGTTAAGCATGAATTAATACTTATTAGTATTGTAAAGTGTTACCAAGATTTCAAAAGAGATGCTGAATTCCTGCTTTATTTTTGACAGGTAAGTCAATGTTACAGACTTAATTACAAGCTTTTTATTGCTTGGTTGTGTACTTTATTATATAGACAGTAGAACATTTATAGTTAATCATTAAACAGGCTCTTTGATGAATAGCAGCTATGTAGATAAGGCGCTAAAACAAGGTTTGCAAGTTTACTTTTTGTAACCTAGAAATTCGATAAGAATATACTTTAATAGAGATTATGACTGTTCTTGCAACCTGAAGGAACACTCAGCAAAGTGTTATTAGAAGACATCCTGTCATAGACTTTTGGTATGTAACGGCTACCGTCGATGCAAAACGCAATTGAAAAAGCGAGAGAGTGCAAATCATTTGAATGCAAAAAACAATTTCACAATGCTAGATGGGATAAATTCCTACACAATGTCCCCTTAATGCTAATATTCCATTGCATACTTGTGAAACAAACTTTACTATCAAAAATGGCGACTCTTGCAATCATGACATGCTTTGAGATCTTCTCTCTCATCGTCATCTGACAGGGCATATGTTGCCATGCCAATTGACAATAACGCCCCTTCAGAAGTAATTCAGCTTTGCTGGACTTGAAAAAAATTCTCTGAAATGTCAGTGATTGAGAAACATTTCCCCAATCAGGAAAGTGCCTCCAGATGAGACGATGAGAGGAAACATTAATATTCCGAGTGGGAAAGAGCTTCTGGTATTCTACGGATCTGGTCCAGCACTGATTTGAAAGATCTTGTTTGGAAACGAAAGGCAAACTCATTTAAAATGTCAACATTTGAATATATAAATACTGGAATGCACAGAATGCCATGATGAAAGATAATCAGAATAGCTGCAATATAGAAGTAGTACCCCCTTTTTTCACATTTTATGATGCAGCTTTTTTAAACTACTTTTAAATGACTTTTTTTCTCCCACCTACACTCCACCATAATGGTGAGGCAAAATAATACAAAATAATAAAATGATGCATCCATGCTACTAAAGACAGGCTGATTGGGACATTTTTATTGGGACATTAAGTCATCTCAATGGCAAAATGTGTCCCTATCACCCTGAATTCACCCGATGTGTGTCTGTGTCTGAGAGTATGCATGATATAGCTAAAATCGCCTTTTAGATATTATTGAAGGGTTTTAGTTATGGCATGTGTCCTAATTGGTGAATACAAACTTAGATATAGTATTCACATTCACAGAGCCAAAACAAATCACTTAAATAATTGAAAGTTGAACTGGTTCAGCATTACTAATAAGGCCATATATATACATGCCAACTTTGGCCCATTGCATATTAATAGCCAAATTCCCTTATTGAATCCCACCAAAGGCACTGCCTGAGGCATCATGCCAAACATGCCCAAGTGCAAGAGTTATTCATCATTTACAGAAATCAAACCCATGGTGCATTGTTCACAGATTCCATTTTTTTTTTTTTTTTTTTTTTTTTTGCTGGCGGCTGACTTTTAATTTTCTCTTCACTTCAATTTATCAATTGTGCAAAATAATGCATCCAAAGTCTGAAAAAAGCTGATTATGTGATAATAAATATGCATGAATGGATATCGTAAAAAAATAAATATCTTTGTTGTAGTCCAGTTCTTTTCTATGATGCAATAAGCAATATAATGTATAGTCAGCAAGTCATTATTGCAAAATAAACCAATTTAGGTAGATAAAAGTGGCTTCTAATGTCCATGAGACTGCATATTATCTCTTACTTACGGCACAGGTCATGCAGTAGATAAGAAGGAGCTGGCAATGATTTAATTATGGATACTGTATGGGGAGCTTATTGTAGTGCTAAGAACATACAAAGTCAAACATAAAGAGACTGTGCAAGCAAAGAATACATAGAAATAGCCATGTACAGGCACATAAAGGCAGAATGCATGTAAAAGTGTATACATAAATGTATATTTTGCATATCATAATTTAAAGGGATAGTTCACTTTGAAATTATTTTTTGATATGTTTTAGCTTACCTCAAGGGCATCCAAGATGTAGGTGTCTTTGTTTCCACAGTATTTTCAATTTTGACATTTTTCGGTAAAATCGATGTTGTCTATCAGTCATATAATGGAGGTATGGGGGTCCACCTCAAAGAGCATGCACAGAGAAGTCCAAATTAAACATGATTTAATGACTCGTGAATGTAAGTACACATTGATGGCCTAAGACACGAAATGAACAGTGTGTGTGAGAAAAAGAACAGTTTTTATATCGTTTTTACCTCTTGTTAACTAACACAGTCTCATCCCAAGAGGTCATACAACTGACGCTTTTGATCAAACGTCAACATCCGCCGTTTTAGGGTACCCCTTAACGTCAGTTAGATGATGATCCTGGGCCGTCATACGACTGACGCTTTACCTTTAACGTCAGTTAGGTGACGGGGTAGGCTTAGGTCTCGGGTAGGGTTAGGATTAGATAGCGTCATTTAACCGACGTTAAAGGGTACCCTAAAAAGATGGATGTTGACGTATGGTCAAAAGCGTCAGTTGTATGACGTCTTGGGATGAGACTGCGCTGTGTTAACAGCTATGTCGAACTGATCTGAATCAGATTTCCAACTGAACCGAACTGAACCGTCCAACGTTACGCCGGAAGTGCGCGTCTCTCGCGTATTTACGTCATGCATTGTTTACACAGAGATTTTGCAAGTTTTACCTTTCACTACACATATTTAGATATACTGGAAATCGCACAATTTCGATATATCTAAATATGTTTAGTGAAAGGTAAAACTTTCGAAATCTCTGTGTAAACAATGACGTAGACGCGTGAGAGATCACTTCCGGTGTAACATTGGACGGTTCATTTCGGTTCAGTTGGACATCTGATACAGATCAGTTCGACATGGCTGTTAACAAGAGGTAAAAGCGATATAAATACTGTTCGTTTTCTCACACAAACCGCTCGTTTCGTGTCTTAGGCCATCAGTGTGTACTTACATTCACGAGTCATTAAAATCATGTTTAATTTGGACTTCTCTGTGCATGCTCTTTGACGTGGACCCCCATACCTCCATTATATGACTGACAGACAACAACGTTTTGACCGAAAAATGTCAAAATTGAAAATACTGTGGAAACAAAGACACCAACATCTTGGATGCCCTTGAGGTAAGCTAAAACATATCAAAAAATTATTTCAAAGTGAACTATCCCTTTAAATTACTAAATAGCATGAGTACTCAAATGCAGCAGCAACATAGGAGGAATTCTCAAGGTAGAATGGTACAAAGCCGTTAACGGTTACGGTAAGCGATTTGAGATGCGTTATGACTAATTAGGTGGGTAGTGTGAAGGAATCATATGTGTGTGTGTGTCATTAGTAACAATGTTAATAAACAGTCTTATGGCATTGGAGAAGAAGCGTTTTTTTTAATCTTGATGTGCACTGTCTGGAAGTTAGAAAGGTGAAAAATTAATGTGTGGGGGGACTAGAGTCCATCATAATGTGTCCAATTTCCCTGTGAAATTGTTTAGAATAAACACTTTTATATTAAGTCAAAGTCAGTTTATTGTCATGAGTCTCCAATATAGTGAGAGAAAAAAATAATAATACCGGGTCTCCATGTCACTAAATAATGTATGAATAAAATCGTCAATTAAATTGTTCTTCCGCAAAAGAGCAGCATCATTATAACCCCAGCAAATGATGGGTAAAGGTCTCCTACTCAATCTAAACATATTGTGCCAGCATGCATTGTCTCCATTTCCAAAATTCGGAAGATTACACCCACAAATGCTAATGAATTTCCAATGGCTTTAGCTTGTGCTGAGCAGGGGTGATAAATCAGGAGGGGGCAACACAGTGTAATGAAGCCAAATGAGGCTCTTGGCCCCTGCAATGAAGCTAATGAGATGGGGAAAAGTGTTGCTCAGCAGGTACACGGCAGAGATGTGCATCTAAGAGCTAACCATGTGACCTTAATGAGTCCCTCAAATAATGCAAAAAAAGCATTTACATTTATGGCTGTATGACTACAAATGTCTAATACTCAGACCTTCCCTGTTGCTAACATGCTGTAAAACAGTTAGTCCAAACCTATTAGTGTTATTTTCAGTCCTTGGTGACCCATCATAATTAAATAAGAAATCAGACGTACCTTGAGGTCACTGCCGTTAAGGCGAATTCTGTTTATCCGTCGGCCGCTGGGTCTGCTCGAGTCAATCCAGTAAATGAACTCCTTCTTGTAGTCAAAATCTAAGCTGATAATGTTGTTGAGGCCCTACAGGAGTCAGAAAGAAACACAGCATAGAGGTAATAGAGGTGAATTAGGTAACAACACGAGATGGACTGCACAACAAATGGGACTGTTAGCGCAGTCAGCATGATGCATTAGCAGGGTAAAAACCACAGTCAGTATGCATGGATCAACTATGCAGAACAAAAAAGAATGAGATGTTCTGCGTTTGTTCTGCTTTTCAATTAGCTCCAGGGCTTAATTAGCTACTTCCGCGTACGCTTATCTCGACAGGATCTGGCAAGGATGTACTACAGACACGAAACATACAGAGACTACATTTCTTTTGATGTCTGTTCACCGTATTGATTTTGGAAGAGGACGCAGTGTGTGCGGTGGATACATGTGGATGCTGGCTTCAGAATCCAGGGAAGCAGTTCAGAGAGCCTTCAGAGGGAATCCTGACGGTACATTCGTTACTGTCATGTTCATGTCAGGCTGCTGTCACTCAGTCTACCGCTCACTAGCCCCCCCTTCTTTTGCCCACTTCATCCCAGCTGTTAAGATGGAGCGACGGGCATGATGACAGATGAAGAAAAGCTTTGATAACCCCATCAGATCATCAACTCTGTGAGACCCACCAAGACCTTTAGCCTTTATCTTGTGGCCAGAACCTCCAGTGTTAACTTAAGGCCACAACAAGTTATCTTTTCATGTAACATCAGTGAAAACACAAATATGAGATCTATATAGGTCAAATAGGTCTAAGCAAGGCTGTACAGGTATAGAGGAAACATGATCTATAATCATTACTCTATATAATTGCCAAAATTGTATAAAAATTGGCCAAATTGAATTTTTCAGTCGCTTATGCAGACTGCACTCACCAAGGCGGCATTTATCTGATCGACAATACAGTGAAAACAGTCCTGTAAATTATTAGCAAAATTTAAAATAACTCTATATTACTTTTTAAAAATGTCATTTATTCCCATCATGGTATAACTGAATTTTCAGCTTCATTACTCTAGTCTAGAAATCATTCTAATGTGCTGATTTGGTTATGAAGAAACAGTCTTGGAAACTGTTGTGCTAATTCTTTGATGAAGAGAAAAACATTTATTTGAAATATATCGTAACAACGTAAAAGTCTTTGTCACTTTTGATCAATTTAAAATCCTTGCTGGATAAAAGTGTTAATTTCTTAGAAAAATAATAATAAAAGAGCTGTATGATAGGTTAAACTGAAATAAACTGTCAGTTATCTAGTCGAAATAAAAAGTAATATGAACTATAGATTATATTAGTATCGCAATTATTATTGATACACTCTAAAAAATGCTGGGTTGTTTTAATCCAATTTTGGGTAAAATACAGTATGGACAAACCCAGCCATTGGGTTACATTTTTAAATTACATTTTTAACCCAATGGTTGAGTTTGTCCATATTTGACCCAAAATTTGGTTAAAACAACCCAGCATTTTTTAGAGTGTAATTTATAAATAAATATTGCAATATTGTTGCCAGTGTTCGTCTTGTTGCCAGACCGGGTGCTTTCTATGATGTAGAAGGAGGATGATAAATAATAAGCAGAACAATGTACAGTCATCGAGTCATTATTGCAAAACGAACCCATTCAGGATGATACAAGTGGGCTTCTAAAGATCTCTCACTTAATACACAGGTCATGCCTCAAACTTAAGTCGTCTTTAATTATGGATACTGTACGGTAGATCGATCAATAGCTAACTAGCATTCGATAGAGCGAACGAGATCATGCACTATGCTAGTATGAGGTCAACAAAGACCTCTGTTGTTGGGAAGAGGCCACAGGGTCCACTCATTGTTAAGTGCAAAAGCTTTCCTCCCTTCACTCTTATTAAACAAAATGGAATAAATGGAACTGAATGATTGCTGACGAGCCTACTCCATAAAGGGAAGAGTTTACTGAGAGCCCTATAGACATTCCCCTGGATGACAGCCTCAATTGATATGAATAATGTAACGAGCGCCGAATTGAGGAAACTCACATTCCACTATAAGAATCATCATTTCGATAGTAATGACTAAAGGCCTCTAATGACACCAGCTGTGGATAATAGCACAGGGAAACACTTGCTACACCAGGCCAATCAGAAGTTACTTATAAAGTCAAAATGACATTTCATAGAGCATTCATAATGTGTGCTGTATATGCAAAAGAAGAGAGAGAGAGAGGAAAAAAAAAACTTTTCATCTAAAAAAAAATTATGTAGAACCTCAAAGTAACGGCCATGATATTTAATGGATTTTGTTTGACAGAATTTCCAGATTTTTTAATGAATTGTTCAATAGACCCCTTTTCAGTTGGTAAACATGGTGACATTTTTATGTGGGCGGAGCTTAGGTGGAGGCAAAACGATCCCTCTGGCCGCTTCACCAATGCTAGTTAGCAAGTTTTATTAGCTTGTTTTTTAACAATGACTGGAGAAAATCAGATTTCATCTTAATGTGTAAGGTCACTCACTGTCCAGGACTGCAATTGTTATTTCCAAAAGTTATTTTTTAACGGACAGAACCAGATTGGCCGACCAGTAGCCGCCTACACGCTCACTCAATGCATGGACGATCTGACAGGATTAACGTTACGTTACCTCGGTTTAGTGGGCTGACTTCTACACCTACCATATAGAGTAAGCGATCGTAAAGAGAAACTGATTGCATATAAATCTTTAGATGCCTATAAGTATGTGCTGAATGGTCCTGTACAAGACTTTTGTGTATGATCTGCAGTTCTGCCGGACCAGGGCAGAGAAGACGACAATGTAAAGAGTGTCATTACAGTGCGATTTTAATCATGTGAATATTTTCTAGAAATAAAAAAATACAGCATACTAATTTTTCATTTGCACCAAACAACACAATAAGATGCCATTTAAAAATAATAAAAGTAATTTAAGCTCCTTATTATGTAGCCGAATCTGTGCTGGTTTGCATTGGCCGCCTCCAGTTTTCACTTTGTTTTGCCTCCAGCTAGCGCCGTGACGTAACTGTGATGTCGGCGCAAAAGGGGTATACCCAATGAACAGCCTGATGATCAATATAATACAGATATAATAGGCTATATAAAAAAAATACTATTTAGTGACAGCAAAACACATTGAGAAAACTGCTCAAAGAAAAATATCACTTCTTTTGAATTATTACAGAATTATGTTTTCTTTTTGATTATTTGTAACAGGTATTTAAACTTTTTTTTTTCCCTTGTCTCATTTTGGACACTGCATTGGCTGCACAATTGGAAATTTCAAAATTTGCAGATAATTCTGCGCATGTTGTAAGCCCAAGGAAGGTCGATTGACCAAATCAAATTTTGTAATGATGCAAGTTTGAGTTATATAGATAAAAATAATATAGGAATATACAGGGCTATATATAGTTATATACTGTAGTTCATATAATATGTATTCAAAACTAATTAAACATTTTGAGAACAGATATTTCATCATTGACCTGTCAAAATTTGTATACTGTGTAATTACAATCTCAAAAAAAAAAAAAAAAAAAAAAAAATCAGTTGGCCTGACTGATATAAAAAACTGATATTTAATGTAAAAGGTAAAAGTACTTTGCGCTTTCAAGACCAGTAATGGAGTGTTTTTAATTATTTCATGTGATGTGCCCCCAACCCAAGAGACTAGTTAATGTCTTAAATTAGTGTTTCCAAATGGCATAGGAGACAATAGACACTGTGTTGTTATCACAGCTGTGTCACCACAGCTTAATTGGTCCTCCATTAGGCTTTTACAAACACAGCAGTTCTATCTTATGATCTGGTCTCTGAAGTCCAGTAACAATTAAATGTAGCATACAGCAGTCTCGGTTGGGCAAATTACACAGGCAACCTTTCAATAAGGCGTGATATGAAGTGATATGAAAATAAACAACACATGGGAGTAATGGAGTTACAAAAACAGTTGACGTAGAGCTTTACCTGTTTCAGGAGAGTGTAATTGGATCCATCAACACTTAATTTTCTGATTTCATGAAGATCAGCAAGTATAAGAAAAGGTTCTTCAGCTGTGAGAAATATAAATGTGAGTTGATGCAATGAAGCCTGACAATAGTCAAGTTAACAAAGCCTGAAATCATCAAGTTCTGTTGAAACATATTCTGGGGGGAAATCACTAAATGATACTTACCTGAAAGAGACTTGCAGCTGTTGGGGTCTTTTCTGGAAGCTTCATAGCCATCTACACACAAACACTTAAAGGAACCGTAAGTGTTTGTGCAGTTCTGACTGCAGGGTAGGGTGGTGCTGCATTCGTCAATGTCAACACATGTTCTCCCATCATTCTTTAGGTGAAATCCTGGCCAGCACTTACACTACACACATTGGTGGAGAAAAAAAAAAGACAATTGAGGTGTTTTGAGTCTGAAATTGCCATCAATACAAAAGACACCTCTCTGGAAAAAAGACCACTTGGAAAAAATCCATTTTGTGTCAGTGCCATCACCATTTTAAAAACTTATAGGTTTAACCCTCAAAAAAATGAAAATTGTGTTACCATTTGAGTTCAATTGCATGTCGCTCAAAAAAAAAAATATATAAGTTGTACTAGAAAAAAGTTAAGTACTATAAGTTGTACTAGAAAAAAGAAAACAAAAATGCTGCGGCCATTTTACAGATAATGATGATTCACAAATGAATTTTCTAAATCATTCTAGCTGGATTTAATGACTGGTGATTTTTTTATTCAGTCTGTAACCTCAACGGATTCCCTATGATCCCTTCATTTCTACCACAGTGAATGCGGTCAGACTCTTTACTTACAGGTTTTGACTCAACAACAGTACCTAAATCTGCCAGGGAATGACACTGCCTCCAAACACCTTTGATGATCACAGGACAACCCTGACACCTTGTTTGCCCATCAGTAACACAGCAGAAGTGTCTGTATCTAGAGAGTATTAGCTCATAAATTGTCCTCCTTCAGGCATGCCTCTAGACAGCGCTCCCAAAGGAACAAGTCTTTGTTAAAACTTGATCTGAGTATGCCAATTAAGTACCAATGAAACAAAACTGGGACAAATCGTTCCTATAGTTTTTTTTTTGTCTTTGTTCTTTGAATGTTTGCCCAAGTAATTCATTGAAAAGCTGTCACAGAAACAAAAACACAGCAGCTTCTCCAAATCAATTCATCACAGTTACGTATTTGCAAAACTTGCAAATAAGACACACAGAATAAGCCAAGATTGAAAAGAACTGCCAAATCTTTAAAACAGAAAAAACTCTCTCTGACACGCAATGAAAAATAGTCAAAGATTTTAAATAAATATAGATGTGTATTCAGAACACTTAATAATACTGTATACAGTTAATATACATTAAATACACACATGTATTTCTTCAGAACACATACAAATAGAATTGTTTTACTTATGCATAAACATACTTTTAATAGAAGAAACATTTACAAACAAACAATAAATAAATAAATAAATAAATACAATGATATAATCAAATATAATCAAATATAATCAAATATAATCAAATATAATATAATATAATTGAAGGTGTTAGTCAATTATATGCTCTGCATCAAAAAGGTTTTTTCTACATTTTCTTAAAGGGTTAGTTCATCCAAAAATGAAAATTCTGTCAGTATTTACTCACCCTCATGTTGTTCCAAACCTCTATGTGTTTATTTGTTCTGCTGAACACAAAGGAAGATATTTGGAAGAATGTTTTAATCAAACAGATCTCATTCCCCATTGACTACCATAGTATGTATTTTCCTACTATGGTAGTCAATGGGGAATGAGATCTGTTTGATTAAAACATTCTTCCATATATCTTCCTTTGTGTATAGCAGAATAAATAAACACATAGAAGTTTGAAACAACATGAGGGTGAGTAAATACTGACAGAATTTTCATTTTTGGGTGAACTAACCCTTTAAGCTTGTAAAAATGTATTTTTAGTTATAAATGCAGATGGTCTATTTGGGAATACATTAACTTGTGAATGTTTCATAATTGATTGGGGAGGCAAGCTTTTATTTTTATGAAAAAAGTCAAAAGTCTAGAGGGACACATGAAGCTTAAATATGTGACCCGTTCTGGCAAAATGAGTGTATGAACTCATGCACAGGCTAATAACGAGCTACATGTAAAACAAGTGAAATATGTCCATTTTGGTGCCTTGTCAAAACGCCCGCAGAATAGAGGGGTGGATTATCATTTATCAATGGCATTTAATGAACTAATTTTTGTGAAAACCTCAAATTCGACCAAAATGGTCATATTTCACTTGTATATTGACAACAGCCTTGTCAACAGTTGAGGGTATATTTTGGAGAAAGAATGGCAGCGGGAGTCTCTGAGGACACATCTGTGCAACCGTATAAGTTAGAACCGGAGTTGGACCCGGAACAAGATGACGACCGCAAAGAAGTTCGACAATTAAGGCACGAATAGGACGTTTCAGAATGGTTGGTTAACATAATGTCACTTTGATATATCTTTGTATACTGGCAAGGTAGAGTAACTTAGTGAGATGTACGAACGCTATGTGTTTACTGATGTATACGTACTCAGTTTGTATTAACACAATAACCATAACGCGTTGTTCCAACCCAATCTCACGGGAATTCGTACGAATTTTACAAGGTGGCTAATTCGTAACAATTCGTACGACCTCACTCGTGCGAATTAGTCAATTTTGCTAAATCGTACACATTTTACGAATTAGCCAATTCGTATGAATTCATACGAATGACCTACCCCTGACCCCGCCCCTAAACATAACCGTCACGTGGGTTTAGACAAATGAGTGAGGTCGTACAAAACAAGTGAGGTCGTATGAATTAGTACGAATTAGCCACTTTTGAATCACTCATACGAATTCGTACGAATTGGTCGTGAGATAGCGTAGGTTGTTAATTATAAACGTGGGATTTTGATTTTGAGAACGTCGTATAGAAAACATGCCGTAATGTACCCTGAGTGAAAAACTTAGCCGCATTCATTGTGAAGCGTGCAAGCGATTTGCAAAGATTAATATATAAAATAGACAATTTTACACTCACTTCTTCTGGAGGTGCAGCAAGAATCTACATGTTTTAATGGTCATGGTTTATTCCCCATATTTTCCCCTCATATGGGAGAAATAAGGATTTAAGTGTTCTACTTTCTGCTTTTTATGACGTAAAAATGACCATTTTGTGCCATTGTAAGCAGGAAGTCCCATTTTTTGTATGTGTTGAGACTACAAACACTAGTTCATCATTTATCCAGGGGGTGTGGTCTCACGCTAGAGACCAATTACAGATCAGTGGGTGGGACTTTGCTTTCTGAAACTAAAAACAACATCATCCATCTTGTTTGGAAGCTAGGCTAACAGGCGCTGTGGAGCGGCAGATGTAAAGTTACGACAACGGAGAAATGTACTCAAAATGATATGGAAGAAGAGGATTTTGAAAGTGTGATGCTCGAATCAGATGTGCGTGGCTACTTTTAGGAGGTGCAATATGGCAAAGAACAGCGGAGGCTAATGGAGGAACAGGAGGCTGTCTCGGACAAGGAGCACGGACTCGAGCTGGGGCGGACTGGTGGTGTCAGTGCTCAGTTGTGCTTACGGACACAGAAAGAGTCTGTCAGCAGCAAAGAATTTCAAAGATGGCAATTTCTCCTGGACAAAATCGTGTTGTGTTGTGAACCATCCTAGTTTCACACCGCATATGTTCTAACTGAACATCCCGGTATCATGCAATAATTCACCATTTCGAAAGAAATACAAATGAGCTAATGCACTAATGAGTTCGCCATCTAGAAATTTTGCGTGAAATAAATTTGAAGCTCTGGTGGAAGCCAGCCTTGAAGACGGAAAAGTGATTTCTCTGATAGGCGGATACCTCATAGGCACTGTTCTGGAATAGTGGGAGTGGCTACAGTGCAATGTGGTGCATTGTGGGAGTTGTAGTCTTTCATACAGATGCGCCCTAAAGTTATTTTCTGTCTTTCCTCAGTCAAGATCAAGAAGGGACCAAATTAGAAATTTATTTTACATTTCAACTACATATATGGCCCACTTTCAATAAAGAGCAATGTTCAAACCGGGTGAAATGCGCCTTGAATGACTGCTTCAGGGATAATGTGCCACCAAAACTGCTTCAGGGACAATGTGCCACCTTAAAGTAGCAAATCTTGAACAATTGTACAATACATAAAGATATTATTGACCAACCTTGTATCCCACTGGTAAGTCTAGACAATCCTGCGTACATCCGCTGACACGGCGGTTGAGACATTCATTGACATTGCAGTTTTTCTCATCTGAGTGATCGCCACAGTCATCTTTCAGGTCACATAAACTCTTCTCAGATATACAGCGGCCATTTGAGCACATGAAAAAGGAACTGTTGCATAAGCTCTCTAGAAAGGAGGAAAGTGAAAACAAAGAAATAAAAATTAAGGAAAAGTACAAAGCAATACAAGCAATGCAGACTTGTGTTGAAACCCAAACTAAAAATGTAAAAATGCTTTTGGGAGAACAAAAAAAAACAAAAAAAAACTGATTGAATGGGTTTAACTCTTCAAAGCTAGAGGGCATCAAACTTGCAATCCAACAAAATTATGAAAAAAATTATGAATATATTTCTAGCTTTCTGCAACTGCCAGTGAGTGCAAGGCTTTTTTTTTTTAAATGCTTAGTATGCTCAGCTGAAAACATGCCCTCCCCGCAGGTCAAAGTTATCCACTTCAGCCCCCTGCTTTTATCTATGATGTTCCTTGGCCACTTGTGTTCCCTCAAATGTTCAGTAAGCCCCACATCCATCAGTCGAACATGTTTCAGGCACAGCTATGTTGGGTCATTACCGGCAGCCAGGCATTTGAGGTTGAGGGGCAGCTCATCAGAGTGGTCAGGGCAGTCTGGGAAACCATCACACTCCCACTGGGCGCTGAGCAGGCATCGGCCATCAGCACAGCGGAACTCATCCGACCCACATGAGCGGTACACTGCGGAAAGAGTGACTGTCAGCACACTGACACACTCTACACCAAACAGAGATCTTAAAGGGACAGCTCACACAAAAATGAAAATTTAGCAGTCATTCATTTAGAAAAAAAGTGTTTTTTTCTTATATGCAAGGAAACACAAACGCAGATATTTAGTGGAATGCAGAAGCTGCTCTTGAATTACTTTTAAATAATAGTAACAAGTAATACCTAATGTATTACAGTTTGGAAGTAACTTGCACAACACTGACAATGGTTGACTCAAGATCATCCAAATGACTATGTCTTAAATATAATTCACTTTTGTAGACACTCAATTCAGTAAAAAAATAAGCACATATCACACATCATTAGAAAAAAATAAATACAAAAAACAGGTATTAACATAAGGGTTAGTAAATTATGACTGATTTAAATCTTTGGGTGAACTTTGCAAGATGGACATGAAACAATAAGTATGATGTGTGATACTTTTTTAGTCAATCTGCAGATATCTTGGGTGACAGATTCTAGAAAAGGAGATCTCTTTGAATGTCTTTTGATATAAATAATCCAGACTTTCCATTTCATATTTTAACCTCAGTGCAAACATTTCTAGTGTAATAAATTATGAGGGCATATGCACATGAATGATGTCCTGTGGAGAGGCTGTGCTTTCATGTTGTGAAGACCAGGGACCAAATTCTCCATCAAAAAACTCAGTTTCAGTTTTAAGCTCAATTGAAGAGAAATATTGACTATTCTTGAAATTGTTCCACTTAATTAAGAATGTATAGTACACATTATACGAGCACAGAGCAGCCTAAGGCTCACTGTAGAGCTTTAATTAACTGAGAAGTGCCTGATTTTTTTCCATTAAAATACAGCACTTTACTATTTCAATGCTTTTCAATTTACTGTATAAATAAAAGTTGCTTTTACAAATTCCTTTGGGGAAAAGCAGGTAACGACATTGACAAAAGTCGTAGATGTGAAAAAAAAAAACAATATTTCTCAATGACGGCTCTGTTTATCAGACAGATGTGTGAATTCAGAAAGATGCTTACCACATTCGACCGATTCATCCGAACCATCTCCACAGTCGTTGTCATGGTCACAAACGAAGCGTTTTGGAATGCAGCCTTTGTTAAGGCATCTGAAGGAATTCTCATCACATTTGTTATTCGGAGCTGCGGGGTAAACATCAGAACCTTGAGCTTGATTAATTCTCACTAAGACTTTTATTCACCTTGGGGTACAAGTCATAACCCTTCTCTATCACAGCCTGGAATCTTAACGTGTTACGCAAAACACATCACTAATGAAGTGCCTGTGGTGAAGCATATCTTTTTTCAATGGATGTCACTGAGTTTTTAAAATCCTGACCTGAGCACGTATCAAATAGCCAATTATAATGAATGGCAAGCATCGCTGCTAGAACAACATCTGAAGGGAGCTTGCATCGATTACACATTGACATGCAGAAGACATTTTAAACAGATCAATGGGAATATTTACCACAGCCGGCTGCTGCGAGCTCATCGCTGCCATCGGGACAGTCTCTCTCCCCGTCACATAACCAGCGCTTTGGGACGCATGCGTATGAGCCTGGACAACTGAATAACCCCGGGGCACATGTCCACGAGCCTGGAACATATTTTATTAGATGCTAGAGACTGTGAACTTTAGCTCCTTTAGCATTCTTTAGTGTCCTTGAGTGTCGCCTTCCATGCCGGAGACACCGGTCTGGATAGTTTACACGTTTCGTGCCAATTACCCAGATGGGTGTGAGGTTTAAAGGAGTAGTTCACTTATGAAAAAAAAAAGCTTTTGCTGATAATTTACTCTCCCCCATGTCATTCTTTCTTCGGTCAAAAAGAAATGAAGGTTTTTGATGAAAACATTCCAGGATTTTTCTCCATATAATGGACTTCAATGGGAACCAAACGGTTCAAGGTCCAAAAGACAGTTTCAGTGCAAACTGCAAACTGTTTAAAGGGCTTTAAACGATTCCAGACGATGAATGAGGGTCTTATCAAGCGAAACGATCGCTCATTTAAAAAAATAAAATAAAATAACAAAGTTTAAGTTTTATAAGCTCAAATGGTCGCCTTGCTTTATACAGAGATGCCCGTTCGTGACTCTCCTGTTCGAACTCGTTCATCAATATGAACAAATCTTTTACTGAGTCATTTTTTTCATTTCGTTCGTTGAATGAACCAAATGACTCGGAAAAAATATTTGTTCATTTTGCCCTTTAAACAGTTGGCAGTTTGCACTGAAACTGTCTTTTGGACTTTGAACCTTTTGGTTCCCATTGAAGTCCATTATATGGAGAAAAATGCTGGAATGTTTTCATCAAAAACCTTAATTTCTTTTCGACTGAAGAAAGAAAGACATGGACATCTTGGATGACATGGGGGTGAGTAAATTATAAGCAAAAGTTTTTTTTCAAAAGTGAACTACTCCTTTAAGGGGGTGAGTGTAACCGTTCATGTAAACCTCTCTCCTCTGGCCTCAAGAGGCGCTAGAGACTGCCTCCCATGCCAGAGACGTCGGATAAAATCTCTCTCAGAGAGGGTAGAGTAGGACTGGTTACACATTGGAAAGATCAATGTTGCTTATCAAGTTCTGATAAGTATTTATTGTGTTTAATTGCATTTACCATTATTAGAAACAGAGCAACGTCATTAATATCTCACTGACATTTCATTCCAATCCAATTACACGATTATTTACCAACCAATAAGTACTAAATTAAAACGTGATTGCATTTTTTTAATTGGCCAATTTATAATAGTTGCATCGTATTTAGCCTGTGCATAAACTCAAATCATTCAAAACATTGTCTTTGAGGTACAGAAGAAAAGGAACATTTACAGTCAAGCAGAACAGAAGGAGAGGTCAAATGCATACCACAGAGATCCACGTTCTCGTCCACCCCGTCTCCACAGTCATCTTCGCCATCACAGAGCCACTGCTTCGCTATGCACTTGTTCTTTGAACAAGCAAACTGGTTCCACAGACAGGAGGAGTCTATCAACAAAATAGTCAAAAATAACAGCGCTTACACTCACAATTTACGACACATCTCTAACTGAATGCTTTTAGAGATAGTTTATTTATGTTTAAATTCAGCAGACTTTGAAGTAGACCTGTGGATTACACTTATATTAGCCTACTTGTGATCTCAAACCAGGGCAACGACAAAACATGCAATAAATACGTCAGTCTCTCTCAAAGTGGCTTTTACATGAAATAACGCAGAATAAGTGTTTTCTGCACTTTTGTTGTGCAATCACACTTTATTCTGTCATCCTTCACAAACATAAAGTATATACTATAAACTATGTGTTGACACATAGGAACTTATATGTCCTTCCAAATAAATGGAAGAGTCTAAAAAAGAAATCTATCATGGTTCCCACAAAAATACTAAGTAGCACAACTGTTTTCAACACTGATAATAAGAATGTTTTTTGATCACCAAAACAGATGATAAGAAATGTTTCTTGAGCACCAAATCAGCATTAGAATTATTTCTGAAGTATTGTGTGACACTGAGAGAAATTGAGTGATGTCTAAGGGGTGTAACGATATTCGAATCGAACCGAAAAAACGTGATAGAGAACTCACGATTCGAATCGCGACACTCTCATTGCGTACCAAACACAAACAACTGTGTAAATTATTATATTTCAATAACAAATTAGAGTAAAAACACAAAAAACTGCCTTATGTTCAGTTTATATGTTTTCATACAATGTGTTGTGTGTTGATTATTAAATCTAAAAAATAAATAGCATCTGAATTTAGGTTAAAAGTCTAGGCTACATCCTTTAATGTTATAGTAATGTGCGGGTTAATTTATAATTTACAGCATTAGCAGATTTTTTTAATCCTTGTGAAACGTTTAATTTTAATTGAACTTTTTAAAGACAAAGACATTTTTTTCATTAAACCACTGTTTAAAAACAAACAAAAAAAGCAATTTTAGCTTAAACCGAACCAAAACGAACCCAGACGTCAAAACTGTTTGTGTATCGTTACATCTTTATCGTGCCATCGCAAGAATAAATTACATTTAATTTAGATCGAAATAACAATATTGTAAAATAATAATTCTGATCAAATAAACACAGCTTTGGGGAGCACAAGACAATTCTTTCAAAAACATAAACATCTAGCCAAACTCAAACTGAACTGTAGACTTAAAGGGTTAGTTCACCCAAAAATGAAAATTAAGTCATTAATTACTCACCCCCATGCTGTACCAACCCCGTAAGATCTTCGTTCGTCTTCGGAACACAAATGAAGATATTTTTGATTAAATTTGAGAGCTGTATAACTACCACATTGACTGCCTAAGGGACTGCCTCTTGACGGCCCAGAAAGTCAATGAAGAAAATGTTTAAATATCCCAAGTGACTACCGTGGCTCAACTATAAGTTTATCAAGTGACGAGAATACTTTTTGTGCGAAAAAACAAACAAAAATAACGAGTTTATTCGACTATTCCTTTTCTTCCTTTTTGGCCTGAAAAGAGACTTCCTTAGATTTCCACGACGCATGCGCGAGAACTGTGACATTCTCTGACTGAGGTAGTTGAAAGAGATCGCAATTCTCGCGCATGCGTCGTGGAAATCTAAGGAAGTCTCTTTCAGGCCAACAAGGAAGAAAAGGAATAGTCGAAAAAAACTCGTTATTTTTGTTTGTTTTTTCGCACAAAAAGTATTCTCGTCACTTGATAAACTTATAGTTGAGCCACGGTAGTCACTTGGGATATTTAAACATTTTCTTCATTGACTTTCTGGGTCGTCAAGAGTCAGTCCCTTAGGCAGCCAATGTGGTAGTTATACAGCTCTCAAATTTAATCAAAAATATCTTCATTTGTGTTCCGAAGATGAACGAATGTCTTACGGGGTTTGTACAGCATGGGGGTGAGTAATTAATGACTTAATTTTCATTTTTGGGTGAACTAACCCTTTAAGAGAGAAATTTTTCATGTCTTATTATTAAAAAAAATACCTTAGAGATCTGCAGGAATATAATAATAGGTTAACAAAATGACAAACTACAACATGCCCACGCATGTGCAAATTGCGACACAAAATGCCAGTTTATATCGGAGCCAAGTATTATTATTATTTTCTCTTCTAGACAGATTTTGCCAGCCAAAAGAGTTAGAGTGGTCCACTCCTGGGGTTACACAATGGAGAATGAAATTAAGGGTCACAGCACGATAGATCTCAAATTCCCATGATTCTCCTTGCCTCCCTGATGGTCTCTTGCTAAATCTGCCGATATCCTATCTCCATTCAAAGTGCTGAGGGTGAGCAAAGCTTTAACCGTTCAATGGAGAAAAACATCCTTTTAATTCCAAGAACGGGAGCATGTACAAGTTAGATAATGTGCACAGGAGTTAGTTCGTTCATTCATAATATTTAGTCGATATATCTATCTATCTGAATTTCATATATTTTTTTGTGATCTAAAAATGCTTTCAGGGCTCCAGTTATATACATACCTAGATGCAAGCTTTCAAGGGCACAAGCACACATGGAGATTGGTTTTTATCACCTGAATATGCTTCTCTTGACCTCAGTATTAGCAGCTGAATTGGTTTCTGCATTCAAAGCCCATCTCAAGAGGTGGGCAGTAATCTCTCGCTCCACATGAAAAATCAAGCTGAGTGAAAGCAACGGGAGGCTAATACCAGTCATGCTTACCACACTGGAACTCATCTGCACCATCTTCACAATCCTTCTGGCCATCACAAAGCCACACACTGGAGATACAGTTCCCGCTGGGGCAGGCGAAGTGGCCTTCTGCGCATTTCTGCCCGTGGGAGACTGCGGCAGTCAGAGAAAATATGTGTTTGATTATGGAGAGAGTAAAAGTCCAAGATTTGCTTAGTGTAGTGAGAATTTGGTCCAGCGGTTGTTTGGGTCATTATTTCTTCCCTAAAAAAAAAACGCTTCCAGGCATGAGAAATCTTTATGTGATGCAATTCCCTAAGGAGCATTAAGGGTATAAAAGTGCTCTTGCCTCATTAAAAGTACATCTCCATTCAAACAGGTCTACTCTGATAAATTCCACGTTTGCTTTCTATTTGAAACCACTGACATGCTAATGAGTAATAAGCCGAAACCTGCCAAGACTAATTTTCAAGCCACCTTTTCATTAACGGTTTTGAAGGGACCGCAGCTTGCGAGAGCGTTTAAATGTCTGCTCTTCGCAAGTCTGACAACTATTCATCAGCCTTCCACACTTTTTGAGGCTCTTCAAGCAAGGAGAAGAAGACAGGGGCTTGTTTCTGCTTCATTACCCCTTTCATAAATAGTATTTCGACAAAATTAATTCAATTTTAATGGAACTTGGCTTCCTCAAGCTGAAAAGCTAACAAACGGAGAGCGTTACCCTGACAGTTCCTCTCATCGGCGTAATCTCCACAGTCGTTGGCTCCATCGCACAACCAGGAATGGTGAACGCAGAGTGAGGTGGTGTTGCAGCTGATGAAGTCCTTTTCTGCCACTCCCATCCTGTAAAAGTCTGCACAATCTGTGTGATCTGGGGGGGAAAAGGAAGACCTTGTTATCTAGGTCGCATGAGACGACATAACAGGTCGATGCAAATGATTCCAACCCATATGATCATCCATGCAGACACACACGATCCATAATCAAAATGAAAATGACAGTTCACTTCAAAATAAAAAAGCCTCTCATTATTTGCACACTCACAGATCGTTCTGCTCATATGACTCTCTTCCGTGCAATACAAAAGACGATGCTTTTCTTAATGACAGCTAGGATGCACTTTGCAATATAATGAAAGTGAATGAAGCTGGGTCTACAAAAAGACAAAAAAATAAATAATAAAATCCCCATTAAAGTAATTAACTATAAAAGCAATAAAGTATGGTAACACTTTACATGAAGGGGACTGACATGACGCCTTCATAACCATGACATGACATATGTCTTGAATATGAAGTAAGGTTTATGCAAGGTAAGTGTCTTTCGCTCAATAATGACATTTTGAATGCAAATATGACATTGTTTGAGATGTTTTTGTTATGACATCTTGACATAAAGCATAACATCATAACCTGTCAGTGTCTTTGTCATGACAACTTGACATAAAATTAAGTTAAATTGTCATGTGGTTGGCTTTGACATTGGCTGTCATGAGGCATTATAACTGTGTCATGAACATTTTTGTGACCTCAACAACAGTGGTACTAACTGAATTTGTCATTAAAGAGTTATAATGGCTTCATGACAATGTCAAAACCAACCACCTGACAGTTTAATGTAATGTTAACCAATAAAGCTAGGTGGTTTCTTAAGTTTGATAATTAATCTGCTGTGTCATGTTTATGACAGGTTGTGTTGTCTTAGTAATGTCAATTTGTCATGACAAAGACACTGACAGGTTATGATGTATTGGTTTATGTCAAGGTGTCATAACAAAGACATCTCAAACAATGTCATATTTGCATTAAAAAATGTCATAACTGAGCGAATGACACTTAATGACAGTTGTCATAAACATGCATAAAACTTCCTTCATATTCATAACATATGTCATATCATTATTATGAAGGTGTCATGTTAGTCTTATGCACACCCCTTCAAGTAAAGTGTTACCTAAAGTATCATTAAAATATAACTTTACTACCATTCAAAAGTTTGGGTTATATATTGGGTATATATCATAATTGATAATAAAATCAGCATATTAGTATGATTTTTAAGGATCACCTGACACTGAAAATTCTGCTTTGCTGTCAGAGGAACATAATAGAAAACCTTTATTTTAAATTGTGATAATTACTGTTTTTTGATCAAATAAAAATCATACTGAGCCCAAAATTTTGAATGACAGTTGAAGAATTTCAGTGAATAATGACTTAGTTTTGTTCTTTTCGTTATATGAAGCTAGCTACTCTATCAAATGACATCAGAAAACTTGTAACACAAAAGTCCAACAGAGTGCTTCTACGGTGCCTTTACGGTGCTTTTTGTCCCCTTTCACTTCCATTATATGGGAAAGAGCAGACAGGAGATTCTTGGAGCTAAAACTGAATCTAAAAATGTGCCTTTTCAACTGAGAAAAGAAAGTCATAGAGGTTTTGAACGACATGAGGGCAACTAAATGGTGGCTGAATTTAGCTAAATCAAATCTAGGAATGCACTATAATAATCTGATACGTTAAGATAATGATTATTAAGGTAGGATAAAGATGACGCGTGCCGCTTTGCAACACAGGCAACGCTGCCTTACTGCAGTTCTTTTCATCCGAGGCATCAGCACAGTCGACGACCTGGTTGCACCAAGAGGATATTGGTATGCAAGTTCCATCTTGACAGGATGACTCAGACGCAGCACATGTGACATCTGGAACAGAAACACTTCATTTACACAGAGCCGAGAGACTAAAGCACCTGGACATGCGCTTAAATGAATGAAATATTGTGCGCAGATATTTGTATGATATGCACTGCAATTCGCTGATGATAACAGGGTCTTCCCGACAGCTCCAAAGAAAATGACTTGTGAAATGCTTTCACAGCTTGAAAATTGGGTGTCATTTTTGTGGTCCAAAATAAACCTACTAGCGGCACAATAATTTTTTCTGCTGCCTATTTTCTTTTATAGACTGCAAAATATATAAATAAATGACTTCTTTAAGTGAAATTTAGATGCAAAATGTCAAATAATACAATTCACAATTCACACACTGGATACCCACTGTTACAAAATGCCTCATCTGAGTTGTCCCCACAGTCATCGACTCCATCACAAAAGCGACTGTTAGCCACGCAACGCCTGTTGTAGCAAGGACGGTGACCCTTTCGGCAGCTCCTGTTGTCTAGCGATACGGAAAGCAAAGGCACAGCCATTTTCACAACAGGGCAAAAAAAAAAACAAAAAAAGCTTCACATCCTCTCTCTTATTTACTCTTTCTGTTGCTCTGAGCTCATTCCCATTTTCTCCTCTGGTTGAAAGCAGTAAGGACTAGCGGCTCATTTTATTAGGTAGAAGCCTCAGGGAATGGAACTGCCACCTTAAACCAATTCTGCGTTCTTACTGCTATTGTGATGTGAGAGCGGAGAGTACATATGGCAAAGTGTTGTGATCAACTACTTACCACAATATTGCATTTTCTCATCTGACTTGTCTTTGCAGTGGGCAATTCCGTCACATGTTAGCTGGTAGTCTATACATTGCCCGTTTCCACACTCAAACTCAGTGTGGATGTTGCAAGAGGATGTTTTGGCTATACAAGAGAATAACATGATAATGATGTTAAGTAATCTAGCAACCAAAACTAACTTTTTGTAAATTGCATCATCATATGGTGAAATTTCACACTTACTGTACAAGATTTTTAGATTTTCTGAAGAAAAATGAATGATGCAAAAGTTGCTTTCTCAATAATAGTGTTGTGTATTACTCAATGCAAGTATAAGGTTTCTTTCTATATATACAAATTCATTATTAGGGTGAAGATCATAAGACTGGAAAAAAAATTTCAAAAATAATAAATGTACTCTTTTATCCTTGTTGGTTTCAAATGGTTTTAAAAATGTGTAGGTGACTGGTGGTGTATTTATTATGGCGATACCAATTATTGGTCAATATATTGGTGCATCCCTAAGGGATGCACCAATATATTGACCAATAATTGGTATATATATATATATATATATATATATATATATATATGTTAGGGATGCACTGATATATCAGCCAAATATTCAAGTCAAATTGCATTTTTTTTTTCACTTTTAATACAATTTTGAATAATTTATAGAATAAAAAAAAAAAAGGTTTCCATGAGGTATTCATGTCCATAGTAAAAAAAGGTATGGGAAAAGTTCAAATCTCTAATTCTACAATAGATTAGCAATAGCCATTGCTTAAACACAGGATAAATGCTGGAATAGCTAAAAAGTAATTTCACATCTTTCCGAGACGGAGGGTCTCATATTTCCTGACAGTCTGAGCGAGGCATGGCACTGTGGAGACGAAACTTACACACGCATCTGTTGTCATCAAGCAGGATGCGTTCTCCTCGGCAGCTGCAGTTAACTGTGCCATCTGGAGTAAGGAGACACAGGTCACCACAACCACCATTCAGAACCCTGCATGGAGATAGCTCACCTGAAACAGAGGGACAAGGGAACATCACGTACCATCACAACAGTGTTCCGAGTTAAAAAAACAAGCCTAAATAACAATATGAAACAACAAACAAAACAATGACCCAGAGAAAAGTCATTCCAAAGTCTTTGAAGTGAGCAATCCAGAAAACTTTGAGCTAAAAACAGGTTTGCTTTCTTTTAAAAGAGCTGACTATTAAAGCACGCCGACAAATGCGGTGCGCCAACAGGGGCTTATTCACTGAATACTCTGAGGTCTGACAAAATTGCAGTTTCTAAGCCAAACAAAAAAGTTGTTTAAAATGTTAAAACATAAGTGTAATCTCATGAACGGAATTTTGACTGTTTTCCTTTGTTAGGCTTTGGAAATTACTTTTTAAAAGTGTGGTGTCCAAGTATGTGAAAATATTGGAAATAAGGTATTTAAAGTCCAATTAAACATGACAATAAAAATATGTTTATAAGATTCTGAAACTATTTAAAACAAAGAAAATATAAAATGATTAATTAAAACAAAATTGATTATAACTATTTCACAATCTGCTATATTTAAGCAGCATTATGCTATTTTTTAAATTTAGCTTTCGGGGTCCCCCTACAGTTGGGCAACCGTATTGTCTTCTACTACTCATAAAATCTGTCATGGTTACACTAGGGAATACACGCGTACATTTGTTGAAAAGCGATACCACGATATTGCGTGTGAAATGTCTTCATCCCAGGTACATTGCCATATACAGTATTTCTGCATGTCATATGAATATAGTTTCATGGGCTTTATTTTTTCCAAACGTCAAAAGATCGCATAGCTCACGTTTACAAGCCAGCGTCTATATAGTAGCGTTACCCTATTGGCTAGTGGCAACTGTCTTACATAATGAACATGCTAATTCAATTCAATGTTTGTGTGTTAGATAATAGCCATGTCGTAAATATTATAATATCAAGCCACTATAGATGAATCTGCAAATTTGAAAAATCGATTTGCATTATAGCCTGAGGCAAGAAACTTTCACCAAAAAAATAAATAAATAAAAATAACAAACATGACTATCAGCCTGCAGACATGGGTTATCCTGACCGATTATTTTGTTTGTCTAATCTTGTATTATTTACTTGCAAGAATGTAGTCCCTACCAAACTCAGTAATCACTATACTTTCACGTCTCGAGCTGACGAAAGCTGCCCGCCCCGGCTCTACGGGGATTCTTGAGTGTGTTAAGCGCCCTCAAAAGAAAGCAATGCAGTCTACATTGGATGCGGCGAGGTGCGAAGCTACACAGCACATTACCAACAGTAAAATGATCACGCGCGCGCTCTGTTTCTGACACACTTCACGTTTGCTATAGGCGGGGGAAGATTGATGCACCGGACCGGAGTCGGGAGACTTAGTTACATTTTTGTGGAGTAGTATTACAAATGAATGTTTTTAAAAATAGTATTAGTATTAAAAAAATCACTCGTTCGCTCAATTTGGCGTACTCCAAAAATTTTACCTTTAGGAGCGAGGACCTCTTGGATCGGTCGGGCACCCCTCACTGGCGAGCTAAAGCTGGACCAATATTGATCCTCGTCCAGCCTTTTATTTTGCCTCTCTCTCTTTTTCTATTTCTACTGTCTTCCGACAAAACTTTGGCTTCTTGGTTTTATCTGCTGCTTCAGCCATGACAACATACAGAGAGAAAAAAAACAAACAAAAAAAACGCTCGTTGGGCTCTCGCGTCGGAATTTGAGGAAGTGGGGGAAGTGATGTATGCCGTAAAGCAGTCGAATTTTGTAGTTCTTTTTGTGCTTGGGTTCCTACCCGCACCCTGAAGTTACAGAGTGCCAGTCAAAGCAATACAGACACTGTCAGGAAATGGCAGACCTGTCATTCAACCTATTGTAAGTCGATGTACCATCTCAAGGGTTTTGGAAAAATATTATAAAGGTTGAAAAATAACATAGTGCTGCTTTAAATAAGTACTAAATTCAGGACTACAATTAAATAAGCAAATTTGTGAAATCGATCGTGTGACTCCCTTTGTACAGACATCAAATGTTCTAGCTTCCATTACAACAAGAATCATTCTCAAATCATGCTGAAGAACAGGTGTTCAAGTTCATTAAGTTCGAGTGCTGCTGTCATTAAAGCAAAAGGGCAAACCAAATACTAAGACATTCTGCAATTTTCACTCAACTTATTATGAAAATAGTATATGTTTTAATGCAAAAAAAATCTACTAAATAGAAGTATAGTAGATTGATCAAAGTAGTTTTAAAGGAATGTGCAGACTGTCAGAAAATGGTATGAATCCAGAACCCCTGGGAGCTGTATGAAGCACACCTATGAAGAGCCTTCAGAATCTCTAATTCATTAAGTTATGACTCAGCAAGAATATGGAAATGAGCCTCAAAAATCAAAGGTGGTGTGTTATCTTGGCATAGTGTCAGATGCAAATACAGGATAGGAAAGATCACATTGCTGACCGAAATAGCAGTTAACCTCACATCTGTCTACGAATGAACACACATCTTATTCTGGAGGTGTTGACTGGTAACATTCACTAGGTAAAAATGGTTAGGGGCAGACAGCTGCAATCATGGGGTGATCAAACAAACGAGAGGAGAAAAACCCTCACAGCAGGCTCCCAAACACAAACCGTCGGGAGTCTCTAAAATCCATTTCTTAATGTCCTACTTTTCACATTTGCGACAGTTCAGAGAATACTCTTCGACTCGAGGATACGTTTTAATATTAATTACGTCTCGAATTTTTGCTTGGTTACTAAATATGTCCATTCTAATTTATCATCCCTACTATTACTTAGAAATGAAAAAAAGAGCCTCCACCAGCAAAAGCTCAGCTGTGAATACAAAGCACCAAACAGTTTGAGAGGGCACTATGAGTGCCCAATTATTTATTTTGGAATACTTACAGCTATTAGTGTCTTTGGCAACTGCTATAATTCCCATTGGCTGGTGAGGAATATCAGCTCTAAGAACTTTCGTGTCTCCTCCGGTGAACTTGTTGGTTCGTAGCACGGCCCGCCGAGTCCAATCAGACCAAAAAATGTAGTTTCCATGGATAGCAAGTCCAAAAAATGTGCCAGGTCCCGACCTAACAATCACCTAAAAATAAATAGAGTTTTATATTTATAATGTTATTTATTAATGTGTCTGAAAGTCTATTATGTGGGCATATTTCATATTAGGGGTGACATTAAAATGCAATGCAATGCCTTTCTTAATTAAAATTAAGACACTGAAAAAAAATCAAATCAAATGTTTCAAACAAAGTGAATTTAGGCATTATCATGTAAATTATGAAAAAAATATATACTTCTTAAAGAGACTTCTTAAAGATTACATTTAACACTGTTGAATAAAAAAATAAAAGCGATGAATCACATGCAAAATAAAAGTTTTTGTTTACATAATATGTGTGTGAACTGTGTATAATTATTTTGTATATAAATATTAAATAAATGAAATAAAATAAATTAAATAAATAAATTATATATAAATATAACATTTAAGAAAAATATGTTATTCATATATAAAATATTTATGCATATATATATTACAAATAATAATCAATATTATGAAATGAGCGTTTGATGATCACAAAGGTAATCTAAATGTAAAACCAGAGAAAATGATCATTCACAAGTATATATCAATTATGGACAGAAACAATAAGTAAAAATACATCTCTAATATGGTATGGCACTGACATATTGTGCATCCCTAAAATTTCAACTATTCTACTGACAAAATATTCACCATTATTATCAGCCATTTAAAAAAAAAATGGTTTTATAAAGAAATGCATCTTTCATAAGGCTCAAACCATTGGCTTATACTTAAAAACAAGAGAAAAAACAGACTCTGATGACCACTGGAAAGTCTCTTAGAGGGGACCAAAATGAATGCGTGGGTAGAGGACACATGCTTTAACTAATTCCCCAGCAGCCAGTTTAGCCCAGATCCTGAGAGTGTTAATGCAGGTGTCATGGTGACGGACACGGATATACATCACGCGTCTCCTTCTGGGAGTTTCCGGGCTGTGGGGCGGGAGGATGTCCCACAGCTCTGGAGACCCAAGCATTAACAGGAACACGCTTGTAGCTGTGATCACATTAGCCCTGCCACCATGGTGGGAAAAAATAGGACAGGTGTTGATTAAGAGAGCCCAGCTTGAGCAAACAACAACTGGAGATTCGAAGGGGGGGATGGTTTTCTGGAGGAGCATGCCAGATGTTTTTTTGATGGAGCATATTGATTCAGAATTAAATTTACGGGTGCAAGCGTTCTGCTCCAGCACTAATTATCTCTGTTTATCTGATCAAATAGATGTCAAATAGAGTTTTCGGCTAACAGCTATAGCCACATGCATTTCCTTTCAGTTCTGATGGGCATTACAGAAAATGAACATCTATAATAATAGTCCTCTCTGTGTGGATATGATGGAAATGATGGCACCACACAGACAGCGACAGACTGTGTTTCATCAGAGAAAGTCTAACCATGCGTAGCGTTAAGCTTCGACTTACCGCACAATCCCCCAAACTACAACCAGTTGGGAGATTCCAACTGTACGGCAGTTTGCCAAAAGCCATGTTGATTTAGTTTTGCTTAATTCTTCACAGTTTAATTGGCTGGTTCAGAGGACGGCCCAGCAGGAGTCTCAAAATAAGCTTTCATTACCATCAATGCGCTTAGTTTGTGAGGTTGAGGAACTCTAATGAACTCTTTGCCGTGTTTCTTTAAAGTGAATAATTAATTACATTTAATCTAATCCTGTGAAGGGTCAACAGACACTAATAACTCTAGGGGGTTGGCTGACCTTTGAGTAGTCATCAAGTCATTATCATGTAGAAGTAGTGACCGGACACAAAGCCCAATTGAGGTTTAAGCTTTCGAAAATGAGTAGGAATTGCTTCAAATGGTGATTGTTATTTCCACTAATCAAAATCACTTAATTAAACAACAACTGAAGAGTTCAGATGCAAAAGCCTCTAAGTGCCATTTGAAATTTTCTTCTAGAATGATCATTTTTATCAAGCTTGTATATTTAAGTTCAGTGATTTCACTTAAATGGCAATGATAATTACCTATTAATTGTTATTTAAGTGAAATTACTGAACTTAAATATACAAGTTTGATAAAAATCATCATTAAAGAAGAAAATTTCAAATGGCATTTAGAGGCTTTTGCATCTGAACTCTTCAACTATAAAAAAAAAATAACTAAATATTCATAAACAAATAATGAGCTAGTTTTAATTTTACATGATTAATTATTTAAAATAAATAACAGAATGACATCTTTGAATCATCTTCACTTGGGTTTTTTTCTCAACAAATATGTATGTGATTAATTAATTAGCATATCATTCAATTAATTTAATTAAGTTTGTGTAAACACTTGACAGTAACATTCAATTTGTTAACATTAGTTGCACAACATTTTTTACGGCATTAATAATTTGGCTTAAAGCTGCAGTCCGCAGTTTTTCCTTTTTGTCGCCATCTCTGTTTGAAATCTGCAATTGCAGTCATTCGCGGAATTATCAACTTTACGTGAGTTGTACTTCAGCACCCTCGACAAGGCACAGCGTGGATGAACACAATGTTTGAGGAGACTGTGAGGCTGTCAATCACCGCGCCGATTTGAATACTGGCATTGTAAAATTATATTTTATAAATTAGCATAAATCTAGATTAATAAATGCAGTAGATATTGTTCATTGTTAGTATATGATTCCTAATGCATTATTACATGTTAATGAATTAAATAATTGAACCTTAAGTGCTGCAAAATAATGTATTCTAGACAGGAAAATGACTCTTAAAGCTACACTGTGTGATTTTTATCCCCATCTAGCGGTGAAAAGCTATATGACCATCCAGTGAATATTATTTCTGTTCCTCTCAATTCCGAATTTCGTTTTAACTCCTACGGTGGCCAGTGTAGTCCAAGATTAAAATTGCTTCCAGTTCGACCTCGTCCAACGTAAACTCGAAGGTGAAGCTTGAATTAACGGCTATGTCCCAATGTCCAACCGACATTAGAACCCCTTACCCGTTTGTATTTTCAATGGCATATTATACACTCACGAGAATACTTTATTATTTTAACGAAGTAAATATACATTAATGAGAATATATATATTTTTGAAAGAACTGTTTTTAGCTAAGAATAAACTAAAAGAGTTACACAGTGTAGCTTTAAAATAAAAATATCCAAAAACCAGAGAAAGAGTCATACTTACATGTCTGTGGGAGCCGTCATATTCACAGCATTCAATTTTGCCCAGGCTGCCGTCCGAGAAATATAGCTTTTCTGCTTTATGGTCAATTGTGAGTCCGTTAGGAGTGAATACATCTGTGCTAATGATGACTTTCATGCTATTCCCAGCAAGAGAGGAGCGCATGATACTGGGGCGCTGCTCATTCCAATTGGTCCAAAACATGAGGCTAAAAAGGAACACACAGGACAGAAAATGAGAGAAAGATTTTACAGAAGGCACTAAAGAAAAAAATATTCAATACTGTCGTCAGTCTGTATTATTAACCCCGCTCTATATATGGGACTGGGGAATATCTCCGACTTCACAAATTGTAGTGGACAGAAAGGCTTCAGGGCCTGTTTGACATTTCCTCTTAAAAAAATTCCTTTCACAGTCTAATTCCGTGGTCTAATTGAAAATTAGTGATACATGCTGACATTCTATGCCAATTAATCATTTCAGGTTAGATTCTAATTAACAGCAGTCTGTAGTCCATTTGAAAAAGTGCCAAATAACCAAGTAAGCATATTCTCTCCAAGGTTGAGGGTTTAATGTAGTCAGTGAACTCGGGGTCGGCATATCTTTCTGAATATCAATGCTGTTCATCAGTCTGAACGGTTCTTTTAGAGGGGGTATTTAAGTGCATATACGATCCATTATGTCTGGAGAGTTGCTACTTTGATCGGTCAGGAATAAAAACATTCCATCCACAACAAATTTCACACGGTGCTTGGCTCATCGGAAGAGGTCAAACTAATTAAAATGTTTTCCTTCTTGTCTGATTGACATTCCATAATATGTCAGTTTTCCTCTGTGTGATTAATCAATTTGCTCTCAATATTAAAAGTCAATATGCCTCCTCCTGACATGGAAATCAATTTTGTTTCACACTACGTGTCGACAAAGTTTCCTCAGTCAAGCGAGTGAATGCACCATTTTGTTAGCCACCATAGTCAATGGAATCTTTCCCTCTGCCGGAGCAGAAAAACAGCGCCATTTGCACACCAAACTTCATTGGTTCTCACATGTCACATGACCATTGATGGTGCATGCACATGACAACAAACTCAAACACTCATCTGAAATTATGAGACGTACTTCTGACATTCATCCAGGGCCAAGACATGGGGATGGTCATCCTCAGACATGGTGACAACAGCTTGCCTGGCGAAGGCTCCTTGTCGGCTCTGGTCTACTGTATACCTGCTGATGCTTGAGGTGGTGGAGCTAGTCCAGTAAATCGTGTCCCATGCTCTGTGATAAGCCAAGCCTTCAACCGAACCCACATCTGGAGAGGAAAACAAACTAGTTTAACCATGCTTCTTTCCCACTGGCTAATGACAAATTGAAACTAGTCACATGGAAAGGTGATGTAATAGTAAGTTTAATTGCGTTTGTACTGCTTTGTTTGTACTAATACTTTCAACTTTTTCTAGTATTCAAAGCATTTTTTACAGTTATCTTACTATTATGATTATATAATTTTACTGTTTGATCAACATGACATCACGACTTTTGCGTTATATATACGCATTTTCAGCTATACGCGTGTATCCGCGTGTATGCCTACGCCATTAAATGTCTGCGTGATTCCGCGTATATGTCTACGCCGTAAAGTGTTCGAATGATTCCGCGTGTATGTACACACCGTTAAATGTCCGAGCGAAGCGAATCAAAATGAAGAGTTCAGATGCAAAAGCCTCTAAGTGCCATTTGAAATTTTCTTCTAGAATGATATTTTTTATTAAGCTTGTATATTTAAGTTCAGTGATTTCACTTAAATGGCAATGATAATTACCTATTAATTGTTATTTAAGTGAAATTACTAAACTTAAATATACAAGTTTGATAAAAATCATCATTAAAGAAGAAAATTTCAAATGGCATTTACAGGCTTTTGCATCTGAACTCTTCAAATGTAGATCTACATCTGGGGAGCGATATTTTTTTTTTTTCCAAGGATGGTAGGGGAAGACTCATAAATGGTATTAACCCCAGTGAAGGATAGGTTTAGGGACGGGTTGGGTTAGGTTAACTCAGTCTCATCCCAAGAAGTCATATAACTGACGTCTTGGGACGTCTTTTGACCATACGTCCACATCCGCCTTTTTAGGGTACCCTTAAACATTGGTTACATGACGATCCCGGCAGTCATACAACTGACGCTTTACCTTTAACGTCGGTTAGGTGACGGGGTAGGTTTAGGGGTAGGTTTTCATATAATTATATATACAGTAATGTAGCGTTAAGTCAACGGCATTCATAAACACGCTGAAAAGCAATTATGCGTGTTGATAGCACGTCAAAAATTGAAATACGAATTGGCGTGTCATACATACGCCATTTCATGAGATCAGTCTGGTTTGATATAGACCATGGTAATGAATGAATGCTATATTTTTGAATACAAAATGTAACAAAAAAAAAAAAAAAAAAAACATTGCAATGGTGTTCACACACACACACACACACACACACACACACACACACCGGTAATTGTTTGTTTTCTTTTTGATACTGAAATCACACAGTGAGTGAGTTCACTCAGAAAACAATAATAAATCAAAGTGACATCTCACTAAGCATTATAAAACTGTAAGGTTTTGTCTGCTGTCATTTCTAAAACCTAATGAGTTAAATAGCAATTGTGTTTAATTGAGGCTGTGGCTAAAAATGCCACACTTTGAAAAATCTTAGATACTACGTATTAACACTCTGCAGAAATCCATCACTAATTAATCATTCACAATAAAAAGTGCCTGACAGCTTGCCTTCGCAAAAACTGTTAGAGAGGCCAGGGAGTAATTAACATGGGATGTATGACTTAATTAGGGAAATACAGATTATTAACGTCCTCGCCCTCTCCCGGTGACAGAACGCAGAGTGTGCATGAGTGTTTGTATGTGTTTCTGAGTGTGCATGTAGTCGAGGTGGCTGGGATTGGCTTTCATCTCTGGAAAAGTGAGTGAGCTTAAGTGTGGAGACGCCATCAAAAGAGCAGGCTCATTTCAACCTGTAGTCAACATCACTCTCTCTGGCTGTGGTACTTACGCTCAAAATGGATAGAAGTGGAGGATATCAGCCCATTCTCATCCCGAGGCATCATCTAACTGACGCTTTAGGCACCCTTTAGCGTCAGTTAGATGATGCTTTCCTAGTGGTCTAACCCTAACCCTACCCCAGACCTAAAACTACCCATGTCATCTAACTGACGCGAAAGGTAAAACTACCCATGTCATCTAATCTAACGCTTGTCAGTTAGATAACGCCCTAGGATAGCGTCATCTAACTGACGATAAAGGGTGCCTAAAGCATCGGATATTGAAGCATGGTCAAAATTGTCAGTTAGACGCCTCGGGATGAAAATGTGTTGAGGATATCTCTGTGAACGTTACAGTGTGGTAGCAGTATAAAAAGTTCAGGTGAACGGTCAAATGTCAAAAACATCACAATGCTCTACGTATTCATCAAAAATATGTAAGCGGGCATTAGGTCTTAAAAAATGTACAGATAATATGAATTACTGACATACTTCTCAGTCAAATCAGTATTCATGTAATGTACTTTTTTTTTTTTTGCTAAAGTTATCACTTGAAAAATGTGCATGGCATTATATAATTTAATTAGTTAATTTTATATATTAATAATGCATTTTATATTTAACTAATTTAAAACTAGCGTATTCAACAGCAATTTAGCTTTAGCTGTAATACTGAAATTGCTAAAAAAAAAAAAAATGATGCAGTGATTCGATTTGCTGCAAATTATAGTTTGACATACGCTAAACAAAGGCAAGAGAGAATCAGAACAAAACCCCTTTTATTATCCCCAAGAGGATAGAGATGGCAAATTAAGTAAAAATTTAATATGAAAAGGTCTAATACCCAAGGAGCAATAAGGTTAGTCAAAGAGAATTCACAGAGTACTTTAAGTGGATAGAAGCACTAATCATGCAGAACAGAGGCTTTCTAAGTATGTCTGCATCCCATTAACTTCAGCAAAGTCAAATCAGCTGGGTTACTAAAATAAGTAAAAAAAAAAAAGGTAAATCATTTACTCAAATTGTTTCGTTCTAAAGCTATATGGCTTACTTTCAGACGACTGAAGATTATAAGCTTTTTTTAAAAAAAGAAGCATACCATAAAAGTAAATTTTGACAAATTCAATTTTGGGGTAATTTATTTTTTTAAGAACATCCCCTGAATTTCTGTTATCAATCATGAAGAATTTCATTCAATAATTTCTGGTGTACATTTACATAATTGCAGCATCCTCCTCATTTGCACTTAATTATGTTTGCATGCGTTCTGAATAGGAAATTACGAAGTGAACATACTAATAAGTAGTACAGGAGGTTTTTGTTGAAAAAAAAAAAAAAAATCTGCCAAGATTGTCTCATTACATTGTAAATGGATAATACACAGTCATTAGGCATATTAGGTTTTCATTGTGGGCCACCATCAGACATGGGTATCGATCGGGCTGAAATGTCTGCCGTATATAGCGTACATGAGGAAATCAATAACCATATTCCGAACTTTCAAACAGCAGTGACGGGCAGGATCTTGAAAAATATCACCCTGCTTCCATTAATATTTCTGTTACAGTTTGAGGACGGTGGAAATGAGACAAGCGATTTTAATCCATCAAGAATCCATCATGGAAAAAGATGCAGTGTTTTAAACATCTTTTTGGACAGTTAAATTGGTCCCACTTAGTCGTGGAAAAATGGAGGTAGCTCTTACAACACTTTTACTAGATGCTGGATGCATGGAGGCCTTGCTGTACATCACAGGCAGTGCCACTTACGCTTTCCAACAAATGGCCTTTCACAAATGGCTGCTAAGAGGCTTGAATGGTTCTAGCAGCAGAACATTAAACAACATGTGGGCCACTGCAATGAGTCTGCATCAGGACGACGACAGGACTAACAATAAACGCCCCAATCTGTGGAAGCAACATCTTTCGTGATCATCAAAAGGCTAGCACAAAGCCCAAACACCCCTTCATAACCATTTCTGCAAGCAAGTACAATAAAACCAACTAGACTTACTGTCTACTATGACTTGTCTTCCTGACCAGTCATCATTGATCATCTGAATATTCCCAAAATGGATGTCGCTGAAGAATATGCGGTTGTGGTGCGAGCTCTGTTGCCGATAATCAAACGCCAGAGCGATGACGTTCTTGAAGTAATCTGGGTTCTCAAAAGGTTGGAGAGGGGAGTTAAGATCACTCTCGTCAGATAAGTGGATGCTCTTCAGGATGGTCCTTTCTGAGTAGAGAAGATAGCCCCCATATCTTTGGCAAGCGAAGCCATCTTCGGCTAAGTACCCATGGGCGCAGGAGCAGGTCCTTCTTCCACTGCCCAGGTGAAAACACAGCTGTTGACAACCGCCATTGCTCCTCGCACACGGGTTGGTGCCTGCATGCAAAAGCATAGGCAGACGTCACTGGATGAACACTGCGATAACCAGAATCAATCTTGTTCTGTTTCAAGAAAACATATGTGGCATAATAAAATAAAACTCATTAAGTTGAAACCTCAACCTTTCTCCCGGCCTCTGTTAAACACTTTCACGTCCTTCAGGTTGACGCCAAGACCACTTCTCATCGTCACGGCATCGTTGGCATCGCTCTTGAATCCGCGCCGGATTGATCCGTTGGCATGGGCTCTGCCATAGACGGCGCAGAGAGAGAGAGTCTGACATTGGCGTAATGATGGCACTTTTCTAATTAACAGCAGCAAGACTCATTAAAACAAACAGAAACGCTGTTTTAGCGGCAAAGTCGAGAAAATGTCACCTTGGCGATGACTTGCGGTACATCCTATTTACATAAGACCAACGGAGGCTGCCTGGGAGATGACATAAACATACGGCAGGCCTCATAATAACCTTGCTCGGAAGGGGTTAATCCGTTGAGACTGGAGCAGCTGGCTCCGTGGGCCACTTTAGAGAGTGTAGCACTTAGTAAAATAATAAATTACCTGTCAGACCAGTAGATGTAAGCCCCGAACACAGCCACGGAGAACAGGTCCACATTGGAGGCTGACAGTACAATCTCTCGGCCCTCCCCGGTTTCAAGGTTGATCCTTTCTATCTTGTCGGTCCGGGCGTCGCTCCAGTATAATCTATTTTCCTAGAAAGCAATTTGAAAATGAGCACCTCTCCCTTTGAGCAGCTCTATTTTATCAGCCTCCGAAGAAGAGAGAGTGAGCGGAGCATCAGGAAGTAGAATCATGTCACCCTACCTCATAGTCAATGGTGATTCCATTCGGCCAGGCAATGCCAGAACTGACCAGGGTCACTTGGTCGGAACCGTCCAGTCGTGCACGACCTATGCAAGGATTTTCCCCCCACTCGGTCCAGAATAAGTAACTGTCGATTGGAAAAATCTGATCCGGATGACCGTTTTAACAATTTAAGAGCTTAAAGGAACAGTTCAGCCAAAACTGAAAATTCCGTCATCATGTATTCACTTTGAAGGGATAGTTCACCCAGAAATGAAAATTTGAAGTTAATTTACTCACCCTCAGACCATCCAAGGTTTAGGTAACTTTTTTTTTTTTTCAATGGGTGCCATCATTTCACAACAAACATATGCAGACAAAACAAAATACATGCAGCTCTTGACGGTGCATTACGGTCTTAAACGAGTAGTTCACTTTAAAAAAAAATCAATGTCATTCTTTCTTCAGTCGAAAAGAAATTAAGGTTTTTGATGACCACATTCCAGGATTTTTCTCTATATATTGGACTTCAATGGGAACCAAACGGTTCAAGGTCCAAAAGACAGATTCAGTGCAAACTGTTCAAATGGCTTTAAACGATTCCAGACGATGAATAAGGGTCTTATCAAGCAAAACGATCACTCATTTAAAAAAAAAAAAAGTTTAAGTTTTATAAGCTCAAATGCTCGCCTTGCTCTGTTCTGTGATGCACGTTCGTGACTCTCCTGTACGAACTCGTTTATCAAAATGAATGAATCTTTTTTTCGTGTCATTTGTTTCATTCAACGAATAAAATGAACAAATTGACTCGGGAAAAGATTTGTTCATTTTGATGAACGAGTTCGTACAGGAGAGTCACGAACGCGCATCACAAAAGAGCAAGGCGAGCATTTGAGCTTATAAAACTTAAACTTTGTTTTTTCTTTTTTTTTTTTTTTAAATGAGCAATCGTTTAGCTTGATAAGACCCTTATTCATTTACAGCCCTTTGAACAGTTTGCAGTTTGCACTGAAACTGTCTTTTGGACCTTTTGGTTACCAGTAAAGTGCATAATATGAAGAAAAATCCTGGAATTTTCATCAAAAACCTTAATTTCTTTTCGACTGAAGAAAGAAAGACATGGACATCTTGGATGACATGGGGGTGAGTAAATTATCAGCAAAACTTTTTTTTTTTTTTTAAAAGTGAACTACTCCTTTAAGAAGCTTAATGATCGGCCTATGCAAAAAACTGAACTTTATTTACAACATTTTTACCTAAATCCACAGCCTTGGCAAACAGCCGCGAGCGTGAGCTTTCAGTCGCGTAATGACGCATGCGTGGGACTGACCTCACATGTGAGCTGACGCTGTTTTTTGAGGGAGGCTGTGTTCACCAGCATACAAATGAATAAAGCTGTTTAAGAGTACCAGTCTTTACAACTTCTTGATTTCAATTATCTCAATGTAACACAAGACAACAGTTTAGGCATGGCAAGCTAAAGACTATGTGCAAAAAGCTGGGGCTCAGCAATGGAGAAAAGCAGAGATCTTCAGTCAGTCAGCTGCCTCAACGATTTCTTCCAGTTTTGGCATTGCAATGTTCCATTCATGACAACAGAGGCTCTCTACTTTGTTGTCATTGCATGACACTTAGAACAAGAACACCACCTCGTTTCAAGAGACCTCTGTCTCCCCGAGGCTTGATGACGTTCCCCTGCCGCTGCTTCCTTGATCTCTTGCAGTTCTTGATCAGAGTATTCTGGTATAAACAAGTATGGTTGTGCAAAAAATTCCAGGTTGTGTAGGGTTACAGTACATCAAAATCATCAGGCATTGTGATGAACGGTACTTTCATGCAGCATTAGACGTTGGTGAACACGTGCCCTTCCTCTCAAAGTGTGAGGTCACTCCAGCGCATACGTTATTATGCAACAAGAAGCTTACCAGTGTTGTAGTACTCGAGACTCGGACTCGTCTCGGACTCGGTCTCGAGACCATATTTTAATGGTCTTGGTCTCGTCATGGACTCGTGTCCATTTGGACTCTGAATTGACTCGTACTCGAACATTTTTTTTTAAGACTCGGAATTATTCCCGAGTCCACTCGAGTTCAATTAAAAATATTTTTCATGATTATTAATGTATGTTAATAAAATATTTCTTTAAATTGATCGCCCAGTGATTGGTGATTTTCTAGTGCGCAACTGCGCATGACAAATTGTAATAAAATTACTTTTAACACCACCTACTATGTGACCTTTTTACCCTAAACTGATCATATTTTTTAAACTCTAAGTAAATTCAGTAAAAAAAAAAAAAAAAAAAAAAAAAAGGATTTCTCTAAGTAAATAAAAGTAAATTAGGTAATCAACCCTCACTGGTCTCGGTCTCGACTCGGACTCGACCGTCTCTGGTCTCGGACTCGACTCGGACTCGACTCTCTATGGACTCGGTCTTGACTCGGACTCGACTCTCTCTGGTCTCGGTGTCGACTCGGACTCGAGTGAGGTGGTCTCGACTACAACACTGAAGCTTACGCTGCAGACTGTTGCATGCATTCAACGTGCTCAGGACTGTTTGCCAAGGCTTTGGATTAAAATGTTGTAAATAATGTTCAGTTTCTGGCATAGACTGATTGTTTCACATCTCAAGACCATAATGCATCATCATGAGCCGCAGGTATTAATTTTGTTTTGCCTGCATGTGTTTTTTTTTTTTTTTTTTTTTTTAATCTCTCAGTAATAGCACCCATTGACTTCCATTATATGAATCACAGAGGACCACAGTTTTAGATAAACATATTCTTTACTGTTTCGTTTTTCATTCCAAACACATACAATTTTCCTTCAAAATTCTGAAGACTCCAAGCTTAAAAAGGGTGCAAAAGTATCATAGAGTAGTCCAAGTGGTCATTAAAAGGATTTACTGAAAATATTCAGTAAAGATTTTAGAAAACATACGACAATGTGAGAGACACAATTGTTTGTCACTGAACAAATTATTTTGAATTGAATTGGTTTTAGTGAAGTGTTTGATTTTATTCCTAAAACTTCACAAATCTGTCTGATATGGTTCTCAATGATTTGGTTGTAGCCGTTAGCATTAAGTATTAATGATACTTTTATGATACTGTTTGCATCCCCTCTGAATCTTGAAAGCTTCCCCATTCACTATAGAACTACATTTATGTTTAATCATTCAGCAGACCCCTTTTTTTCCAAAGGATACATGGAAAAAGTAAAAGACCAACCAGCACAGAATTTCTACTTTTGTGCTGACAGAAAGTAAGCTGTATGGGTTTGAAACGACAAGATGGTGAGTAAAAGAAGTCAGAATTTCCATTTTTTGGGGTGAAGTACTCCTTTAAAGTGTATAAATGTTGTTACACCACCAAGGAAATGTCATTCAAAGTTTGACTCAACTGGGAAAGGAAAAGACAGCTTTTATAGCCTTAGGCTTGAATTGGAGGCTCTTTTTTGGATGTCTGGGATTTAGAAGATCCCACTCCTGATGCTGTCTGCTGTCAGCAGATATATGGTAGATGGGTTAACATGCTCATATGTCTAAAACTTGTCTTCTCAGTGTGTGATCCTGATTGTAGGGTAGGGTGTGAAGAACAAAAACAAGGCAAACAGAAAGAAAAAATAGCATGGAGACCATAGATTTCGATCCTAATTACTGAAAGAATACCATAATGGACTACAAAATGGGCCTGTGACTAAATGGAGATACATTTCTGCTCGTTTCAAATTGTTCATTTGGTTCATTAGTGATAGCCAAGACATTTTAAAGCCAATTTGTCAGCAAAACAGTCTGAGGCGGATTACAATATGTATTTGACCTTCAAAGGTCAAACATCCCCTGCATTTTCATTTCTCAAGAGCTCATTGTATTATATGGTCTAATGCACTTATATAGTTCCCTAAAATGTACTCAGTAATTTGCAAAGTCTTTCTGAAGATACAGCAGACATGGCTAAATCTGATCCATTTTCTCAAAGGCATATTACGTACCCTCTCTGTGGATGCACTGCAATGGCTCTTGGCTGATCCAGCCCATCTGATATTACAACTGACCGGTAGAGACCATTTAGACGAGCAATTTCAATGAGGTTGAGCCCGTGGTCTGTCCAGTAAAGGTTACCTGGTTAAAAAATAAATAAAAATAATAACAATATTTCACAATACTATTGTTATTGGATTCAAATTGTATTATATTATCAAATAAATGCAGCTTCGGAGAGCATAAGAACATTTTTTTCCCAAAAAAATATAAACAATTGTACTAATCCTAAACTTTTGAATGGTAAAATGCAACGATTTTATCTTGAGAAGTGCTGACATGTGCCGGTATTCGGTAATGCGATAAATCGCGGTAATGAATATGCGCGACATTGTTATCGCGGGCACTTCAAAATACGGTGAAAAATAATAGATTAGAATTTAGCCTTTTAGAACGCGCATCAGCTTATTTTCCATCAACTGTGAAACACGTGCGCACTCTAATGTAAACAATCCTCACACGGAGTAGAAGCATCGCGGAAGGAGGAACGCTGCCGACGATTTATTCTCCGCACAGCTGCCATCTCTCACGGATTCAGCTTGACATTGTGTCCTAACTACACGCGACGCGATAAAATTCCAGCGACAGCAAGTGTGTCTGTCCACACTAGCCACGACTCGACTGTGAGATGCCACACGTCAATCAAAAATCACAGCCATTCAGAACAGCGTGTGGGCGGAGTCTCTCTGTGAAAGCGCACTGCTGGCCCGCACTTGCATTGGAAATGGGTAAGGACATAATCAAATCAAGAAATAACATTATTAAAAATCAAAACATTAACAAAATATACGCATTGACTAAGTACAGTTGTATGTTTGCATAGAATTAATTTTGTACGCTATATTATATGCTTTCAAAATCTGAGGTAAAATATCCGTTATCGCTTGTGGCACAGTGACCTATTTTTAACTAAAATAAATAATGTATACTCATAACCAGTGTAATTTCTTCATTCTGTCAGCCGCGACGTCGCAGAAATAGGAACTGTTTCTAAATTAGAAACTTTGCGTATCGCCGTCGCGTCAAAAACTTTGATTAACATGGAAAAGATAGCTTTTATCGTGTGTCGCGGTGTCGCGTGTAGTTGGGACACGGTGTGAGACTCAAGTGTCTTTCAGACAGGACGTGGAATATGCGCGGGGACGTTTTGTCGCTGCGTCGAACAAAGCACGGCGGGGTCAAAGTTCAAAATAGTTAGCAAAATAGCAAATCGCGTTGTATCTGAAGGGTAACATTGAACGCCACCCGTTACGTGTCCTTTCTGAAAGCCGCTTTACGCAATTGACACTTTTCACACGCTTTCACGCAGAGAAAAAAACGTGGAGCAAAGAGGACACTGACGCTGACAGACTAGACAGAGCAGGTTACTTTTGATATGGTTACTTAAGTTCTATGGAGATTGTGATAGATTGCTGCGCCTCAGTTCAAGTAAACCAATCATCTGTTACTTTTTATTTAAAGAGACAGTACAACTTAGCGAATGATGTCACAGAACGGTACATTTACCTCAGGAAAGCCATTTACTGACCAGCACATTAGCTAACTAGAAAACACAGCGAGAAGTATTTGGCTAAATATGTGCACTATATTACAGTACATATTTGTTAGATGTTTACTTGTCAATACATAATTGTTTTTATAATGAAAACTGCATTATATTTAATTTGTCTCTGTATGTTTACAACATTATGTAAGATATTTGTTTACCTGAGAAAAATTAACATGCAGACTTAAGCCTACCTAGTATTTATCCAAATGAGTCAATATTGAAATATGACTGAAATCAAATCCAAGAATTTAATTGAATAATGCAAACAGAAGCCTACCAGTCATTTTACCATGTAAACATTGTAACATGTAAAGTCAAGTATATTTATAGTGCTTTTGACAATATAGATTGCATCCAAGCAACTTCACAGTATCAATCAAAACATAATAACAATGTCCGTTTCTTAGTGGAAAAACATTCATGTTTTGTTGTCGTTACCATATGTTTTTTTTTTTTTTTTTTTTTTTTTTCACAATTCACAATTACACATTGTGATGCAAGTTGTTTTTTTTTTTTTTTTTTTTTTTTTTAGAGACCCACAATCCATCTGTTTCTCTTGAGCAATTAAAATATCGTGATCATACCGTATTCTGTGATAAAGCTCAATCAATTAACCGCATCATGAAAATTTGATACCGGCACATGCCTAGTGCTGAGCAATACCATTTATAGAAAAACAATACACAGGCAGAGAGTGATAGAAAAATGGCAGCATTCCATTTTAAAAATGATGTTTGTGTCTAACCAGCAATCCAATCGACTGCGATGCCCTCCACTCTGTTGATGCCAGTGGTGATAATGTCTTCCCTCCATGTCTGATCCCTCTTGGCTCTGGAGATCCGATTTAAACCCATGTCTGTCCAGTAAATTGTATCATTGCCTACATGAAGGAAAACATTTTTATGCACATTAGGAGCAAAGCTGGTAACATAAATAGTGTATATGAATGCATCTCAGAAGCTTTAAATAAATAAACAAATAAAGCAAGCAAGCACAAGACAGATATATCCTGGAAACGTCTTATAAGGTTTATAAGAGATCCCATAGTAATTGCTAAAGCTTTTTATCAGTGGCGATAACTACAGTTGCCAACAAGCTTTTTGTAAGGGGACATTCAAAGTGACATACAAAATTTGTGTAGCCAACAAATCCAACATGATTAGTGATGACTAAAAGATTGTTTTGACAGAGGCACGCTCTATATGTAAATGGTATTTTTGCCCTACAACCGAATGCGGCAAGAGTAGTTATTTCCTTGCACCCTACTGTTATTGTTGAATTTACACGGCTAACGGATTTCTTACATGTGACAACAGCCAGCTGAAAGGCCCTCATCTGTTTTATAAACCAACAAGCTGCCTCTAATAACATGCAAATGGTATGCATGTGTAATCAGCTGTCATAGGCTGAGTCGGACTGGGGTTTTCTTCAAATGAGGTGCACTGATTCTGGTGGTAGGCGAGAGTATTTGCATATAAACTTTCTGACCATCTGCCCGGCTGCTGAAGTCAGCAATTCCGCCATATTTCCCACCCACAAAAAAAAAAGACCTGTCCATCTAATGACTCAAATGAGTAACTCACTTTTCAAAAAAACTTTTGCTGATAATTTACTTAACATGTCATCCAAGATGTCCACGTCTTTCTTTCGTCAGTCGAAAAGAAATTAATGTTTTTGATCAAAACATTCCAGCATTTTTCTCCATATAATGGACTTCATTGGGAACCAAGCGGTTCAAGGTCCAAAAGTGCAAACTGCAAACTGTTCAAAGGGCTTTAAACAATTCCAGACGATGAATAAGGGTCTTATCAAGCGAAACGATCGCTCATTTAATAAATAAATAACAAAGTTTAAGTTTTACTAGCTCAAATGTTCGTCTGCTCTGTACGATGCACGTTCGTGACTCTCCTGTTTGAACTCGTTCATCAAAATGAACGAATCTTTTTCGTTGAATGAACCAAATGAGTCGTAAAAAGATTTGCGTCGCAGAACAGAGCAAGGCGAGCAGTTGAGCTTATAAAACTTAAACTTTGTTATTTATTTTTTTTTAAATGAGTGATCGTTTCGCTTGATAAGACCCTTATTCATCGTGCAATCATTTAAAGCCCTTTGAACAGTTTGCAATTTACACTGAAACTGTCTTTTGAACCTTATACCATTTGGTTCCCACTGAAATCCATTATATGGAGAAAAATGCTGGAATGTTTTCATCAAAAACCTTAATTTCTTTTCGACTGAAAAAAGAATATGACATGGACATCTTGGATGACATGGGGGTGAGTAAATTATCAGCAAAAGTTTTTTTTTTTTTTTTTCAAAAGTGAACTACTCCTTTAAGGTGAATTAAGATGGCAGAATAGTTGTATGAATATATCTAACAATCTATTCAGTTTAGAGCAGATACAAAGGATGAAGTATGCTTTACTAACTAACTAGGTTTACATAATTTAAATAAATTAAATTACAAAATGTTCAACATATTTATTAAAATAAAATAAATAATAATAATAATACAAATAAATGCATCATATATTACAAACAAATAAATAACAATAACCTCACATCGTCTCTATAGTGTACTTATCCAATGCATCAGCTCTAAACTGAATGGCATTTTCAGCACAGTGTTTGTTAGTTGTTTGTATACGGAAGAAGGAAAGGTCAGGTCACATTTGAATGATTACAGTAGATAGTCTGTGCTAATGCATGCATACGTGTTTTCATGTTTATGGAAATGTCTCATACTATTGACTGTTAGAATGATAATTTGGTGCCATCACATGTGGACTGCCCTCTTGACGCTCACTTCATTTATGCCACTTGTCACCGCAAAATGATCCACCGAAACGGACTGAATAATCTTGCATCAGACCACTGTCAAATTAACCTCATTCAGAGAATGAATAATGCATAGTATTTGCAGCTTTGTGATCTCAGCACTACTTTCATTTAATAGATTGTCTACTATACTGCTTTCTGTCCATATGGTTCTAGCTACAGCGTATGAGATATAAAAGGGAATGATTATCTGAGTTACTGTTTGCATCAACTTGTTTAACCAATCTGAGTGGTTTATCTCTTCAACATGTGATACGCAGTCTCGTGGAGTCCCTTCGGATCTGGTATAAGACTGTGTAGCTAATGCAAAAACTGTAGATCTGACAGCAAACAGCATTTTAAAAAAAGTAATGCAGAGAAGGCAACACAATCCTTATCTTTGTTGTGCACACACAGAGGATTCAGAGAGTGCTTCTAGTGAACAGAATGGAAGATAGCAAGACTGAATCATAGCGAGCGCAGTGTTTGTACCTGCATGAAAGTCCACGCCAACGGCAAACAAGGTGCCGCTGATGGGCATCAGTGTCTCTGCGTGGTCACTGGGATCCAAAGCGATTCCACGTATCCCCTCATGAAAGGAGTACATCAGAAAAGAACTCAAGCCTGCGATAGACAACAGCAAGCAAGAGATGTTAGACTGAGGTCATATGAACGTCACACACTTTTCTTTAGATGCCTTCCACACACACGAAAAAAAACAAAACAAGTAACTATAACTAACTACATGAATTGTTGTTAAAAGTGAATAAAACACTCGTGACATCCCTGCTAAAGAAAAGGACACGTGTCACGACTGCAGCCTACCTTCACAGGAGAGACGGTCACTGCGCAGGTTGTAGCCAATGGTGCAGGCACATGTGCGTGTGTTTTCAGATGTGGGCAGACAGAGCTGAGAGCAACCACCATTATTTAACTGACAGGCATTTCTACCTGAGAGACCGCAATGAGAAGAGACAACATGGTGATGGAATTGTCTTGAAAATAAGTCTGTAAAACTATTTGTGGAAGTGGAGACAGCTGTAGTTGTTGGGCTTCTCTAACCCTCTCTAACACGTCTACATCATTGCAAGAGAACTATTCCAAACCGTATTGAAACATTGGTAACACTTTACAATAAGGTTCATTAGTTAACATTAGTTAATGTATTAACTAACATGCACTAACCGTGAGCATTTGTTACAGAAGTTTAACAGAAGTAGTCTACGTCGAACGGCCCGTTTGAACTATCCCTCTACTTCCTCCTTTAATGACGTCAGTAGAACAGTTTTTTGACTAACGTCCACCCACAGGAATGCTCCCTCAACTCCCTCAACTTGCGCACTTCTTATAACGATTTTCTGCGATTTTTGGCGATTTTCTGAAGTAAAACTGACGCTTCATCTTTTGTGTGATGTACAATAAACTTTATTAAACTCATCAGTATATGTCTGATCATCATTTGGACCTGGTCCTGGACTTGTAGGCTATCAATAAACAATGGATACATACAAGCAGATGACAAATATGTTATAATAACAACCGTAATTAAACTACTAAACAATACCTGTTCCATCTCTATACAGCACTCTGACTCTATAAGCATTATTGTCCGACTCGAAATGAACACCTTTACTGAGAGTTTCTGATATAGAGTGCCAAGTACAAAGTGATGATGTCACTTTGTAGGACAACTCGGAAGCTAGTGGCACATGGGTTCCCTTGATCAAAAAGCAATGCATTTTCCCCATAGACTTTTGGAAAATCGCAAAAAAATAAGATTTGTGTTTAACAAAGAGTTGTGACCCTTACACGTTTTGTCTATCAAGATAATCTTTACAAGTTAATCCAAAATGTATACATTTGAAGCCTATATCAAGTTTTTACAAAAACACAAGCAGACACAATAAAGTTGTAAATAAACTGTGTGTTTTATGTCATAGATAGAAAATATTTAGAGGCTTTGTTCACCACAGACCTTATTTCAGGCGATTTAGCATAGACCCATTCAAAAATCCCATAGACTTTAAAGCGAGGGTACCGGGAGTGCTAAAATGCAAACTCACTAACTTCGGCACTCTAATATCATCATTCCGTGAGATGAAATTGTCATGTCAAAGTTAATATGTTAACTTGTTCAATTCATATCCTAAGATCAAAAAGTAATGTTTTTTAAACTTTTTTTTTTTCCTTGAGGAAATGAAATGGGGGCCCTTGGGGGAGATTAGGCCCTCCATTGACTCTGGGCACCCTGTGCTAAGCCCCCCTTTTCGGGTATTCAGAGAAATCTTTAATTTATTTTACTTTGTGCAGTCCATTAAAGCTTGCAGATTCTATATTGGCCCGCTTATGAGCCATATAAGCAAAAGACTAATTTGAGACCATTTCTGAGGCATGTCATTTAGGCCTACTCTTTTATATTAATGCAATATATTAACAAGTTCGGTCACATTGGTCTGGTCGTAATTTGGGATATCTCTCCTCATTTGATGAAAGGTTTTAGTGTTGCCGTCAAGTCAAGATGACTTCACACCCTTCCTGGAAGTCTTGGTCTCGTCTTAATTGTATAACTGAAAGTGAAAGGGAGGGAAACTGCACCACTGTGTATTGGCACACACTTTCACAGAAAGCTCAGCTTGCAGTTATACGACAGTTATAAGACAGCTCCCCATTATGCATAGAGAGGCTAATTGCTGCCGGAGAAATTTGGTGGCTGGATAGATTTACGTTTGAGCCCGTTTAATGGTCATTTCTTATTCAAGTCGACAGTTTAGTGGGATCCACAGCAATGCCGTTAATGGATTTGCCATTAGTGTGAATTATTTGCAGAATAACTCACAAAATGGAAAAACTAATATCTGAATACATCTCTGCTCAGGAAATATCTCTGATAGAAAACCCTTATTTATAGCTAGCAATTTACAAATAAATTAAACAAGACGGTATAATGCTCAAAATCTATGGTCTTCAGTACATTTGTTTTTATATGCTACTTAAAGACTCCATGAAGTTAAATAAAGCGTTCTGTGGCTTTTAGTCTATATATCTGTTCATGTTGAGGCTAATCACTGCTTGTGTATCCCTAAACATAGACTTAATTCACAGATATATGCATTTTAAATGAGCTATTTTTCTCATCCCAAGAAAACTGAGTGACTTTTTAAAAAGAAAAAAAGGGGAAAGTACTATCAAGAAGCTAAACCATGGTATGTGTTTGAAACTAAACTAAAGCCTCCAGGCTAAAAGCCACAATATATGCAAAGCACATCACCACTGGAGAGAAATGCAAAATCCATTCAGAAAATATTTTTGAGGCAACATTGACTGCATCACGGCTCACCTTTCTGACCATCTCTGTCGTAGACCTTCATGTGGACCACTCCACTGGTCTTATTGCGCAGCACCACCGGGTTACGTCCATCCCGCTTGGCGACTGTCCCCAGCTGAGCCAGATCGTCATCGGCCCACCACAGCCTACCACCTGGAAAAACAGATGAATTATTTATTTCCCAAAGTCACAGAACCAGTAGGTCTGACTGCCAATGGAGGCACATGCCATTATCATTTGTTTGTCCTTTTTATTCCACATGCATATAATCCGGTGGTGCGCTGTGCTCTTTTTCGGTGCCAAAACTATGCTACGCTACAGTGTACGGGTGGGCGAGGGAGGTGGTTGGAAAGAGAGAGAGAGAAAAGTAAAGAGATAGGACTTGAGCATTATGCATATTCCCTTCCCAGTGCGAGTCAATGAGGCAGAGCTCAGGGCAGCCTGGCTACGTGCCCTGGCTGAAGACAAGGGCTCTTCATTCACAAAGCCATCAGACTGCATCTATTCTCACAGCGGCGCTGCAGCTATACAGTAGCAAGCCCCTCGTGTTCTTTCCGCTCTGTAAGGCTGAGTGTGCCACAAAGGGACTCGGAGATTGTCCTTGGCTCCGAGCCTAGACCTTATCTGTCTGCTGCAGGACTACAGGAGAGCAGGAGACAGTCGTAGCTGTGCAACCGTAAAATCAAACACATATTTGTATTTGTAAAGAAGGACTGAACTAACCGAATGACACTGAACGAAAAGGCTGGAAGTTAAATCACAGTTCCCATCAAGAGACTGTTAGTATGTGATTGTTACAATAAAACTGTATTGACTTTGGATCAGATTTTAGATTTCTCCAACAAATGTTTTCGATTTTACAATAATCGTAAACAATAATTCTAGCAACTGTAATGTTTTAATGGAACCATTGTGAATTTTACAACACATTCTCATCCTTTAGGTGACGCCATATGACATTTCGTCGAAATACTACGCACATGGCACTCTTTAGCGTTATGGGTAGGTGCACGCACTGTTATGGGTAGGTTTAGGTCTGGGGTAGGGTCTGCGTCTCATATTGATGCTAAAGGATGCCAGTCACCTGTATGACACCTTGGGTTCTGCGTGTTATATTGACGCTAAAGGGTGCCATGTGCGTAGTATTTCGACGAAATGTCATATTGCATCACCTATATGAGGCCAAAGGATGAGAACGGGCTTGAATTTTAATATAAGGACATTTAAAGTTTTGGGTTGGTAAGATTTTTAAAGAAAATATCACTTTTATTCATCAAGGATGCATTAAATTGGTAAAAACTGTATACATATTTTAATTCATCTACGTAACTTGAGAAAAAAAAAATATCACAAAAAGCAAAACCGTTTTCCACATTGATAATACTAAAATAGTTTACCAAATTAGCATATTTGAATGATTTCTGAAGGATCATGTGACACTGAAAAATGGAATAATGCTAACAATTCAGCTTTTCCATCACAGGAACACATTACATTTTAAAATCTTTTAAATTGTAATACCGTTTCTCAATATTAGTTTTACATTTTAATTTTTGATCAAATAAATGCAGCTTTGAAGGGCATTAGAGGCTTCTTTAAAAAAAAAAAAAAACATTTAAAAAATCTTACCAACCCTAAACTTGTTTACAACATTGAATTTATACATCTATACAGTTCACCCTAAAATGCTGTCTCTGTAGGCAGGTTTTAGAACAGAGTTGCATGATTAAACTCTTTTATATGAAGTACAAGTACAAATATTTTTCAACAAGATATCCATATCTCCTCCATAAACCAGAAACAAATAATAGTGTCATTCAGGCCTCAGAGTACCCGAGCAGATATTTGCTTTTTGTAGTGAGGCCAGCTATGTATAAATGACATCCTACCCTGAGCGGCCAGAAGCGTATTTGACATTCAAGATTGCTTGCTTAGGTCATCACTGCAGTCAATATTAATCTTTACCTGTCCAGGGTGAGATACATCAATGATTGCTTCTGGGTGTAATGTCCATTTAAACTGTTTGATCACAGAACAGCACAGGTCTTAAGGTGACACACAGCCCACTAAACAGCAGCTTGCACTTGCCTGAGTGGTCACATCCCATTAAAGATTCTACCAGGAGGAGATGGCAAGACTGAATCCTGTCAGGAAAATTGCTTTCATTTCTAAAGTCATCATGCTCTTCAATTACTGTTTCACGCTCTAATAACGCCTTTGATGCAAGGCGGTCATTGGATTTTTTTTTTTTTTTTTTGCTTAATAATGATGCCGCATCTTTCAAACAGCCGGCAGTTGTATCGATCTCCTAATCATCTGTCTCTACCGAGTATATTTCCCTGCACAGCTCTCTGTAATGATAAGGTCTGTCCCTCAAAACATTCTGCAGGGTGGTTGATTTTACCGTACCGGCCGGGTGGCTGAAATCGTAAACAATTTCCGTTACAGCAAGACCAAAATAAATTTACGGGTACATCAACTGATAGCATGTTATACACGTTAACCTTGGCAAATGCCCTAATTTATGTTGCTGGGAGGGAGATAGAGCCGATAGAGACTGAAGATATTATCCCCCATCATCACACGGAAATCATACAGCCTAATGGAAAAGTTTGTTTCATTCATGTTCAAAACTTTGAACAGTCAAGCTGTAATTTTGAGGAGATCTGTGCCAGTAACCAGCCTGCAAAGCTACCCGAAAAACTATGCGCAAGTTTTAAACGCAAAGGGTGGTCACAGCAAATGTTGTTAATAAAAGTTCATTTATAAATAAAATCTGTCTCAGTTCTGTTTCTTCATGTAATCACTGACAGACTCGATGATGGTGAGATCAGATCTCCGTGTGGAGCATGCCAGCTGTGTTCAGACTCCGTCACTGGATTACATTTACATATAGCTGTCGCTTTTATCCAAAGTGACTTTCAATTGCTATATATGTCAGAGGTCGCACGCCTCTGGGGCAACTAGGGGTTAAGTGTCTTACTCAGGGACACATTGGTGTCTCACAGTGGATTTGAACCCATGTCTAATCCACTGCGCCATCAACACCCCTTTTTTTTACTTTAATTGAAAATTAATGGAAAAAGGAATGTTTGGAAATGTCAACGGATGGTAAAATGGTAAATATATGAACAACTGGCTTAAAGGAACACTCCGACTTTTGGGACTTTAGCTTATTCACCATATCCCCAGAGTTAGATAAGTCCATACATACCTTTTTCATCTCTGTGCGTGCTGTAACTCTGTTTGACGCACCCACCGCTAGCCTAGCTTAGCACAAAGATTAGATGTAAATGGCTACAGCTAGCATATTAATCCGAATAAGTGACAAAATAATGCCAACATTTTCCTATTTACATGTTGTGATTTGTATATCCACAGAGTGTCACAAGGTCACGTGAGACAGCCATCTTTTAACCATATAAATATTGGGAACTATATTCTCAGAAGGCAGCTTCGCCTTCTGAGAATATAGTTTCCCACTATTTATACGGTTAAAATATATATTTTTTTTCATATTAACTCTTTATTTGTACACTCTGTGACTATACAAATCACAACATGTAAATAGAAAAAAAAATGTTGCATTATTTTGTCATTTATTGGGATTATGCTAGCTGTAGCCATTTACATCCAGTCTTAGTGCTAAGCTAGGCTAGCGGTGGGTGCGTCAGATAGAGTTACGGCACGTACAGAGATGAAAACGGTATGGACTTATCTAACTCTGGGGGATACAGTGAATAAGCTAAAGTCCAAAAAGGTCATAGTGTTCCTTTAAAAGCAATTGTTTGGGTCAAAATACTAATGTGCCTAAGACTCATTTTTGACTTGTAGTGCATATGAGCTGAAGGGGAAGTAATGTATTCCAATTTTTTCCTCTTTATGCTGAATCTGACTCTTTGTTCTGTGATGACATTCTCATGCTGCATATTAATATATACCATTCTTTTAGATCTCTGTGGGTAACCTGCATGGCAATGTGGCGCATGCATTATAAAAACACAGACTGCCGGTATTTGAAAGAAAAGCAGTGTTTTGTGTGCTTGGAAGGTATAGCTGTCTTATCGTATAAGTATACGGGCAGTCCAGTGCGCTTTACTTATTACAAAGATAACATCAATCATGACTCTTTCATCTCCTCGCCTTGTTTCCTTTCGTATTCACATTGAGGTTGTGATTACTTTATATTTTATACTTATAATCAACTGCGCATGGTGAGGTAAATATGCTGTACATCTGCAAGGCATTAAGAGAAGGAAATGATCTTATACCATTGCTTCACTATTTCATATTCAGCATGGAAGAGGGAAACATGGAATTCTAAGTGAAATGCCACTTATACACCAACTCAAGAGACTGCGAGATCATCCGCCCACCTGCATGCATATGTAATCGGCCCCTGGCCAGTCAGGCTCTAAGATGGTCTTTCCTTTATAGAGGTGTGATACAGCTTGAAAAATTGTAGAATTGATCCATAATACTGGTGGTATGTGGTGAATACTGTATATATATATATACACCACTTTGGGCTGCAAGATTTAGGGGAAATGTCATATTGCAATAGCGATATTATTGAGGTCAATATTGCGATAGCGATATGCTATTGTGATATAATAAAAAAAATGGTTTCATGAGTCAACTTGCTTGGTTCTTAAAAATGAAAATGATCCTTTTTTAATTTTATACAAAATTAAATAAAGACATCTTTGCTTTATTGCAAACATGTTATTGTCTCAATAGTACAATAGTATAAAATAAATAGAACAATAACATTTGTATGCTCATGAAAATAAGATATTTTGAACATTCTGTCCAGATATTTTTTTTTTATTTTTTTTTTATAGATTTAGGCAAGGCAAGGCAAGTTTATTTATATAGCACATTTAATAAACAATGGCAATTCAAAGTGCTTTACATAGAAGAAATTAAATGAGTTTATATATTTTATAATGCAATAATTTCACCTCTAATCTCCAAATGAATGTAGAGACAACATAAAGTTAAATATTTACA